AGAGGCCTGCTTGCCAGCCTCTTGCCCTGTTGTGAACTTTGGGACTAAAAACCCTGTTCGTGCCTTTTTCCGTGCTATGGGCCTTACCGAATGGTTTAGGCTTAGGGTGTTTGTTTACCGAAAAAACTGTTGAACAGCCGAATCACCCGCAAGTGGAGTGTGCAGCCTGTTAACCTCCCAGAAGCTGTGGTTAACCGCAGCTTAATTAACGAACGGCTGGGTGGTTGCCGTTCGTATAGTCGAACACGTGGTGGCGGCCATCTTGTTTAATCGAACGCGGTCAGCTGTGTCTTGTCTCTGTGTCAAGTTCATGGAACTGAAATCGGACACTCGATGGCACGAACACCGCTGGGACTTCCACCTCCATCTAGGTTCGGCTAAATATGCACGAACAGAGCGCTGTTTGGTAGAAATAATCTACCAAACACATTTCAACACTGACTTTGTGCACGAACGGTCCTGTTCAACTATTTGAAGTGCACTTTAATCATTGGACAGGCCGCACAGCCTAATTCTCTGGAACTATTTTGGGCATGAAGCCATGCTTGCAACCGGTCAAAAAGAGACTTCCATTAAACTTTTGAACCCCTGCTCTATACTGGGTGATTTTTGGATATGTTGTTTACCTAGATCAGGGCTATCCGGGGATGTAACATGGGGGTATTGTGTGATTTGGGGTACTTTCTAAACTTTGTAAAAATGTGTTTTTTGTTTTTTTTTCTGCCTGGAGATAATTGAGTTACTTACAGGACTTTACTCAATTATCTCCCAAGCATGTGCTGAACATGGGAGTGTCACAGACTGTATGTTTGTTCTGATTGGTTTGTGTCCTTTGTGTTCCTGTGCCCCATCAGGTCCAGGGGGTGTTCCTCTGACCTGAAGAACTGTATAAAAGCCAACGTGAACCATTAAAGCTCAGATCATCTTGCACCTTCATGAAGTCTTGGCTCATGTTTGGGGGATTGGAGAACTACACTCTGGGGATTGCTATATCACAATACTCCCTTGAGTTCTTGTTCCTGCTATGCTCTTGGCACTAAGAGAGGCCTACCCACTGGAAGCTGGATCATGGTCTTGGGTCCAGGGAGGGTGGAGGATGGCGAGACCCCAACCAAACTGCGGTGGTTCGTGGGGTTTACGGTGGTTATGGTGTTCCAGTGCAGTGCTTGTGGTACTCGCCAGTACTAGAAAGCAGCAATTAACGGAAGTATCCGGTCGGGGTGCAAGGCGGTCCGTCGCATATCGGAACTCATATCGGATTATCCTCTGCTGTACTTCCCGCTCCTCTTAGCCAACCTGCAAGGGGAGACGCACCCACTCATTCTGCAAGACCGGCTCCATCTCGTGGCCTGGGTGATTGCCGGGGATCGGATTATCCTCTGATTTTACTGTACTTCCCGCTCCTCTTAGCCAACCTGCAAGGGGAGACGCACCCACTCATTCTGCAAGACCGGCTCCATCTCGTGGCCTGGGTGATTGCCGGGGATCTTGGGATGTTGATGGACTACTGCAGACGACTAAGGACAAGCTATGGGATTACTGGGCTTCAGGCACTAGACGATGATACCTGGCAGCCTGCAATATGGTCTAGCTGGTTTATGGAGAGTGATTAAGATCCCTGTACAGCCCCTGTCTTCTTCGTATTGAATTTCCTCGGCCGGCGATATCGGCAGCCCACGTCCCTATCCAAGGACGTTTGATTGGACAGGACCTGTTGGTTTTCCGCCTCATGAGAGTTATGCGTTTCTCATCCCCCTGGTCTGAAGTATTCACGTCTCTGGGACGTCGAATTGGTTTTGAATTTCCTTCAGATTTTGCCGACAACGCATTGCTATCTTTGTGTCAGCTGTCTGCAAAGCTTACTTTGCTGCTATGTCTGGTTTCCTTCCGTAGGATATTGTGTGTTCGACGTGGACGGATTATCTTTTTCACCACAGGGTGTCTTTTTTTCGGTTTCGTGTATGTAAACAAAATCTTCCTCGTGGTTTTTTTTATTTTTTTCTTCTGCTCCCTGTCTTTGCGTGGTTAAAACTCTCCTTCACTGTGTCGAAGTTACTGCTTCACTTCGTTGTTCCCCCTTTGGGACAATTACTGTTATCCCTGGCGGGCGTTTGTCGGGTGCTTCGCTGGCGGACATTATGCATTCTGCTGACTATTCTCGCGAAGATAATTTTTGTATTTTCTATTTCCGTCCTGCTTCTCATGCTTCTTTTGCTCTTTTTTCATAGCATTAAAAATGCAAATATGAAGCCTCCTGTCATGTGGAAAATTGTAGATTATGCTATTAACATAGTGTACCTATATTCTTAATTTTAGTAATGACAGGAGGCGAATATTTCCCTCCATCTTCCTCTCCCTCTACTGGTTTTATCTAATTTTCTGTTTGTTCACATGCCCTACCGCTGCTTCTGCTAATTTTCCTAGCTAATTGATATTACTATACCATTTCTGGTATACGTTATTTTATACTCAATAATATTATTGATGAACTACGATCATTTTGCTGCCTTTCACTTTTTTCTGTTCTTTTCAGTGTGAAAATTGGCAATATACATTGGATCTGGCCATCACATCCTTGCTGTTCAAGATGTCCTTTGGGTTACATTGGATCCACATCGTTATTTGAGTTATCACTGTTGGACTTGTTCACTTCAAAGAAAGAGGAAGAGGCAAGCGCCACAGAACTATATGTAGAAATGATTCTTGATTCTGATTGATTTAACTTTTGATCTGTGCTGCTGGAGTTTTAGTAAATAAAGTTTTATGCAAATTTTATTGCCTCCTGTCCTTACTAAAATTAAGTTTATAGGTACACTACGTTTGCATAATCTACAATTTTCAAACCAGTAATTGGGTATGGTAGAGCTGCTAAAAAAACTAAATTGTGTTTATAGCTAGGGTTACTATATCCACCATATTTCAGGGACACCTGTCATGTACACTTATTGATGGGCAGAACATGAAATGGGTATCCCTGTAGAATGTAGAATTCAGAAAAAGGTGTATAAGATTAAGTAATTAATTAGACAATGAAGAATCCTGCAGAGTATACATTATACTTGTACTCAAGGCTTTATTGCATACTTAAAGTGGTGCTGCTGTTTTTTTGTTTTTCTTCATCATCCAGTTTAGATTTCTTTTTCTTATGACCCTTGTATCTTAATGATTATACTCGTCACTTGCCTATATATTTATAACCTTTTCCTCCCTTGCCTTGGATCTCATTAGCCACCATTTTTGTTCTCCTGTCCATCATGCCCTTCTGTGGGATTATTTTGCATGATGGATTGTGAATGAATAAACACGTTTTAATTTCAGTTGGTAAGCCTAATATCAATCTTCATTTTAGGGAAAATTAAATAAAATAGAGTTGTGTATTTATTTTTATATATATATATATATATATATATATATAATATATATATATATATATATATATATATTCCCACCCTCTATTTCCCCTTCCCCATCCACCCCACGCTGCCAATCTCCCTCCTGTCCTTGGCTTAGAGCGCATGCATGTGCTTGGAGCCTGGAGATCGGTCTATGAGATGCGTTTTTCAGTGACATCTGACAGGATGTGTAAGGCAAATGAGGAGAACTTTGTTTAGCGATGGATTCCATGTATGTTAGTTATGTATTTAGGAAACTTTTTTTTAGGAAATACAGGGGGTGGGGACCATGGTACTAATGTGAAATAGTGAATTTTAAATTGAAAACCAAAAACCATTGCTTTATTAAAGTTGTTGGAGTAATCCTTTAAGTTGTAGCAATAACATTTGGTCAATAATATGTAATATACTGCTACAGAAAATTAACAAGTCATTATTATTTTTATCTTCTAGGTCGAGAGCTCTTTTCAAAATTTGGTACACGTCGCAGGCCACGCAATAGACAACTCATATACAATAGGAATGAAATATTCACTTACTGAGAACACTGACTCCTTTTTTTTTTTCCTTCCAATAATTTAAAGTCAAAGTATTTTTGTGGTAGCTGTGCTCCAGATGACACCCAGTAATATTTGTCCTTAATTTTGATTTGGGAGTGCTTTATTCTGGAAATCATCTTATCACATATGTACGTGCTACCAAAGATGGTGAAGATTCTTGCTACCCGCATTCCTAAAGGGACACTGTGGGCATTGTACCTACACCTATCTGTAAGTGGTTATAGTATCGTGCCCACTTGCGCTGTTCATGTTTTATTGCTAAATCAGACTGCTCAGCAGCCCATCCCCTCTTTGCTGCTTGGACTAATTAGCCTGAGCAGCTTTGATTAGCTAAGAGTATCCGCTGACTGCTTTCAGTCTGTAACACCGCCCATTGCTGGTAATGAATTTATATGGCTACAAGTAAGTGTGTAATCTCTTCTTTTCCATAGCTCTAGTTGGGGCAGACTGTGGGTGGCCAGGGATCCTCATTCAGAGTTATAGAGCTTGAAAATGGTTTAACATAAACAAAGGGACAGTGCCAGACGGTTCCAGGTACTCTAACCAATTCAATGAAATGAAATGGCTATAGTGCCCAAAATGTCCCTTTAAATTGACATTTATTTTTGGTAAAATTATAATAGAGACACTTAATTAAATTTGATCTTCTATTCTAAACCACACTGACTTTCATTTGGAGGTCCCCTGAAGTCTCCATTACATTCACAGTGAAGTGGTTGGTTACCAGTTCGGGGTCTTTTCTTGGAATCTCTCTTGGAACTCTGTCACTCATGAAATCTTGGAACTGAAATATTGCAGCCACATTAAGGAGTGTATGACTGCAATTTCAACATGCTTTGGAAAAGAGTTAAATTCTGTTCTTGAGGAGTTCTAATTTCACTGGAAAAGCTTTGATGTGAACACAGGATATGCACCAGTTGATCTTTTGACTGAGCCTTCAAATGTAATTTATTCAAATGAGAAGAAATGTCCACACGCCACATTGAAGGGTCTAGCTGGCAAAAAGCAGCTTGCGGGATATAGGCTGAGCACCCCTGTTCTAGGTAAACCATGTTGTGGTTATCATCATCATCATGTTAGAAAAAAAATATAATGCGTATACATTGTTAGGTTAGAGAAGGTGTTAATAACCGTTAACCCTTACACTACTTTAACGCTAACCTAAAAATATCATGTCTTTTACAAAATATTTGACAACAAAGCACATAATATGGGAAAATAATTTCATCTTGGGGTTCTGGAGCGCATTAGCCTCCTCCTAGGAAATCATTATTCAATGCTTTTCTTACAGGGATTCCGGCAACGTTGGAGGTCCTCGTGCAAAGCGTGAGTACATCCAGCGTTGTTTAAAACACTTTTCGTGTTTTAAGAAGCAGGAAGTCCCTCTATTGGCTGACTGATAGACAGCCACTAGAGGAGGACGTAACCCTGCAAGGTAATTATTGCAGTTTATAATAAAAATTCAATAATTACACAGGGTTAAGGGTGGTGTAAGTTGGCACCCAGACCACGCCAATGGGCAGAAGTGGTCTGCCTGGAGTGTCCCTTTAACAACAGGTCCTCGTTCAGTAAATAACCCTCTGAATCAATGATATTCTCTATGACACACAATTCTTGGAACCAATTGTTTCAAAACAAAGACAAAAAATTAAAAACATACCCTTTAACCCCTTAAGGACACATGACATGTCTGACATGTCATGATTCCCTTTAATTCCAGAAGTTTGGTCCTTAAGGGGTTAAAGCTGTACAGTTTCAGGATATTCAAAGGGTTAATTACCCTTTGTCATTAAATGTTACAATTCTATAAAATAAGTTATAAACTTGCCTGGAATGCAGCCCCTAGCAAACCTCCCTGTGCTGGATCACTTAATTAGCAGATCATTTTTACCAGCGCAGAGTGCATCCACTCTCTGGGGCGGGAGGGAGTGAGGGGAAAAAAACATGAAATATTGCAGGGAGGACTAAAATAAGGGAGATGCACATTCAAGCTTCCTTTTGCAGGCACTGCTTGCAAGGCTAGAAGCTAATAATGTCTGTCAGCAGTGTGCAGTGCAAGCACGCGACAGATAATATTTTGCACAGAATTGATATTAGGTTGCCTAAGTTACGTGTGCAGGAGGTGCAACTAGCCCCAGGAACAAAAGTGCAAATATCTCCGTATGTGCAGCATTTCAAGCAGAAACACTGCACATTCACACTCCTCCCACAATGGTCACAGCTATGTGCAGTGACTTGCAAATCAGCTGATCGAGCATGTGCACCGCATTGGCTGTCCCTACAGAGAATAGATCAATCAGTCAAAACTGTGTGTGCAGTATGCACACTCCATATGTTCCTGGCCACCCACAGTGCTGCTCCAACTTGAGGTACTGCTAAGGCAAGTATATAGTTACATAGTTGCATAGCTGAAAAGAGACTTGCGTCCATCAAGTTCAGCCTACCTCACATTTGTTTTTTTGCTGTTGATCCAAAAGAAGGCAAAAAAACCCAGTTTGAAGCACAATTTTGCAACAAGCTAGGAAAAATGTCCTTCCTGACCCCAGAATGGCAGTCAGATTTATCCTTGGATCAAGCAGTTATTACCCTACATTGAAAGATTATATCCTTGAATGTTCTGTTTTTGCAAGTAGGCATCTAGTAGCCGTTTGAACATCAGTATGGACTCTGATAAAACCACTTCTTCAGGCAGAGAATTCCACATCCTGATTGTTCTTACAGTAAAAAAACCTTTCCTTTGCCTTAGACGAAATCTTCTTTCTTCCAGTCTAAACGCATGGCCTCGTGTCCTATGTAAAGTCCGGTTTGTGAATAGATTTCCACACAATGGTTTGTATTGGCCCCAAATATATTTGTATAATGTTATCATATCCCCTCTCAGGCGACGTTTTTCTAAACTAAATAGGTTTAAATTTGTTAACCTTTCTTCATAGCTGATATGTTCCATTCCTTTTATTAATTTTGTAGCCCGCCTCTGCACTTTTTCTAGTGCCATAATATCCTTCTTTAGAACAGGTGCCCAAAATTGCACAGCATATTCAATATGGGGTCTTACCAGTGATTTATAAAGAGGCAAAATGATATTCTTGTCCCGAGAATGAATGCCCTTTTTCATGCATGACAATACCTTACTGGCCTTGGCCACTGCTGATTGACATTGCACATTGTTGCATAGTTTGTTGTCTATAACAATTCCCAAGTCCTTTTCGTGTGTTGTTATCCCTAATTCGCTTCCATTAAGGGTATACGTTGCTTGTGTATTCTTTACGCCGAAGTGCATTTTTCAACATTAAATTTCATCTGCCGTTTGAGTGCCCAGTCCCCCAGTCTATCTAAATCCCTCTGCAGCAAAGTAATATCTTGCTCACATTGTATTATTTTACAAAGTTTGGTGTCATCTGCAAACACTGAAACATGACTTTCAATGCTGTCTTCAAGATCATTTATAAACATGTTAAATAGAAGGGATCCCAGAACAGACCCCTGAGGGACACCACTTGCCACCTCTGTCCAGCTTGAAAATTTACCATTAATGACAACTCTTTGTACTCTGTTTTTAAGGCAATGTTCTACCCAAGAACAAGCACTTTCATCTAGACCGATTTGTGTGGAACTGTATCAAATGCCTTGGCAAAATCCAAATAGATCACATCCATGGCAACACCCTGATCTATACTTCTACTTACTTATTCGTAGAATGCAATCAAGTTAGTTTGACATGACCTGTGCTTCATAAAACCGTGCTGATTTTTGCTGATAACCATGTTCTTCTCAAGGAATTCTTGAATATTATCCCTTAATAACCTTTCAAATATTTTACCAGCCACAGAAGTTAAGCTCACAGGTCTATAATTTCCAGGCAAGGATTTTGAACCCTTTTTGAATATAGGAACCACATCTGCATTCCTCCAATCCTCCGGAACACTTTTCTGAAAGAAAAGAATCTTGAAAGAATAAAAACAGAGGTTCACTTATTTCTACACTTAGTTCAAGTACACGTGGATGGATACCGTCAGGCCCTGGAGCTTTGTTTATATAAAACTTTCTTTAGTTGCTGCAGCACCTTGTCTTGAGTTAACCAATTACAATTATTCTGCAAGTTTTTAGTAGCAATCTTCTGCACCTTCTTCTGGTTTTACTAGACCATGGGAGTAATGGGTGCTTTTATAGGCTGAAAGCATTCAGCTGCCATTCTCTGCCACAGAGGTGCTTCTGCTGCACTGACAAAGTAAAACTCTGGCATGTGACACAGAAGACACCGATATCAAAGTGTTGACTCCGTGCATTCCTACAGGGAATCTTGAATGTGCTCCTCTGAGTATTACAAATCTCCATGATAGTCCAACCCAATGCTCCCAACGCTATAATGTTCCTTTAAGGAATCACATTGGAAAGGGATACCATACAAAATTTTGTCGTCAAATCCTCTGTTATAATATTACTTTAATAGGCATGGATGTTTTTTTCACAAAAGCCTTCGCGGTGGCTCTACCCTGAAAATGCTAAGTTTGGAAAGATTATGAAGGTATACCAAACATTTCCAAACACTGTAAGGATACATAGCAATGATCAAGTCTGGGAGCGGATTTCCTTATTTAAACTTAACTAAGGTTATTTCTGGTAATCTTCTAACAATTTCTATTTGTTTATTGGAAAACTGTGTTTTAACTAGATAATGTATTTGAACCAGATATTTTTTTTTGTTGCTGAATAACAAAGAACTTCAACTTTGATTGGAAGATTAATAAATGTGTTTATTGTTAAAAATGCATATCATAGTGTCAGATCCATCAAGAATGTTGGCATTCATGGTGCAGAATATGTGTGCATTCGGCATTAAAATCAGAATATATACTCTTCAAGACTTTAAAAGATATATAAAAGACATAGATGCAGCAATCTATAAAAGTAGGAAAGGCAATTACAACAGATGAAAGCATGGAATCTAGCACATTACAGACACTGAAGATGAAGGGGTTCTCAGAACGAAAGTCAGCAAAAGTGAATTACTTATCACTGAGTTTAAAAAAATATATATTTTTTTTTTTTATTGAATCCATTTATCTTCTACATAACTTATTTAGCCCACCAGCTTTGGATGAGGAAGAAATGTGTAGTTCTCCTGAACAAGATAAGCCAGTGCTTCTAGGCCTGAAGAGTAATATAGAGTTAATTATCCAATGAAAGGTTCAGCGGCTAATACTTAATGTGGTTAGTATTATTTTCAAGCTAAAGCATGAAGTCACAGATATTTTAAGACTTCTGGAAGAGTTCAGTGTATACCAACCTGTGTAGACTGAATGACATAGCTTTGATTCACGCCACATTAGCTAATAGATATGGATGTCAGCCATGTTCGCTCAGAGTTCCTGTGTACCATGTTCATCCAGAGCTAATAAAGAATAAACAAACGTCTCTCAGAGAAAACTCAATCTCATGACCCATGAAATCCAGCTCAGCCACTGCAAGATGATTGCACTTTAGAGTTCGATGAAGGTTTGATTCCTGACGTGTTGCCACCTTAAAGACCATGTTGCAAGAGTTTTGTTTGTTTTAAATAGTGACTTTTCAGGCACCTGGTTGTTTTTTAAAATTTATTTACATCTTTAATCATTTATGATTCATTTTGGGACATGTCCTCCAAATGTAAAGCCTGTCGCAAAGAATCTCAAGGAGCATACAAAGTTGGACCTAGAAGAAGATACATTTTTTTAGCTTTTTAAAGGTAGAAATAATTAAATGGTTATTTTTTATTCTTGCAAAGAGAAGAAGAAATAAAAAAAAAAAAACAGGTATCGGTACAAGAGATTGTAGCACCAAAATATGTATATAATATATATAAAAAAAAAAAACACTAAAACATGGAATGCAAAAATACAATTGTGAAGATAACCGAAATGTAGCCAAAATTTTGCTACTATATGGACTACTGCTTTACAATCTGTATACTGTACACATTAAGAAGGTTGAAAAAAAACAATGTTGTACAACAAAAGTTTAGGAAAGATGCAAAAAAGGCAGGGTGATAGGAAGCATTGCTTAAAGGGACACGGTAAGCACCCAGACTACTTTGGCTAATGGAAGTAGTCTGGGTGCTGTGACCCTTTTGCACTTAGTGCTGCAATGTAAAACATTGTAGCACTGGGAGCGCTTCCGGAATCCAAACTGACTTTTGTTCCGTTATCTGACGCTGGACGTCCACACGGAGTTTCAGCATCAGATTTTCCCCATAGGTAAGCCTTGAATAATGCTTTCCTATGGGGTGGTCTAATGCGTGCCCCGGCCATTGCTGCGCATGTGCTTTATGTTCCCCTCACCTGCGGGGGAGGAGTGTGGGCGGAGCCTGACCCAGCACCGAGGGACATCAGTGCTGGATTCAGGTAAGTGGCTGAAGGGGTTTTAATCCCTTCAGCAACATCGGATGGGGGTGGGAGAGGGGGGAACTCCAGGATTCTGCAGTGCCAGGAAAACTGATTTTTTTTCTTGGCACTGGAGAATCCCTTTAAGTTGACTTGCAGACAATGGAAGGTGGTGGTGAAGAGAAGTGTCCAGCGGAGGAGAGAATTGATCAGTCTGATACAGGGCCGGACTGGGGATACGAAGCAGCCCTGGAAAAAAATCGATGCCAGCCCCATAAGTCATTGTGCTACAGTCACTGACACCGAGGCAAACATCCACACATACAGAGACAGGCAGACAGACACACACACGCAGTCAAACACACAGGCAGACTGTCACACACACACACAGGCAGACAGTCACACACACACAGTCACACAGGCAGACACACACACAGACAGTCACACACACAGACAGTCACACACACACAGACAGACACACACAGACACACTGACCTGCTTCTTACCTCCTGCTTGGAGCTCCTGGAGGCTGGTTGTTGGGGAAGCAGGGACTCCTTCCTGCTTCCCATGCTGCAGTTAGCCAGGCCCCCGCTGCATGCTAAGCCCCGCCCCACGCTAGCTCTGCCCCTAGCTCCACCCCCGCCGCACACTAGCTCCGGAACCTTGCAGTACATTAACTGGAAGAGATATTGGTTGAGTGGACACATAGTTGCAGGAAACTTGATAGGATCAATGAGAGTGGTAGGAAGGAGCCACTTGAGGGCAGTACCAGTGATACCAAGGTTGGGAAAGTGAGAAGAAAAGTTGGATGATCAACAGTGTTAAAGGCAGCAGATGAATAAAGAAGGGTTAAGATGGAAAAGCGTTTAGATTGTTGTGCTTCGGTGACAGTTATGGATAGAAATGAGAACTGTTTCAAGGAAGAAGGCCTGGGAAGATTTAATATGAGCAGATGAAAGTGGATAGTTAAGTGTAGACAACATTCCAGAAGCAAGGAAAAGGGCAACAGGAGCTGGGTCAAAGCTGTTTTAAGAAGTAGAGAGATGCGATGAGATTTTGAGTGCACTAAAATAGAATCCAGAAGTGTGAGATTGAGTATAAATTGATGTTATGTTGAATAGAATGACTTGGAAGAGGGGAGCCAAGAGCAAGTGTGAGGTGGTAGGGTAGAACTGCTCGATGATGAGGAGATTGTTGTCAGAAATGATGACAAGAAAAAAAGACTGGGGGTTAGAATTGGTGGAGGAGATATGAGTTAGAGGTGGATCCTGTTTTTTTATTTTGCTTGAGAAATGCAACACAAGTTCTAATGAAGTTATCAGATAAGGGGGGAGATTATTGGAGAATTTTTTTTCACACTATGGTGTAGTGGGTTAGAGGAGAGTAAGGTCATTAATGATTTGTTGTGAGAACATTTGCTAGTTTAAAGGGAGGTGGAGCACTGACTGAGATGATAAATGAAGGTTGGAAGGTTGGAAGGGGAGACAAAGTGTTTATAGTTCAGCATTGTCAGTGTTGAAAACTGCTGGAAATTATGGTAAACTGGATGCAGAGGGGTGGACCAGGACATCAAGAGAGGGCATTCCATGTTTATGGAAGAGAGAGCACATTGTGAGGTAATTGTACAACACATTATAGATTACAGTACCTTGTCATTTGGAAGTTAGCCCAAAAGAATCTCCTCTTTTTGAAGAAGTCCTTTCCTTTTTCTGTATTCATCAACATTTATAGGTCTACTAGACAACCTAGCAAATAAAATGAAACTATGTTAATATTATAAGATATGTTATAATTAAAAAGAAAGCTCATTCCAAAATAATATTGGGATATTTCCCAGATGACTAAAGGTCAAGTAGGTAGTAATTTAGGCTTAATTTTTCATAAAATCAGAGGAACTCCTCCAAACTGCGTCTTGCTTGATTGGCAGTCAGGCCTCACCCCGATTATTAATTTTCAAAGTGTTACAGCATAATAAATGAGACTCAAGTTAACTGTGACATAGTAAACTGTCCAAGAATCCCTACAGTGATGGGATTCCAGGTAGAGAAACTGAACATTTGGCCATATGATAAAATAAGTAACAACATTAGCCACTTAAGGACCAAGGCTCTTTTAAGGTGCAGTGAGTTTGTGACCAAGGCATTTTGGCACTTTTGTCATGCATTTATTCTACCACAATTTCATCTTTTCTGTTTACGTGCATCCATACATATTATATGTGTCAAAGTGATAAAGTGCAGATAAAAGAATAATTACATACACAATTAATATCAAGATATCAGTAACTTACCAAGTACATTTGTGCAAAACACTCAGAATAAATACTCCACAAATAAGGTGTGTTGTGTCTTTAAAAGTCCACTCTATATGTTTGTGATCAAACCAGAAATAATCAGTAATCAATAATACAAAATAGCACTATTTAGCAAAACACATTATATACATATAAAATATACTGTGCCCTTTAAAGAAAAATACTTAAAGGACCACTCTAGGCACCCAGACCACTTCAGCTTAATGAAGTGGTCTGGGTGCCAGGTCCAGCTAGGGTTAACCCATTTTTTTTATAAACATAGCAGTTTCAGAGAAACTGCTATGTTTATCAATGGGTTAAGCCTTCCCCTAATCCTCTAGTGGCTGTCTCATTGACAGCCACTAGAGGCGCTTGCGTGCTTCTCACTGTGATTTTCACAGTGAGAGCACGCAAGCGTCCATAGGAAAGCATTGTAAATGCTTTCCTATGCGACCGGCTGAATGCACGCGCAGCTCTTGCCGCGCGTGCGCATTCAGCCCAGGAGGAGGAACGGAGAAGGAGAGAATGAGGAGAGCTCCCCGCCCAGCGCTGGAAAAAGGTAACTTTAAACCCCTTTCCCCCTCCCAGAGCCGGGCGGGAGGGGGTCCCTGAGGGTGGGGGCACCCTCAGGGCACTATAGTGCCAGGAAAACGAGTATGTTTTCCTGGCACTATAGTGGTCCTTTAATGTGACCAAAAACAAATGAACAACCACATTAGTTGATATGGCAGCCACAATGATATATATATATATATATATATATATATATATATATATATATATAAACATAAAGAGGGAAAACCAAAAGAATATAATATAGTGTAAATCTGTAAGACAAGATTTGTAAAATAAACAACCAGTAAACTCAGGGAGTAGGTAGACTGCTGAAACTTTAAAGGTTCCAAATATTAGTAGCCTGCAACCAATGCAGCACGGGGAGGTATTCATCAGAGGAAAACATAGGGCAGCAATGGAAAGTTTAAATCCTTTATTGCGCACTGCTATTAAAATCAGGAACACAATGTAATAAAAAAACCCTACTATCCTCAATGCTATCAGGGTAAGCTTTAGATCCAAACACAGTTACTAGTTCATGGCTACTCAGAGTTTACTAAAACACTTCATGGAGGTGGGGTTCCAGCTCGTCTAATGACGCATTTTGCTATATGCACTGTGCCATCACAGGGCGAAATGCACCATTCTCAAGACTTACATTTGTTTCATTACTGCTCGAGCGGCACTCCCGAGTCGCGGCTGCACTAACGCATGCATGCGCGAACACCAGGGGCGGGCCGCAGCCCCCGACCTTGAGTCGCGACACAGCTGCCAGGCAGCGATAGACGCCTGGGAGACGTGCAGGATTATTCCATGCCTAGGAGGCGCAGTTGGAACAAATGATCTCCCATGGCAATCCTGCATGACAGACAGACCCATACACCAATAGGAGGCTATGGGAGCATGTCTGGGGAGGTGTGTTACACTTGCTACTATATTTAAATCTTGAACAACGGAGTTGTCATTGCTCAGTTGTTCTGTGCTCCATCCATGCTAGACCTGTGATTCCTGATTCACTTGAAAGTTTTCCTGACCTCTGACTTGTTTTACCGCTACTGGCCCTCTGCTGCTTGGATACTGACTACTGGACTGTCTGACCTCGACTTTTGAGGATTTGTTTGCCGTTGACTTTTATTTCTTTTTTGGTTTGATAGTACAAGTCTGCATCTGGAGTTTCATATTGCCTAACCTGGCAACCATATATATTCTGGATGCTCTAATTCCATTTCTTCTAAACATTGTACCGGATTTAATCCAATTGTAAATGCCATTTCAATAACAGTATGTGACGAAATTGTATGGTTCCACTTCATAAAATGTATTTTGTTTTAAATATTTTTATTGGTATCAAGTCATAAGCGTGGTTTACGATTGTATTTGAACATTACAGTCGGTTGCCTGCGCAGAGGCGTGTTTCTCGTTGCGGTGATCGGAACAATCAGTTGCCTGCGCAGAGGCGTTTTTTCATTGCATCTAACATAACGTTTAGTTGCCTGCGCAGAGGCTTGTGTCACTGTGTATCTACCATAGCGTTTCGTTGCCTGCGCAGAGGCTCGTTTCACATTGCAGCAGATGTGTCGTTTAGGTGCCTGCGCAGAGGCGGTTCGAGTATTTTACTTTTAACTTTTAACTATATAATGTAATATAATTATTAGCTATCATAGTGTGCGTGCTGTGTATGGTCTGGCTGGTGTGTGTGTTGTTTGATGAGTGTGGTGCATATTCTGATGCTTGTTTTAGGACTTGTCACATGTCGCAGCGCTTTTTTATCACATCTATAGTGGATTTTGCCTGCGCCGCGTGCGCTCAACCCGTTCCTAGGGCTGTGTGTGTTGAGGTATTGAGCTGGTATGTGTTGTGGGTGCTTATTGCGTCTCGGGCTACTGGACTGCAGTCACTTAGTCGGTGTCTTTCCCACACGTCTCATTTGTGGCCCCTGCTGTCTCGTCCTATTTTCCTGCTTGTTGTCGTGTGTTGTGCCAGGTCTGTTGCGGTCTCATGGGCAGCACAGCTTTCGAGTGGGTTTGTTATTGCGGCCCGTGTTTCCTGTGTTCTTGTCGGTAGTGTGGGGGCATTTGTGTTACGCTGTTTCATCCTGTTCTATCCGTGCTTATTCGCTGTAGTTCCTCTATATATTCCCTGGTGTTTGTGTTGTGTGCGGCTGGTGTATCTTGCGGGTGTCGCCTTAGCCGGTGGTTGGTGTAATATTATGTGTCTCTGTTTCCTGAGTCCGGTAATGTGACCCTCTCTTATGCCTAAGGTCGATGTCTTGAGTGTTAGTGTGTGTGGTCGTGTCCTAAGTGAGTGAGCGAGGGGGTTGTGGGTTGGTGGTCTATTATCTAGTCCCCTGTCGCCGCCCCGTTCCGCTCAGCCCCCGGGCTTCTCGGCTCCCCGCTCGGGCCCGCCTCCTCTCGCTCGTTCCTCTCGGGGGTGTTTGCTGCTAGGTGACTTTGGAAGGGGTCAGACGCGGTGTGGCGTAACCAGTAGAACCAGCGTTGTGAGTAGCGGTCCCTTTGTTGCGTGGTGACGGCTTTCATGTCTTCGAATTTTCGCGTCGCTTCCACTTCTTCTACCCAGCGTCTCAGTGGGGGTGCAGTGGACTGCTTCCAATAGATGGGGATGGTCGCCTTGGCCGCGTTTAGTAGTCTGGGGATGATGGATCTGATGTATGCCTGTGTTGGCATTGTAGTTTTGTGTAGGAGGAAGGCGGCCGGGGTCTCTGGCAATAATTCATCTGTTACTTCGTGTATAGTTTGCCTGATCGTCTCCCAATATGGACGGATCTTGGGGCACGCCCACCAGATGTGTGTGAACGTACCCACTGCTTCCTCACATCTCCAGCAGGTGTCAGTTATCTCTGGGTTTCTTGCATGGAGCCTTGATGGCGTCAGGTACCACCTGGTGAAGATTTTGTAGGAATTCTCCTGTAGGCGTGCTGAGGCCGGTGTTTTCTGTATTAAGGTGATGAGTGTGTCCCATTCTGCCTCTGTCATGGGTTCGTCTAGGTCTTCCTCCCACTGTCTGACGCATGGGGGTGCCAATATGTATCTGCTCGTGATTCATAAAATGTATTTTGTACAGTCCCTTCCAGCAGGGTATGCAAATGTAGATTTCAAGCTGAAATATAGCAATGCACTACAAAGCTCTACTTTTACACCTACTACACTGGGCTTGCAACCAGCTCCATTAGGTGTCTTAGTTCTTTTGTGGTACAAATATTTTTGTACCTTTTTTGTTTAATGCATTATTTAATATGTTTGTGTAATATGTTATTTATTAATCATTGTTTGTTTCTTTTTGAAGAACATAAGAGTTTAATTCATGTTTTATAATTTCTTCTACAGAACAATAATATTTTAAGTATGTATAACATTACATAAACCGTGCCATTTATTGCATGTTTAAACAAACACTTTAATGAAGAATAGTGCACTTGATTATATGCAATTGAGTTTTTATTGATGCATATTTATATGTCTAAAAAAACAAAAAAAATTTAAAGAGAAAAAGAAGTTAGGCATCTCAAGCCAAAACCTAATGTAATACTGGATAAGATCATTGAGTGAGTGGGGAAGATCCTGCATGGCTCTTACTCACCTTGTTCAGTTCAGATATGGACTGAAACAGAGCCCACATTAAAAAGATGGCGGTACACACTTTTAGGTAGCTCCTGCAAGTCTGAACTGGTACTCCAAATAAACAGTTAATAATAAAGCTGAAAGAAACCCAAAGCACCCAGCACGATACGGTGATTACACTTCTCAGACACGCAATCTTCTCATCTGGAGCTCCGGCCTAAAGGAGACCGCGGCCTGACGTTTGGTAGAAGCGGTCGATCTCCAGACTAGGGCCGAGAAATCTGCAGAGACCGGTCTCTGGGCACACTCTCCTCCCCTCCTTCCCCCTTCAGACCGATGGAGGTTATTCCGGTCCCTGATGAGGAACTTGCCTCTCTTCTTCGAAAACAGTCTCAGGTTCACAATGTAAAATCCAAGATGGACGCCGAGCTGCAGCTTCCCATGCACCCAGTGAACCAGAAGTTTCAAACATGGGTTCGACCTGGTGTGTCAGAAGTTCTGGCTTCGGTTGAGCAGTAAATCACCTGAATCCATGAAGCAAGTTACCATCATGACACCCAGAACTGGTTTCAGCTCACCTCCTCTGGGCCGGAGGCCCTCATGGAGTAGGATAAACCATACCGTCCATACACCCAAGGAGCTCTTCATATCCCAAAGTCATAAAGGGCTGGTGATACCTCCAGTGGGGCAGAAGAAATGGCTTTGGTTCCCAACAGCGTGAGCTAGAGGTGCTGGGAGCATTGGCCCACGTGCAGAATAAGATGAAGAATGTGGCGGGCCTACAAACAGCAGCATTACTGTTAAAATATGCAGAGATTTTTGCTTCCCTCTTTAAATTCCTACTGAGTTCATCTATCAGCGGTAACCTAGCTGTTATGTTTATTCCTTTCTATCCAAGCATAGCTTTTAAATATTGTGCACTTATAACCTGACACTGTCGTTATATTTGTGGACTTGTTATTTATATTAGCTGACTTATACAGTCAAGGATTTCTTAAAGCTGAGGACTAACCAAAACCTGACTGGGGATGTGAAGTGTCCTCTTGGTTGCACTAATATTGTGACAGTATAGGCTTTCGGACCCATCTACCAAAGTGTGTTTTCCATACTGTGCGACTGTTAGCTGATGCTGTTTAATCTCCACCAGACTGTATGACATTGTGATGCCATTTATGTTTCCTTAGTCAAGCTCTATTTTTGACAGTTAACTTCCTGTATTTGATGCACTTAACACATGACAGTATAAACTTGTTGCTCCTACTTTCTCTTAATTTAAAAACAAGGCTGTCTTTATAAAATGTATTGATAAGTCAACTGCCATGCCTATACTATACTGTATTTGACATATGTGCTTGACTATGCTGTTGTGACATTGCGGGCATCTTCGAACCATGCTCCACAACAAAAATAAAGAAATTTGAAAAAGGCCTGTGTATCTTGAATAACATACAGAAGTGAGACTTGACTGGGGATGCACTTTTCAATACAAGAATAAGCGGCCTAATAAAAAAGCAGGCACATATAAATGGAAGGTGTGTTGTTGAAGGGACCCTTCATTTTCCATAATACTTATTTAAAAAAGAAGTTATGTAGGAGTTATGTTTTTGTTGTTGTTTTTTTTTTTTTTTTTAAGGAAGGAGTACAGATGTTAAGGTTATAAAGGGATGTCCTGGTCACCTGGTCAATAGGTGAGTTGTTCAAACTGAGTAATTCAATTTGTCACTAAACAGTGAATTTTTGGAAATTTGAAAAACAATTAGCAAAGTCTAGGCATAAACAGCCAACCTATGAAAGGCTGAATTTTTTTTATTTTTTTTATTTATTGCATATGAGTTTTAAATTTAAATGAATGGGACACTGTAGTCACCAAAACAACTTTAGCTTAATGAGCAGTCTCACCGCTCAATGATCTGCCATTTAGGAGTTAAATCACTTTGTTTATGTAGCCCTGGACACACATGCCTGGATATGACTTGCACAGCATTCCTAAATACTTCCTGTAAAGAGTCATCTAACGTTTACACTTCCTTTATTGCAAATTCTGTTTAATTTAGAATTTCTTATCCCCCTGCTCTGTGAATAGCTTGCAAGACCTTGCAGCAGCCTCCTGTATGTGATTAAAGTTCAATTTACAGAGCAGAAGTTAAAAACTTTTAAAGTAAGTTACATCTGATTGAAAATCAAACCACTTTGCTTTCATGCAGGCAATGTCAGTCACAGCCAGGGAAGGTGTGGCTAGGAAAAACACAATATGTGTGTACACAAACCAAAAAAGTGCAATTAGTGCAAAATTAATTACTAGCAGACAGAAACTTCCCCGTACAAGGTGAAGCTTCCAAAAGTACCTCCAAAGACTTTCTCCTGACTTCCACTAAATATATGCAAAAAATACAGGATGATCTGCTAAGCCAATAACAAACAGAAAAACATAGCGTATAACTGTGTATATGAATAAACCACAAGTGTTGTATTCACAAATGGCCACTCACATATTCACTGAAGTTAAAGTGCCTTTAGTATAAATTTCCTCCAAGGATTCAATCTTCACTCTGTATTCAAATCACCATGGGTTGGCTGGAGTGTATGTACTCAATAGAGAAAAATAAAATTGTAGTGCACAATCAAATGTATAATAAAATATCAATCTAATCACTTACATCAAAGTTAAAAGCAATGGGTGTAGTATTTCTGAGTCACCACCAGGGGTCTGATGCATTTCGTCCGTTTATAGGACTTTCTCAGGGACTTTGGTAGTGTGCAGTAACGGTTTAATGCACACTACCAAAGTCCCTGAGAAAGTCCTATGCACGGACGAAAGGCGTCAGACCCCTGGTAGTGACTCAGAAATACTACACCCATTGCCTTTAACTTTGATGTAAGTGATTAAATTGAGTTTTTATTATACATTTGATTGTGCACTACAATTTTATTTTTCTCTATTGAGTTCATACACTCCAGCCAACCCATGGTGATTTGAATACAGAGTGAAGATTGAATCCTTGGAGGGAATTTATACTAAAGGCACTTTAACTTCAGTGAATGTGTGAGTGGCCATTTGTGAATACAACACGTGTGGTTTATTAATATACACAGTTATACGCTATGTTTTTCTGTTTGTTATTGGCTTAGCAGATCATCCCCTATTTTTTGCATATATAAGGTGTGGCTATGGCTGCACACACATAAACAAGTGGTTTAACCCCCAAATGGCAGTGAACTGAGCAGTGTAACTTCAGAGACATTATCTATACACCAAAACTGCTTCATTGAGCTTGTTTTGGTGACTATAGTGTCCCTTTAAATTTCACTGTTTAGAGAATACATCCTTATGTTTATTTCTCACAGCATTTTAAAGAGTAGATGTTACAAATATACCATTAAAAACAACAAGCATGAGGATATAATTTTGCTAAAATTATTAACCACTTTAAAGTGACACTCCACTACACAAATTTAAAGAACAAAATACCATTTAAAAGATATACCGACCGTGCCATGCATGCATGCATGAAATTATGCATTTTTTTTATTGGGGGTATCTCTAAAAAAAAAATAGCTTGAAAAAGCTGCAGATCTGCTGTCTGTAATCTTTGCAAGCCCTCACCTGTCCAATTACAGGCTTACCAATGCAGTTTGACGAGAAATCTTTGCACTCTTGATTTACGCTCAACTGAGCTAAGCAACCAGGAAATAACAGAACCGATTGTCTGATTGACAGTCAGTGAGGTGTAACAAGTTTAATTCATAAAAGTGACAATTTCTATTGAAATCTATACTTGTAAAATGAAAAAGAGGAAGCGCTCTTTACATATAAAGTACTTCAGCAAGCTAAAGTGCTTTATGTGTGTGAAGTGCTCCTTTAAATCATTTTTACTCAGTATTTTAAATAGTTAAATGTAAGTAGGATTTAATATCTTTAATATATTTTACATGACTTAGTTTGAAAGGCGGACTTTATAAACTATATATTGTAGTTCCTACCTCAGCTCTTGCAGGGTACAATTTGGATGTCTGAGACCCTGACGAAGAAGATGTATCCCTGCTTTCTTGAATTCATTCGCAGCCAGGCTAAGCTTAGTCATAGACTGGTTAGTTATAATAACAGAGTGTAAATCCTCACAAGAGTTGGATGTCAAACCACAATCTTCTAAGCTGCAAAAATATACACAATATTATACAATGTGATCTGTTACTTGCAATTCAGATTTAATGAAATTCAAATGAATGCTTTGTTGGTGTGATGCTAGGAATAAAATCTTACGCTGTTCTGGATTCTGATTGAGGAGAATTATTTTATATAAACTTGGGGACATGTTTGCTTCTGAGACATTGTGTTAGGCAGAGACCAGTACAGTGCCTGGAGGCCAGGCAACTGCTTGTCACAGGAGGAGTAGCACTAAGCTTCCTTTAAAGGGACACCGTAGGCACTGTATCTGCTTCATCTCATTAAGCTGGTTATAGTGTATGGAGTCCCCTGGTGCCATCATTTTTTTTTTTAATGTTGTAATGTTTTAATGCTAAACAAGAGACCACGGCAGTCCATCCCCTCTGTGCTGCTTTGGCTAATAAGGAAGTATTACCCTGAGAGGCAATGTGCAGCTGTGATTGACTGAAAGTGTCAGCTGACTGCTTTTAACCTGTCAGAGCTCCAACTGACGGTATGAATGGGTATGACAACAAGGAAGTGTGTAATCTCTGCTTTAGCTACACATACAGAAGGGGCCAGACTGTGGATGGCCAGGGACTCTTATTTTGTGGCATACTGCACAAACATGGTGCAACACTGAATGGAGGGACAGTGCCAGGGCACTCCAGGCACTATAACCAACTCAAAGAGACAAAGTGGTTATAGTGACTACAGTGTCCCTTTAAGAAAACAATTAAACTACACCAACCCCTTTGTGGCTCTAACTGTCAATGTTCTATGCATTGCTTGCATGGACTGCTGGGAAAGCAGGATCATTGTTGCCACTTATTCTGATACAAATAATTGTTTTGTTCTCACATCAACTGTTTCAGCACACATCCTTGATTCTTGAGACCATCACACAAATGTTTTACTCCTGAGTCCTGTAGATCATTCCACGACAAATCCAGTTCGGTCAAGGATCGATTGATAACAAGGACAGAATGGAAAATCTCACAGCATGATGAGGTTAGAAGACAAGAATCCAACCTGGAGAAAGGGGAGATGAACACAATAACGGGACTCCATTTATTACAAAATTAACATAATTATAAGCTTCATTCATAATAAATTCCTGGCATTGACGGAGGTGCCACTCAGCGGCGAATCCACACCATTTTATAGCCCCACGTCCGCCCACGGTATTGACAACGTCAACGTGCGTGTGACATCATGCAAAAGATGCGCACGCACGTTCTGGGGTCAAAGGCCGATTACGGCCAATCAGATCTAAAGGAGGCTTATTTAAACTAATTTTTACTTGTCCTCAATGCCCTGTCGTGGTTTCCTTAGATGGTTATCCAAGAGTGCGTTCCTGATCGTGTGTTTCTGGTTATTGACTTTGGCTTTGTTTTGACCTCCCTGACTTCTGGTATCCTTGATTATTGGCTTTCCCTTATCGCCGTGTCCCATTCTGTGTCCCTGACCTCGGCTAGTTTATTGACTATTCTTTGGTTAAGTCCGGCCATTCTAAGGTCCGGTTAGACTTTACCCTTAGTCATAGATGTGAAACATTTCTGCATGCTGGATCAACTATAATCCTGATGGAGGAGAACAGGAGACTCCAGAAGGAAGACTTTGGCTTTCCCATATAGTGACTCATCTGTCTAAACTCTAATCCATTATGTTGACTCACTTCCCTCAAACTCATACCTAGACTATCAAGGGCCTTGCTCCTCACCTGTTGCTCTTGTTTGATAGGCACAAGTACAGTCTCTTTTCCTCTTATTGTTACATTTCCTACTTTGCAAATCATGGCCTGCCATACCCTATGTGTCCACTGGAGGCCCGTGTGATGTGGTGAAGGTCATCTCAGTCTAAGCGATATACCGGATCAATCCCCTGACAGCTAAGCATATAGGAAACAACACTTATGACAGTGTAAATAATCTAACGTGAATATTTCCTTACCTAAGCCCATACTCTTAAGGCTAGCCCAAAATGAAGCCAGTTCCTCACCACTACAACATAGTTTTGCATGGTTAATAGCTTATATTGTTGGTTAATAGCTTATATTGAATCTTTTATTGTCATTGATAGGCCAACAAATTCCTTCGGTCCAAATGATAGGTAGAGCCTCTCTCCGCCACTTGGCATTAGCAGGGCCTCACCCGTCACTTGGCTATAGTTAAGTTCTTCGCCTCGGCACTAGTCAGCAAGCAAGTTCTGTGAAGGTCTTGTTCTTCCTTCCCTCCCCCCTGCTATATTAATTCATTATTCCTTTTTCAGAATGTCACAAGAATTCATTCCTATTGATGACCTACCCAGCACGCCAGCCAGGCCTGGGTCCCCAGAAGTATCCCTCACCCCCTCTACCCCCAGGTCCCTGAGATCATGGACTATCCCCAAAATGTTGGCAGAGCTAAGACTCAGGGGCATCCCTTTTCCAGCCACTGCTACGAAGGCAGAGCTTTATAGACTATTGACAGCTCAGGCCAGCGACCCTAGGCCTGGCACTAGCTCGCAAGGGAGGGTTACCAGCACCTCAGAAGCTACGCAGGAAACCCTGTCAGCCATTGCCACCCCAGGTGACCTACCAGGCTCTTCAGGTCCTCCCCTGGTAATCCCTAACCTGCCTAGTGGCACCCCCCTCCCTACCCACCACCACTACCCAATATGTCTTACCAGCTCACTCCGTCTCAGCATCCATCAAAAAAAGAAATACTGGATGAGAAGGATGTTAACTTAGTTTCCTTCCTCATCGCCTCGCAGGATGTTCTAGAAAACTGAGCATATAACTATGGGGACATCTCTGTGGTGTTAAAAACTAGAGACCCATGACTAAACAAAAAACTATATATCCCACAATTTGTTATTGCTTTCGGGATATATAGAGATGTTATTTGTTCTGTGTATCCGCATAGGAGGGAGGAGCTTGATCTATACATGCACAAAGTGGAGGACCAGGGCATCAAGTACAGGGAGTCCTCTTTTTTCGATTACCACTAGTCCATGTCGGCTAAGACAGCAACTCATCTGGCCCAATTTAACATCAGAATTGACTGGTGCCAGATGGACACGGAGTTGTTCTGCCGACACTTTGCCGGATTGAGGCCCCCGTCCTGTGCCACTTGTAGCTCTACGTCCCACTCCACAGATTTGTGCCCTTGCAAGGCAGACCCTTCCTCTTCTCACCACTCCACCTCACATACTAGGCAAGAAGGCGGGCAGAGGGAAAAGCTGGGCAGACCCATTGCGTTTCTGGGCAAGGCGCAGGTGTGCAACAATTTTAACGCTGGCGCATGCAGCTTCAGCGAATGCAGGTTGTTGCATGTCTGCTCCATTTGTTTCAGAGCGCATACCAAGGCCATGTGCCCAGCCAGACTTTCCCCAAAGAAATGACTGACCGAGGTCAATATAGATGTCGTAGCCTACTACCTCTGTTCCCACCCAGCCAGGCATTTAGTGGAATTTTTGGTGTCGGGATTTTCACATGGGCCTCATTGCCATTCCCACAGGCACACTCGAATGCCCAAACCTGCTATCAGCCTCTAACGACCCTCTCACGGTGGACCACCTCTTGTCCACAGAAACTCAGACAGGTTTTCTTTATTGGCCCATTTGCAGTACCCCCCTTCTCATGCTGGCATGCAAACCCTATCGGGGTAGCTGTACATAAATATTCAAATAAAAAAAGATTGATTATTGATATTTCAGCGCATCATTCTTCGCACACCACCAGCATAAACACTCTCATACCCGCTTAGCAGTTTTCATTACAATAAGCTAAAATTGATGATGCTATGCAAGCTATCATCTTAGGCAAGCTATCAGCAAGGCATGGCTAAGCAAAACCGACATCACAAATTACAATACAATAAGCTAAAATTGATGATGCTATGCAAGCTATCATCTTAGGCAAGCTATCAGCAAGGCATGGCTAAGCAAAACCGACATCACAAATGCCTTCAAGCTTTTACCCATTCACCATGGCACTTACACGGTGTTAAATGGCGGGACAGGTACTATTTTTCTACCCGGCTCACCTTTGGGTCTAGGAGCAGCCCTAAGCTTTTTTACATATTCACGGAAACACTCTGCTGGCTGCTCCTCAACATAGTCAGGTGTCTGTCTGTGATTCACTACTTAGATGATTTTTTGTTGATAGAACCCGGCTTCCCTGCACCTAGAAGCATTTACAGACATTTCAAGCCAGCCTACCACCAGAGAAATTGACCCGCATTAGAGACAAAATCAGTCTGTTCCTGCGGAGTGATATGTGCACCAGAAAGGGACTCCAGTCCTTATTGGGGTCCCTTAACTTTGCGATGCGGATCATTCCGCAGGACAGATCATTCGTCTCTAGGCTACTGTGTCTACTCCATGGGGTGCCCGACTCCTGCCAAGATTTGCACATGTGGAGGAACTTCTTGGCCAAGTGGAACGGAGTCTCCCTGTTCATTCCCCCGCTATCCGATCATTCCCCTACAATTTACACAGATGCAGCAGCACACATTGGGTTTGCGGCTATATTCGGCAACCACTGGTTTAGGGATAACTGGCCCACTGAGACGGATGCCTTGCCGGCTTCTAGGGAAACGTTCTCCTTGTTCGAGATTTACCCCATTGTGGCGGCTGCTCATACATGGGGTCATCTATGGACCGGCAAGGCAGTCAAATGCTGCTCTGACAATTCGGCAGCCTGCGAAATTATAAACAAGGGGTGGTCCTCCTCTCTAACCATCATAAGTTTGGTATGCAATCTGACTTGGCTAGCAGCAACTGCTCAGTTTCACCTTGTCTGCGAACACATTCCTAGTATTCGTAACATAGCTGCGGATTCTCTTTCCCGCTCTCATTTTCAGGTGTTCTTCCAGGCACTCCCTACTGCCCTCCACCTACCATCCAGGATACCACCTTTTCACAAGTTACTAATGGACTGACTGAACTACTACTCCATGCTCAAGCACTCACGCACCACGCACTCTCACCCAACACCCTTACCACTTACGCTAGGGCACTAACCATTTTCAATAAGTTCTCTGCAGAGTTTCACTTACAAGGAGATTTCTCTATTAAAACCATGGTGGCTTTTGCCTCCTTCTGTCACTTACACCTAAAATTATCTCACAACACCATTAAGCTTTACCTCACCTGGGTACAGCACCACGTTCTCACTAACTTTCCTAATCACGCAGCTTTTCTTGCATCATACCCTATTAAGAACTTCTTTAAAGGTATTCATAAAGTAACAGTTCCCCCTGCAACTAGCAGACTTCCCTTCGACGGGCCTATTTTTAGACTTCTCAGCGACCTACTAGACAAATCCCCTTTCGATTACCATACAAACTATGTTATCAAAGCTGCCATTTTTATCGCTTTCTATGGCTTCCTTAGACCTAGAGAGTTTACTGTTGTATGCCAAGTAGATACCACTCCAAGACTAAAGTTGTCTCACCTAAAGAAAGTCGATGACCACCACGTCCTTTTATTACTTTCTACTAAAACAAACCACAGCAATCAGGCCTGAATTTGTGGGAGGAGTTATGGCCCCTACTTAAACTCCCAGCCCCTACTCACCTCTGCTGTTCAAGCTGATTGACCCCACCCACCTCCACCCATCAAATATTACATTATCACCTTTGTGGGCCCTCTTTTATTACAGGCCTACTCGTTCGTTGGTTTCAGCACACCTCAACAAACTATGCATCTTCTTATACAATCCATAACCTATTCCGAGCACAAATATGTATAATATATTACAAAATAATTAAAACATTTTATAATATATTATATATATATATAATGCATATATATGATTACATTATAAGTGTATTTTGAGATATATGTGTATATATCTCAAAGTACACTTATAATGCAATCATGTATATGCATTATATATGTATTATATATTACAAAATGCTTTAATTATTTTATAATATATTATACATATATAATATTTGTATAAAATATTATTTTTATTACTCCATTTAATAATTTTTTTTTTACTTTTTAGATGGCTGGTGGACTGCCTGATAGCTCAGACAGTCCCCCTGCTGGCAGCTCCATAGACTGCTATTGCGGCCATGTGATCATGGTGGATGGAGCTGCTGCAGGGGGACTGCTGGGGTCCCGGGCAGATCCCCCCGACCCGGATTGCTGCAGATCGCTGGTCCAGGTAAGTCCAGGGGTGATTTTTGCCATGGACCTCATTAACGACCGTTTTTTGTTGGATATACCAGTACGTCCGTGGCCGGGAAGGGGTTAAATGCCATGTTGAGTTTAACTATCCCATTACTGGAAAACCATTTACAATTTTGACAGTACAAGGATATCTCACAAGGATTACAACGATCTTTTCCATGTTGCCATTACACAAAAAAAAAAGATCTTAATTTGTCTTCAGCTGCATCCTCCAAGTGTAAGATTGATAGATTTTGGTAAAGTTAAGAATATATATTTGGGTGGAAGTTCATACTTGTTTCCCCACTCACTGTCACTCTTGACCGACCAATGTAAGCAACAGTCAGACTCGGAGCCCAAGGTTTAGTCACAGCCACACCCCAAAATATTACACGATGTGTGACAGTATAATTCTTACCTAAGCTCCTGTAGAATGCAGCCAGGGTGTTGAAGACCTTCACACAGATGTTTTACTCCCAAATCCTCTATATCATTACTGGATAGGTCCAGGTTTTTCAATGACAGGTTATGAACAATAACAGACTTCAGATCCTCACAGCAAGATAAGGTGAGATCACATTTCCGCAACCTGCAAATATGAAAGACATTAACAGAACTCAAAGGCGCTGGACTAATTGTTCTAGAGAACAATTATATTCATTTGTACAGCAAGAACCTCATGCAGCTCACACTAGTCTGCAAGAGTGATGCCCCCAAATGAGGCCAAATATTGACAGAGACAGGAAGTGAGGCCTCATAAACAAACAAACACAAACACACACATATATAAAGAATGAAATAGGGACCATAACAGTGAGAAAGGAGGATAATCATAAGGAGGATGGGGGTCAATGACATGGACAATTGATAGGGACCATAACAGTGAGGAATGAGGATGATCATAAGGAGGATGGGGGACAATGACAGGGATAATTGATAATTAGAGCAATGTAGAAAGCGAGAATCAAAGGACAATGACAGACAGAGACAGTGGGAATTAGAAGCAAAGGGAAAATAACAGGAAATAAGACGGTCAGTGAAATTTAGGAAAAAGGGAAAGTGATGTTTTACTGAAACCATTTCTCCAGACATCATTTGTCATGTGGTAGAAGGGGACCAGAAATAAATGTAAGACTTTGTTACATAGTTTGTTAAGAAGAGTCACTTTTAATTCTGGCTAGTAGGTTGAGATTTGAAATATGGAGACCTGATCAGAATCTTATTTGTGTTTGTTTCATTGCTTTACCTTCTGATTGCAACTCAATTAAGGATAGTGTGGTGAGACTTCCTCCCTTGAGTTCCATTTTAGTTTCCCCCCAAATCAAAATATAAAATGGGTTTTAATCACCTTTTTGCCAGCGCTGATCAAGCTATCTCCCATGACATCACAGCAACAAAATGCACATTGTTGGCAGAGGTATAACTCCACATCCTAGAGTTCCGGACTGTGCATGTTGGGCATTTGTTGTCAGCACCCATAGCATGCTGGCTACAGATGGGCAGTGGTGGCATGGATTGCCCCCTGTGTGGCCCCCAAGTCCTCCTTGCAGTCTGTAAAATGCTATCTAAATGTAAAAAAATCCTAATCCTAAAAATTCTGACAACCCATTTTCATTATAGTATGCAGGATCCTTATGGTCCTTAAGCTTCTGATCTACATATTTTGTATCTCCCTAAAAATGCAATTACTAGCTTGATCAAGTACTTACTAAAATAACATAGTACTATTATTATTATTGACATTTATATAGTGCTAACTTATTATTATTAAATTTCCACCTTTATAATATATATATATATATAAAGGGTGGAACTTAAGAATATATTAGACAATTACAAAATGTTACAGGAAGAATACGTTGATGGTGGGGTATAAAAAAAGCAATAGGAATGGCAGCATGAGGGATAGCAACCAAACTAGCAAACATTATTGTACACATGTCATGCAAAATTGATCTTCTGGCATTTTATGGAAAATAACATCTATATAGTATAAAAGTCTATATTTCCCAATTTTCTGAGTTGGGGAGAAGATATTAGTTGACGCACTTAAGAAATCAAATGATAGCATGACTACCTCAAATGCTAATGCCCTGACATCAAGGGGATAAAACCATGAAATAACATTGTTCTTACCTCAGCTCCTGTATTGTACAGCCTGGATGCTTTAGACCTTCACATAAAAGTTTTACACCTGAGTCATTCAGTTTATTCTCTGACAGGTCCAAATTGATCAGGGATCGGTTTGTTATAAAAACAGAGTAAAAATCTTCACAACAGATTGATGTCAAATTACAGTCTTCCAATCTACAAAGAAAAAATATATTAATTGAATATTTATTTACAGTGTGTGTATATAATGAATGCAGTGTGTGTGTGTGTGTGTATAATGCAGTGTGTGTGTATGAGTGCAGTGTGTGTGTGTATGAATGCAGTGTGTGTGTATATAATGCAGTGTGTGGGTATGAGTGCAGTGTGTGGGTATGAGTGCAGTGTGTGTGTGTGTGAGTGCAGTGTGTGTGTGTGTGTGTGTGTGTGCGTGTGTGAGTGCAGTGTGTGTGTGTATGAGTGCAGTGTGTGTGTGTGATGCAGAGCCTTGGTGGGGGTGGGCATTTTTTTATTTTTTTTAAATTATTATTATTATTTTAATATTATTATTATTTTGATACAGGCAGGCTTGAGGTGCCCCAAAAGCAATCCTCAGGCCATTCCTCCGCTTTACATGCGGGACATATGTCTATCAAGCACAATTTTTAATATAAACATGCTTAGTTAATCATACTTTAAGCTGTAAGAAGTTAAAATAGCTAGTTCAGAATAATTTTATATGAGGATGTGACATAACTAGGAGTATTTCTATGTTGCTTGCCGAAAGACCTAGGCTGAGAACAGTACAGGTCATGCATATATATATCAGTAGCTATACAGATAAAGCAGTACTCCTAGGCTTCACGTGGCTTACAGGCTAGGCCTTGAGCACTCAGTGCAATACAAAAATCACCATTTAGCAGTAGATGCCCAGTTTTATCAGGGCATAGGCACAGTTATACAGTAAGTTGCTTGGAAGTTATCGTTACATAACAGGCTGACTAGGCATTAAATCTGAGTAACATTCTGTCTTTCGTGGTTTACTATGAGTGTAACGAACATAAGATCACTAATCTCAAGGTCTATTCATGCTGATGCAATATCATTAACTGTGTGATTCTTCAGTGATAAGATTAAACATCTAGCGCCCTATGCTTAACTAATGGAAGGCTAATATTAACAAGCGTAAGTAAGGTATACAATGGTTGGCAAAAAGCATTTGTCAGCACATGAAATCAAACTATTATGCAGCGGTCACCGGCACCGGCACTTGCATCTGGACCCATGGGGTAGCGTATGCGGGTCATAAGAGAGTTTGTGGTGAGTCACCATTTATCCTATTCCTTCTGTGGGAATGCGGCTGAGGCTCTCCGGCTGGTCCAGAGGAGGTGCTGATGCTCGGCCGGTGGTGGGGGTGTCCCTCTTGCCCCAAGCTGGTGTGCAGGCCTGCGTCTTCTGGCCTGAGACTCGGTGGCATACGTTGCCCGAGTGTCTCCCCCTCATGGGGGTGGCGGGAGGTCTGTAGGTTGATTGCCGCTTGTGTTTCCGCCTATGTGGCCGACGCCTTCGGGTCAGGGCCCTCTTGGCCTGCAGCCCGGGTGGGCCGGGGTGAGTGAGTGTCAGCTTTTGGTCTCGTGTTGCGCCTGAGGGAGTCCCCCTCTCGCCCGGCTGCCCATAGCTCCCCTCTCTTGGGTCCATGGGATCCTGTCGCTTTGTCTTGGTGCGCTGTGCACGCCGCTGGAGCTTCTCCCAGAAGATTTATTTTTTTCATCCCACCTCCCTGCTTGTTAGCTGGCCAGGGAGGGGGGCTCTCATCCCCTGGTGGTCCAGTGGCATGGGCTGTGTAGGAGGGGGGCTGGCAGAGAGTTGTTACTTACCTTTCCTGCAGCTCCTGTCAGCTCCCTTCTCTCTTCTCCGGTCCGGTCAGCTCCCTTCTCCTCCACTGTAAGTCTCGCGGTCCGAGTGCCGCGCGGAGGGTTGCCACGGTAACCGTGGCAACGCTCTGACCCTGCTGCTCTTGCGAGACTTGCAGTGGAGCTGACAGGGGAGCTGACCGGACCAGGGGAGAGAGAAGGGAGCTGACAGGAGCTGCAGGAAAGGTAAGTAACAACTCTCTGCCAGCCCCCAACAGGACCGCCAGGCTTGTAATGAGCCCGGCGGTCCTGGTCTGTATTATGGCAATGTAAGTTGCCATAATACAGACACTGACTCGAGTATAAGTCGAGTGGGGGGTTTTCAGGACAAAAAATGTGCTGAAAAACTCGTCTGATACTCGAGTATATACGGTAGATCAAATGAAAAAGAACACTTTCACAGAGTGGAAATCTTTTTAAGCTATTACCTACAAATTCTTTCTTTAACTCTTTACTTATTTTTTAAATAATTTAACAGAGCCATCTAGTCTCGCTCTGAGTTGCAAACAAAAGTAGAAGCAATATCAGGACTTGGAATACATTCCACTAATGCTAATTAACCATTAACTTAAACATGTATTCATTTGTCATCACTTACTCCTATTACTGCTCACTAGTCGAGATGGCTCATTGGCCACAAATCAGCCTCATACCACATATTTCAGTTTACATTCCATGAAATCTCAACATAGAATAAATTACTACTATCACTCAAGGTCACTTTCTAATGAAGCCAACATGCCACATTCTTGTTCCCTTGCCACCCACCAAAATTACTTCTGCACAAAAGGTTCTCTTCCCCTGAGGGGACTACTGAGCAACATTGTTATTAAGTTGATACCGCTTAAGGCAGTTATATGCAGTTGTACTTAGGTGGAGATTCATTATGCAGCCAAGTTGCATTCATGCAGCTTGCAATCACATAGTAACAGCTTCAATTAATCAAATAAGTTGGTCCGTCACGCACATCTCATTCAAGAAACTTGGAGGTGAAAGATTTGTGAAATGGATAGGTAGTTAGCTAAAGAAAAAAATTGGATGAATTGGTGGGTTTTTTATAATGGAAGTGATTGTTACATATTTGAAGCAAAAGTAGATATTCCAGAAGACAAAGAAATTTTTTATATGTTAGTAAGAGATGGAAAAAGAGAGATAAGTACATGGATTAGCTCACGGGCCATCTAGCTAAGCACTTTGTATAAAGAGCCCCAATGGCTGGATATCAGCTTACGGGCAGGGCCCTCTCTACCTCTTGTATTTGTCTGTGTATATTGTACGTTTTCCACTAATTGTACAGCGCTGCGGAATCTGTTGGTGCTTTATAAATACCAGTAATAATAATAATAATGGATTGTAATTGGGTAAATTCAGATAGTGTGGGAGAGGACAAAGGAAGAACAGAAACGTCTTTCTCAGAACTGTCAAGAATAAACTTAGAAGAAACAAGGTAGAGGGTTTGTATAGGTTCAGTGAGGGAAAAAAGTATTTGATCCCCTGCTGATTTTGAAAATTTGTCCACTGACAAAGAAATGATCAGTCTATAATTTTAATGGTAGATGTATTTTAACAGTGAGAGACAGAATAACATTTAAAAAAAATCCTGAAAAACACATGTCAAAAAAAGTTATAAATATATTTTTATGTCAATGAGTGAAAGTATTTGGTCCCCTATCAATCAGCAAGACTTCTGGCTCACAGGTGTCTTTTATACAGGTAACGAGCTGAGATTAGGAGCACTCTCTTAAATGGAGTGCTCCTAATCTCAGCGTGTTACCTGTATAAAAGACACCTGTCCACAGAATCAATCAATCAGATTCCAAACTCTCCACCATGGCCAAGACCAAAGAGCTGTCCAAGGATGTCAGGGACAAGATTGTAGACCTACACAAGGCTGGAATGGGCTACAAGACCATCGCCAAGCAGCTTGGTGAGAATGTGACAACAGTTGGTGCGATTATTCGCTAATGGAAGAAACACAAAAAACCTGTAAGTCTCCCTCGGTCTGTTTCTCAACGTCAAACATGGAGCTGGAAACATTATGCTTTGGGGATGTTTTTCTGCCAAGGGGACAGGACAACTGCACCGCATCAAAGGGACGTTGAACGGGGCCATGTACCGTCAAATCTGGGGTGAGAACCTCCTTCCCTCAGCCAGGCCAGGGCATTGAAAATGGGTCATGGGTGGGTATTCCAGCATGACAATGACCCAAAACACACAGCCAAGGCAACAAAGTAATGGCTCAAGAAGGAGCACGTTATGGTCCTGGAGTGGCCTAGCCAGTCTCCAGACCTTTATCCCATGGAAAGTCTGTGGAAGGAGCTGAAGGTTCGAGTTGCCAAACGTCAGCCTCGAAACCTTAATGATTTGGAGAGTATCTGCAAAGAGTAGTGGGTCAAAATCCCTCCTGAGATGTGTGCAAGCCTGGTGGCCAACTACAAGAAACATCTGACCTCTGTGATTGCCAACAAGGGTTTTGCCACCAAGTACTAAGTCAAAGGGGTCAGAGACTTATTTCACTCATTGACATGCAAATCAATTTATAACTTTTTTGACATGCGTTTTTCTGGATTTTTGTTTTTGTTATTCTGTCTCTCACTGTTAAAATACACCTACCATTAACATTATAGACTGATCATTTCTTTATCAGTGGGCAAACGTTCAAAATCAGCAGGGGATCAAATACCTTTTTTCCCTCACTGTATCTTGTCTTCTTTTAGCAAATATAAGCTGTGAAGTTAGAGAGTAGATCAGTGTTAAAAGAGTAAAATAATATGTTAAAGTGGTGCTTGAAATTACAAAAGAAGGAGATGGTGAGTAAGTTTGTTTGGTAATGGAGAGGGCTGAAATGAAATAGTGTGACAACCATATATACTACATGGAAACTCTGGTCTACACCATAACTACTTCCATTCTTCTCAGGCAAGTACAAGCACCTTTGGAGTTAGATTAGTTTTGTGTTCTAGGACCTTGGTTTTAGTTAATATAGACAATGGTGTGTAGCTGGTGCTACATTCTTTAGGGTAAGTGACAGGATAGTGTTAAAAAAAGAGAGGTTAAGACAGGAGAAAGCCTACTTGGAAAGACTTAATTTTGTTAGAGAATTGCTGCAAATCATAAGGGTTTAAAGTTGATGTTAGGTTATGTGTTTGAAATTGTGTAGAGGGCACATAAATCATGTACTTCAGCAGATAATCATCGTGAATTTGGAAAGCATGTATTGGAAAGTTCAAGAATGAGCACAGATTAAAGAAGTTTCTTTTTTAGAGTGTTACCAATTTTATGATTAAGACAGTTAGTCATTTCCATGCAATCACAAAGTCATGTAGAGGAATTTGGAGCTAACACAGAAAGGAGGATGCCAGAGAGCTACAAAGGTAAGGCTAGACGCTGATGTCTCCTTGCATCACTCCTTTCCAGGTAACTTGGGTAGCTTGATACTAGAGTGCCAACAGAAAGATGTGACAATGGACAGAGCAAGTGGTAACATTCCTTAGAGTGTTCCCCACAATTCCAAACAGTAACGCACTTAGTAAAAGTAAGCTCAAATTCACCTCCAGTACAGACCTTGTAAGTAACTTGCGATCCAGATAAAATCCTAGATAAATTCAAATAAACTACAAAAATATTTCAAAGTCTCAGATCCAAGTACCTGTGAGAAGCTGGGAGGGGGAGGGAGGGGTAATAATGTAGGCAAAGAATTACCCTAAGCGGGTTCTGAATGCACGTTTACCCTAACACTTTGTCAGTTACTGAGAGAGAAAAAAAGAGACATGGAGAGTAGAAAAGAGGAAAACATCAATTGGGAATCTAGGATACGATAGTGAAAATGAGGAGCTGGAAAGTATTAGAGGATGTGGTTATGCTTATTTAAAGGCAGGATTAATGGAGAGGCAATAAGGACAATGCGTATAAATATGGATACAATAATAACAGTGTAACACAGTATAACACCTACCCCAATTCAAGCAGCACACATCCTGACTGCATGAGACCCCCACACAAATATTTCACTCCTGAGTCCTGCAATTCATTCTGTGACAATTCAAGTTTGGCCAGACATTTGTTTAAAATAACAGAGCAGATATCCTCACAGGAAGATGAAGTAAGATTGCACTTCTCTAACCTGTAAAGACATTAGATAAACATATTAAATTAGTGACATTCAGCCTCTTTGTAGTGAAGGGACACATAGTTGTCCAACTTGTTAGCTAGAGGGGGTGGAGAACAAGTCCAGTAAATCTAGTGCATAAAATGTATAACTGTCTCTTACTCATTTCATCTTTCTTCTCTCCTCCTCATGCTATTATCTTTCCGTGTTCCAACAGGGCCTCTCATTACTCAATCTCGTCTCCTATACCCCTTGTCATTCCATTCATGTTTCTAATTTCTCTCCACTTCACACTTTCTCAGTCTCCCCCTTGCCTACTCTTTTCATCAATATTTTAGATTTACCTTTAGCTTAGTCCTATTTCATTTTTGATCACTGACTATTATCATTTAAAACCATTAATATAGTCTCTTTTAGTTTTAGCTCATGATTTTACTATGTATCAAGTTTAGCAAATTCCCCTCCTACAACACACCATGGATAATGCTAGATTGCTTTCTATACTTAAGTAGGTGTCTACATCTTTAAACAACTTCTGCCCAGTATAAGTCTATGGGCAGAGTTTTTGTAATAAGTACACAATTGACTAGTATTGATAGGGTTAAGTGTACTGAACTTCCCTTTTACAATCAACAATTCCCATTGGTCCACCACATTTCAAACTGACCAATGAGATCCATCTTACCCCTTCTTTTACCGGGCTGGATCTGAAGCACGGTTCACCTCTGATGAGCCAGAGCGGTGAATGCGCGCCAGGGGCATTTACCTGGCGTTATCCATTATCACTGCACTAGCAGTGATTCACCTCTATCCCTGCTGTAGCATGAGCAGGTTAATCACGGCACTTCTCGCGCACAATCTTTGGTGAGCGGCTTTATGGTTATCTGACACAATGGCACATCGAGTCTCCCAATCCAGACACTAACTGCTGGTTCTCGGTAAGCAGCACTGTCAATAAAGCTTTTGCTACCAATCTTAATTATCTGCACTGACAGCATGAGCATTTTTCGCTATTAAATCCATACGGCAGTTATTTTTACTTTATGGTGGGAGGAGGTGTATAATTTTTCTTTAGCCGGTAGGAGATTCTCAGGCTTTACTTTAAGGGGTGCCCTCGAAGGCACAAGTGGACAGGGCTTGAGTTTTGAATAAATTCACTACTTTAGCATATATTGTCTCTGCCTATCGATATCTCTGTCTGACCACTATCTCTATGTGTATATAGTCTAATGTATGGTAGTACTGGTAGGAATATATCTTTACATCTATCCTGTCTCATGTATATCTACCTACTCCATTTCCACTCTGTGGAGATAGACAGAACTACCGGGTATAAACACACCGCTTAGTTCACCTTCCCCTACAGCGTGAATTTCTCCATACTGTTATTAGTCTACCAACAAGGATATATCTCCTCAATGACTAAAATACCACACACTCTGCACTTGGTTTATCATTATCAGTATCTGTTCAGGTCACATCTGGATTTTGTCTATATATACTTGACACGGTCTGGCAAGCTAACAGTCTTAAAGCAGCACTGTCATGCTGAACTTACCTTTCTTTAATCGCTTCCTCTTCTCTCCCTCTCTCAAGATCTGTTCTTCATTTCTTCCTGTCTGCTCTAGTTTTCTTTAAAACATAAGACAAAGTAGGGACTATTTGTCTTATGGAGGTTTCCTACGCCTGACCATCTGTGACCAGCGGAGGAGCAAAGTGTGCTTCATTTCCGGTTGTCAGAGAGATTTCCCCACAATTGTTAACTTTTCTCCCTGTTCCCGTGATGCTTCCTGTCAGTATTCCCGAACATCCCGTCATTTAGACAGGACGCCAGCAAAACTGCCGAATTGCGTCCTAATACAATGAGAACAGTTTCTAATGAATTAAACTCCGTTCCTATTCGTGCTGCGGCTGCATCTTGCAGCCGCTTAGTAGATAACTCCCTAATTCCCACGATATTGGTCTTTCAGCCACATTTACTAATACTAAGTAAAAATTACTTAGTATTAGTAAATTCTGCCCCTACTCGCTATACCGCCTATGGCTGCTCACTGTTAAAAAAACAAACAAGTACCCTGGCCCCCACCCCTGAGTGGCGGGTGGGGGCCCTAAAGGATAATGAGGGGGGACCTATTATCCTCCCCCCTGGCCACCACCCGTGAATGGTGGGTGGGGGCCATAAATAACAATGAGGGGGGACCTATTATCCACCCCATCTCACCCCCCACCCCTGAGCGGCGGGTGGGGGCCATGAAAGACAATGAGGGGGTGGGGGGACCTATTGTCCTCCCCCCCCAGACCCCACACCTAATCGGTCCCTAAATGAAAATGCCCACCTCCCCCCTTCCAAGGTGACTAGGAGTCCCCAAGCCCCTAGTCACCCCCCAACCAAATAAAAAAATAACCCCCTAGTTACCCCCTCACCATAAAAAGAGTGAGGGGGATTAAAAGAACTAACTATATGTAAAAAAATAAAAATAAAACTTAATCCACCTTCACCCGGCGAGGGCACGGCGCAGACTGAGCTCCGCAGGGCGGGGAAAGGCTTATAAAGCTGTGTAAAAGGACACAAAGCACTCTGGTTGGAGGGATTTCAAGCCATCCAATCAGAGTGTTATGAGTCATTTTACACAGCGTGGGAAAGTTCTTTGGAATTTTCCCACACTGTGTAAAATGACACATTTCAAGCCATCCAATCAGAGTGTTCTGAGCCTAATTGCAGGGCGGGGCAAGGCTGATCACTGTTTAGTAGACATGCCCCTACTCGCAGTATAACGAGTAGGGACATTCAGGAGATTTTAATCTCCCTTATGCTATTATGGAGGTCATATTGACCCCCATACAGTGAGGGAGGACATGGGGGGCTTAGGAAGTGGCGGGGAGCACTGCTTCCTGCCGCTTCTATCTTTACATTTTACAAGTAGGGAGCTGTGCGCCGGCAGCTCCCTCTTTGTAATAAACTGAACGAACAAACGAGCACTGATATTCAGTGTTTGTTTGTTTGTTCGTCTGACATTTCTATTCATGCATTCGTTCTTTCTGACGAATGAATGAATAGTTGAAATTCACGTTTGCGTGCCCAAGTGTTTAACTGGGCAAGTGCGGGAATTTCACAGCGCTATCTAGTGTGGGCAGATGACGTGTCCCACAGGGACTTCATCTACCCACACAAAGATGGCGGCACCCTGAACATATCCGGACACAAAATAAAGTAAAAAAATAGGTAATATGGGGGGCTTAGAGGCATTTGGGACTGAATAAGGGGTCAGTTAGATGTAGTGGAGTTGGGAGGGGGGTTAAAAAAAAAGGCATTCGGCCATGACAGTGCTGCTTTAAGGCTTGGCTGAGAAACGTATTCTACATAGTATTTCTCCTCAGCCACTTTTACAACTCTGTTATTGCCAGTATCCTTAGAGCATAATTAGACTCACTAACCTGAACAGACGAGCGATTAGATAGAATGCTGATACAATATATCAAACGAAACAGACTTGAAGTCAGACTTTCTACTGACACAAAATATCAGTTTACACCATAACAATGTAAATATCTCCTTACTGACATAGTCTGGTTAATACATACCGTTTTCCCAATATATGGTTTCAGAATCAGTGTGATACTTTATGATATAATGTACTGGTTTCACATTTATACCAGACATTGTAAAGAGGCGAAAGTACAAGAACACATTTGATAAATGTATGCCAATCAGTGCACTGTTTCAGCCACTTATACAACGCTATTTCGACTAATATTTGTTCACTAGATATGTTATACTTACCAAACAGACATTAGTGTATTGTATCTATTAACCAGTACACATTGGGCTATGGACAAATTTACAATTTGATTCCAAGACCGCACTGTTTAGTGAACTTCACAGTGTGAGTTTTTTTCGATTATTTGTCTATATATTTAGACACAATCATTCCTTTTAGTCTCTTTGTGCCACCTATCCTGCTACAACAGGACTTAGATTTTTGTTTGCTATTCTAGCAACATTAGTTTGGGGTATATAGGATATTGTACCCTGTACTATACTGAGGCATTAAGTTGCCGCTTTTTATCTCACTTGTTCACAGGTGTTAGGCCATTTTTAATACCCCCTATTTTAGCTTGCTTAACAATAAAAGTTAAAGGACCACTCTAGGCACCCGGACCACTTCAGCTTAATGAAGTGGTCTGGGTGCCAGGTCCAGCTAGGGTTAACCCATTTTTTTATAAACATAGCAGTTTCTGAGAAACTGCTATGTTTATGAATGGGTTAAGCCTTCCCCCAAAGCCTCCAGTGGCTGTCTCATTGACAGCCACTAGAGGCGCTTGCGTGCTTCTCACTGTGATTTTCACAGTGAGAGCACGCCAGCGTCCATAGGAAAGCATTGTAAATGCTTTCCTATGCGACCGGCTGAATGTGCGCGCAGCTCTTGCCGCGCGTGCGCATTCAGCCGACGGGGCGGAACGGAGGAGGAGAGCTCTCCGCCCAGCGCTGGAAAAAGGTACGTTTTAACCCCTTTTCCCCTTCCAGAGCCGGGCGGGAGGGGGACCCTGAGGGTGGGGGCACCCTCAGGGCACTATAGTGCCAGGAAAACGAGTATGTTTTCCTGGCACTATAGTGGTCCTTTAAGTTTTGTTTGGAAGGATTTTTTTTTTTTGTCAACTGTAATTCTATTTTTCCCTGTATGTTTCCCTCTATTAGGATAATTTACTTTCCTCCTATTATTCTCCTTTTTGTTCTTTATTTTCAATAATAAATACTTTATTTATTTAAGTAGTTAAAGAATCAACATTTTGTCCAGAGACATTAGTATAGATCTCACCTCAGTTCTTGTATTTTACACTCTGATTGCCTTAAGCCATCACAAAGTACTTTTGCTCCTGAGTCCTGCAGTTCATTCCATGTCATGACAAATTTAGTCAAATATCGATTTTTAATAGTAGATAAAAGATATCTGCAGCATAATGGAGTCAGATTACAGCGAATGAATCTGCAATGAGATGAATATTTAACATAGCATAACTCCAATACAAATTCCTAGTTTGAAAGGCAATGTAAACGTATTAGTTGATTTAAAAAAAACATAGTCCTGAAAATAACAATTGTCTTTTCAGGACAATAGGTTCCCTTCTATTGCTGGAACCACTGTCCATCCTTTTTTGCTGCTAAAAATTGAAGTTACGTAATGATTACTTACCTCATTTCCAGCACTAGACTCCTCTGCTGCAGCTGTCCTCTCCACCTTTGAAGATGTCAGCATGCCTACTGATGATCTCCTCTACAAAACTGCAGTGTTGTACATTGCAGGGTTAAAATGACAGGACAATTTTAGTGATCCTTTAAGTTATGTATTCCTTAACTGTGATATTGGCTTATGGTCTCATTTATGTAGTTATTATTCACCAGGTCCCCTCTAAAGTGAATTTTCTTACACTGAACTGAGAGCTGCCTATTGTGCAGCACTGAGCCAGGAAGCACCTCCAAGGGCCATCTGAGGAGTGGCCACTTGGAGGTGTCCCTAGGGGCAATTTAAGCACTGCCTTTTCTCTGGTTTCTTACATGAAAATGCCTGCAGGGAATGATTATACTCACTAGAACAACTACATTAAGCTGTAGTTGTTCTGGTGACTAGTAACAATGGACATGGGAGGGCCTAAAATTAACTAGTGACATTGAGATCTAAGAGTTGTATTCCTAATGCTGTAGTGTCTCTTTAATAACTTCCCTTCACAATATTCTAATCATGTTGCAAATAATGTGTCAACAGAAGGGATGGAGAATATTATTGAAAGACATAGGTTTCATTATCAACATAAAGCAATTTGTTTTTATTCCAGGGTTCCAGCGGTTAGACAATATTAAGTTATCTTCTTCAACATTAACCCCTTAAGGACCGGACTGTTTTTGCGATGTACATTTGTGACCAGGCATCTTTTTACACTTTTGTGGTGTTTGTGTTTAGCTGTAATTTTCCGCTCTCTCATTTGGTGTTCCCATACAAATTATAGATTGGTTTTTTTCAGGACAAAAGGGGCTTTTTTTACATACCATTATTTATATAATTTAATGTAATAAAATTTAAAAAAAATGAAAAAATATGATGAACAATTGAAAAAAATACATGTTTTTTGACTTTTACTTGAAAAATCTTTTACTCGTCTACAAAAGCGAATGAAAAAAAATGCTAAATAGATTCAAAATGTTGTCCTGAGTTTAAAAATACCCAGTGTATAGGGCTATAAGTACAAGAAGGATATTGCGGTTTTAAAACATACATTTTTAAAATGTATCAATAGTGACATTGTAACACTATTATCTGTCATAAATCTCTGAATAACACCCCACATGTACATATTTTTTTTTTAAAGTAGACAACCCAGGGTATTCAATATGGGGTATGTCCAGACTTTTTTAGTAGCCAGTTAGTCGCAAACCCTGGGCAAAGTTAGCATTCATATTTGTTTGTGTGTGAAAAAAGTAAAAAAACTAAATTGAATGCTAGTTTCGGCCAGTTTTTGTGACTAAGTGGTTACTAAAAAAGACTGGACATACCCCATTTGCAATACCTTGGGTTGTCTTCTTTTACAAATGGTATGCCATCATGGGGGTAATTCTCATTCCTGGGCTACCACACGCTCTCAAAGGCAACGTAACCAACCTGGCCATTTTCAATGTAAAAATATTTGACCCATATATTTGACCCTGTAATTTTCACAAACGCTATAAAACCTGTACATGGGGGTACTGTTATAATCAGGAGACTTTGCTGAACACAAATATTAGTGTTTCAAAACTGGAAAACGTATCACAACAATTAAATCATCAGTAAAAGTGCTGTTTGTGTGTGAAAAATGCAAAAAAAGTCACTTTCACTGACAATATCATCGCTGTGATATGTTTTACTGTTTTGAATCACTAATATTTGTGTTCAGCAAAGTCTCCCGAGTAAAACAGTACCCCCCATGTACAGGTTTTAGGGTGTCGTAGAACGTTACAGGGTAAACTACAGTGCTAGCAAATTAAATTTTCTGGACTTTTGGCCTGGTTTGGCAGGCAGGTCCCTCAAATTGCAATCAATAAAATTACTTAATTATGTAAAAATATTACATAAATACGCACGTAGAATTTAAATATATAAGCATATTTATATATTTGAAGTCTACGTGTATATTTATATAATTATTTATGTAATTTTGTATATGGACATATGCATATTTCGTATTATTTTTATTTATCTATATATACATAGATATATATACAATTTCATTCTAAGTGTATTTTGATCGGGTAAGTACATCTGACCGTTAGGACAGTTCAGGACCGTCAGCGGTCGGCAATGCAAAAATGTCGATGACGGTCCTGAACCGTCCTCGGTCCTTAAGGGGTTAAAGGCACACTGTAGGCCCTATAACCATTTCATATTATTGAATTGGATATAGTGCCTGGAGTCCCCTGGTACTGTCCCTCAATTCAATAGTAAACCATGTATGGGCAGTTGAAGATTGAATAAGGGTCCTTGGCCTGCCATAGCCCATTACAACTGGATACATGGCTAAGGCAGAGATTACACACTTGCTTGTATTTATACCAATCCATGCCTGCAATGGCACTGTGATAGGCTGAATATGGTCAGCTTACACTCTCACACTCTCAGCCCCCAATCACAGCTCAGCCTAATGCTTCCCATTAGCTCAAACAACATAAAGGGAGTGGACTGCTGGAGACACTTGTTTAGCAATAGGGCATTAAAAACAGTTTAATGCTGAATAGATGGAGGGTGCTATGGGACAGCATACACTATACGCCTCAATGATATGAAGCAGTTAGTGTCTACAGCAGTGGTTGTCAACCCTTTTCTACCTACCGCCCACTAATGCATCTTTCTTGATGGAAAAATGTCCTTACCGCCCACCAGTTTTTGCGCTAGTGCAGAATATTTTTTAGAAAGGAGGGTGTTTAAAAAAAAAATTAAAAAAAATGTACGTACATTTATCTTTTTATTTCTACTTTATGCATGTTTATATTGTTTTTAACTTTATAAAGTTTAATGAGAAAACAATAAAGTAAATTGAAATTACCTTTACTAGTGATTAATGAGATCCTTGAGGTTGATGCTGCAAGACTAAATATTTGATATCTGGTTCGATTTTCATAAGGAACAAACGAAGGTCTACTCTTTCGGTGATATTCAGACGATTTCTCTGTTTGCTCACAATATGATTTCTCATCTGTGCATCAGCGTCCCTCCCCACCTTTTTTTTCTTCCTTTTTTCTATTTTTTAACCTTCCTTATAGCAATGCCCAGTAGGAAGGCTGAGCTAGGCAGCCCACTTACTATTATTAGCCAAAAACAATTCTCTCCTTTTCCTTTTCCTTTTCATTCTTTCTCGTTTTTTACAAGTACTCTACTCCTTCTTTCTCCTTTTTACAAATACTCTGCTCCTTCTTTCTTCTATTCTAGAAGTACTCTGCTCACAGACAAACAGCTCCCTCGCCGCAGCTGATCTTACCACTGCCGCATGCCATGCCGGTCACTGAAATCTTGGCATGATTTTGGCATGATCTCCCTGAAGTAAACCCATGTTGTCTCAGATATTGAAATCCATGTGATTTTAGATGTTCAACAATCCTATCCTTTAACATGGTTTCCATTACTTTCCCCACTACTGAAGTAAGACTTACTGGCCTATAATTGCCCGACTCCTCCCTACTACCTTTCTTGTGAATGGGCACAACATTCGCTAATTTCCAATCTTCTGGGACTACTCCTGTTAAAAATGATTGGTTAAACAAATCTGTTAATGGTTTTGCTAGTACACCACTAATCTCTTTTAATAACTGCGGGTGTATTTCATCAGGCCCCATAGACCTATTTGTCTTTACTTTTGACAGTTGAGATAGAACCTATTCCTCTGTAACCACACAAGTAACAAATTACTAGTTTGTCCTTTTTCCTAACTAAGGTTACTTTCCTTCATTTTCATTTGTAAATACTGAACAAACATATTAATTGAGGCAGTCAACCGGATCTAAATCCACTTCTACATACCTTCCTTCTATTGTTTATAATCTAACTAATCCTTATTTTACTTTTCTTTTCTCATTTGTTTCTAAAAAATGTTTTGTCCCCCATTTTACTGACTGGGCAATTTTTTCTTCTGTGTGTGATTTGGAAGCTTGCATAACTTGCTTAGCCTCTTTTTGTCTAACCTTATAAATCTGTCTGATGATCACTGGATCCTAAACTTTCACCTATAGTAATATCTGATACTAAATCTCCATTTGTTAACACTAAATCTGGTGTGGCCTCCTTACGTGTTGGTTCCACAACCACTTGTTTTAGAGATAATCCCAGTAGAGAGTTTAAAATATGTGTGCTCCTGGCACAATCAGCTATTTTTGTTTTCCAGTTCACATTAGGAAGATTTAAGTCACCCATGATGATAACTTTGCCCATTAATATAATTTCAGCTATTTCCTCAACTAGTAGATTATCTAACTCTTCTATTTGTCCAGGGTGCCTGTAAATCACACCTACACGAGTTACTGTGTGATTACTAAATAACTATACTAAGTAACCCAAACTGTTTGCCTCACTAGCTTTATTAGGCTAGATTTTACGCTATACTTCACATACAGGGCCACGCCTCCCCTTCTCTGTCTTTTCTATATAAAGAGTAATCTGGTATTGATATGTCCCAGTCATTTTTCCCACTATATAATGTCTCAGTAACCGCAACTCAATCTACATTATCAGTTGCCATTATTGCCACAAGTTCATGGATCTTATTCCCTAAACCGTGAGGATTTGTAGACATGACTCTAAGCTTATATTTTAATACACTTGCTACAGGAACTTTCTGTCCTTGTTTTGGGGGCAATTGGATTGATGTTTTATCACTCTTTTGCTCTCCCCTTCCTAGTTTAAATATGTCAAAACCTCTGAATTGCTAACTGAGAACATTTCTTCCCTTTTGAGAAAGATTTAAGCAATCATTTTTGTACAGTTCATTTTCATTCCAAATAGAGCTACCATGACCAAATCTTTGCTCCCAACACCGTTCACCAAGCCATAAACTAAAGTCCCTTATACACATCTGTCTGTCATTCTGAGTGTTATGCACAGACAGAACTTCAGAGAATGACAGTGTGAATGCAACCTGCCTTATATCACTGGCAAAAACACAGAAATCTTCCTTTACCTCTGGAACCTCATTGCAAGCCAAGTAATTTGTCCCAAGATGGACAAGTACATCCAATTCCCCTTCCTGCTTTGCTTGCTTAACCATATTAAAGAAACACTATAATCACCAAAACAACTTTAGTTTAATGAAGCAGTTTGGGCGTGTAGTTTTACTGCTCCATTCACTGCCATTTAGGAGTTAAATCACTTTTGTTTCTGTTTATGCAGTCGTAACCACACCTCCCTTGGTTATGATTGACACAACCCCTTTATGTTAACAAAACTGTTTCACTTTAAGTCCAATGTAACTAACTTTAAAAGTTTTTATCTCCTGATTTGTAAATTGAATTTTAATTACATACAATAGGCTCCTGCTGGGTCTAGCAAGCTATTAACAGAGCAAGAGATGAGAAATTCAAAGACAGAATTTAAAATAAAGGAAGTGTAAACATTAGCTGACTCTTTACAGGAAATGTTTAGGAAGGCTGTGCAAGTCACATGCAGGGAGGGGTGTCAGGAGTTGTGTAAACAAAGTGATTTTACTCCTAAATGGCCAAGAATTGAGCAGTGAGACTGCAGGGGCATGATCTATACAGCAAAACAGCGTCATTAAGCTAAAGTTGTTCTGGTGACTATAGTCCTGTCTCTGAGCAGTAGCTCCAGGAAGACATCTGATAAGGCCACTATTGTGGTCCAGAAGATCGAGTGATCTGGGTATAGTCCCTGATATTCGGTGCCAGACGAGGGAACACTTGCTAAGCACATCTGGTCCACTCGGCAGTCAGGATCTGCCCCACTTTTGCTATTTTATATAATTCCTTATGTTTTTTACTGTGATGAAACACTCATATTTGTGTTCAGCGATATCTCACAAGTAAAACAATACCCCCATGTACGGGTTTTATGGGGTTTTGGAAAGTTACAGTGCAAAACATGGGGCATGCCTCATTTCAGTCTTCATGCATGGAATTTGACAATATGATTTTCTGGACCTTCCCAGCCTGGGAAATCAAATGTACATCATTTTGGCCCACCATTTTCAAAAGAAGTCAATCTAAGGTATCTAAAAATGGGGTAATTTGAGTTGTTTAGCCACTTTATCACAAATTCTGGCCATATTTAGTGGTAACAGTTATGTGTTGTTTTTTTCACACACATGGATTCCATTTTCACAGGAAATGTCATAATCCTGCTAAGTATTTGTATTTAGCATTGTTTCATGAATAGAATAGTACCCCATGTACCAAATATATTGCTGCCCATTTCAAACTTGGAAATCTGACAAAGTGATTTTCTTTGTCTATGTAGCATTTAAAGATAGTTTGGCAGCCTTGGACATACTGGCCACTTTATCCCAAATGTTGGCCACATTTACTGGTTATACTGCTTTTGGTTTTTTGGTAATTTATATTTTTTATTGTAGCATACAAATAATCAAACGTATAGGTAAAAGCATAATAAGCTACATTTGAAGAACATGCAAAAGGAATGGCAGACATATACAACAGATACATATCAAGGAACAATATACAAGTTTCGTGTATGGCTGAACTGCAGCTTATACTATATGCACTTTTTAAAGTAAGTTAGAAAGTTCCATATAATTAGAATGGCTTCACTTGGGAGGGTACTGGATGCACGAGAGAGTACATCAAGGTACAATATGAAACAGTTGATAGCCTAAGATTGAGACTTGGTAAACAGTAGTTACCCGGCGTTACCCGGTCTAAGACTGAGACTTTGTAAACAGTAGTTAACCGGCGTAGATCCTCAAAAGCAATCAAACTGTATAAATTGAAAAAGATAAACATAAAAAAATTGAAAAATGTTATTAAGTTGTAGTGACATGGCATTAAGTAGGCATATGCAAGACGCCACTTTCAACGAGATTAAGGTGTCAGTATCCAACAGGTTGCAAAAAACTTTAAAAACACAAATTATGGTGGCCTGAATGAGCATGGCGCAAGTCGCACTGTAAAGGAGCTCCAATCCCCTAGTCATTTTTTGAAGCCAAATCTCGCAATAATAGCCCCGAAAATGGCGCAGACCAAGAAGCAATTAGGTCCTGGTACCTCACAGATGGGATCCCCCCGCAGGAGCATGGTCACTTTGGACGATTACATTTCTACACCGTCGGACCTGTGATGTCCAGGGTCTGTGGACAAACCTCCTCCGGGGCTTCCGCCTGCCCGGCATCTGAAACTGGCTACAGGACGATTTAGCGATGCCCAGACGGGCTGAGCTGCTAGACAATAGATCGCAGGATACCAGACAGGGACGCACACCACCGCGACGACGAGGGGCCCGGTTAGAGCAGAGGAATAAAGCCATCAGTGAAAAACCGGTATAACCAACACTGCCCCACCAGAGGGCCTCCAAAGGTACTGAGAACCCCCCGGTGTTCGAGACCCGCAGTTATGAGCTCAGAGTTTAATTTCTTTTCCAGTTTAGTGCGCTCACTGACAAATGGAAGGCTGTGGCCTGCTCGCCTCTGTGGAAGGGTCTCCTGGACTAGGTGGGGGAGACGGTGAGGTGCCTCTGGAGATGAAGCGGGGGATGCCATATGGAGCATGACAGAAACAGACAACCAGGCATGGAGGGCCCCTGGCCTGTTGGCCCTACGCCCGGGATGTAGAGAACCCCTGTTACTTCCCAAAGCAGACCTACTGTCCCGGCCTCCGCATGGAATCCCGGGCCTGGCACAGCCACATGGGTCGGTCATTTCGCATAGGTGGGGTGGAGGGATGCGGATGCCGGATGGGGGAACAGTCCTGGGGATTACCTATAGAGATATGGGCCCAGGAAGTGTAAACAGCCCCCACTCAGAGCTTCACTATAATACTCGTGCATACTGCCCTGGAACCCACACCTAATTATCAGTATGGACCCCAGGGCCTGGCGCAATTGAGTGGGTGGAATACTAAGCATAGGTGGGGAGAGAGGTTGATGCTGGACACGGGTCAACCCCCGAGTCTTGGGCGTAGTGCGCTTTGACAGCACCTCAGAGGGTGATTGAACCATGGCACCACCACATATGACTGCCATTTGCATGTACACGTGCCAGTATAATGATCACTATAACAATATATGATAACCCATAGGTTTATACCTGCTAATGATACATTTGAAAGTTATGTACAATTGGGATGGGACCCCCAGGCTGGCATGGAGGACCGTGTGTGGCCCCATGGACGGGTCCTTGGGGTTGGGGCCGCGCTTCTCCATGCCACCTGCAGGACTGAGTCGGCCGTAGACATAGGCCTCGAGCAGCGGATTGTACAGGGAGCGGGGTACAGACAGTACAATGTTGTGACGAGATGTATGTGTATGTTGCTCATTATTAGTAGGACATGGGTAATGTACCGGGCTATGCCCAATCCCACAGGTGATTCAGGGTGAAAGTATGCATGGGGAAAGCGGAAGCCGGGGGGGAGACGAGTGCAACAAAGGGCACGAATGCAGGGGACAACTCCATAGATGGGGTTGGGTGGGCGCACAAAAGAGCAACACGCATAAGTGACAGTCACACGCATGCCTGCAGACTCAATCTGACTGCCCGGGGACCCACGACCGAGGGCGGGGTGCTGGCCCAGGGCACCTGACAGTGACCCTTACCACTCTTGCTAACAAGATGGTCTGATCCGTACGAGGCTCTGCACAGCACGCCATCACCCACTCAGGGACCGCACCAAGGGACGCACTGTATTGGCAGTGGGGAACACACCCGAGTAATAAGCACGACTGGGGGACGACGACTCCAACACTGAACCATAAAACCACACACACTCAGAGCTGAATGACACGCACACAAGTGCAGACGACCGCTAGGCCAGACAGGACCACTCACTAGAGACAGACACACAGACAGAAGAGGTTTGGGGTTTGTGTTGAGTCACCAACTACATTGTATATAGTTATTTTTATAGTTTGCCTTAGAGTTTATGTAGGGAAGGGGGTCAGAGGCTGCCCTCTTCTCCTGGCCGGCCCGGCTGGCTTGCATGTCCGACAGGGAACTGCGTGCTAGTCCCCCCCGCTATCCCTATCCACCCTCTTCTTTGCATCACTCTAGCAGGTCTCGCGCCCGGTGTCCCTTTTTCCGCCTGCTGAACCAGCCTTTGCATTCCCTAGGACGAAGCCGTTGCCGGGATACGCGGAGGAGTCCTTAAGCCTATGGTCCAATAATGTTAGGGGCCTAAACACTCCAGAACTCCGATCTTCTCCGTACAGTGTGGGCTGCAAGAGCCTAAGTCGCCTTTTTGCAGGAGACACATTTTCATGGGCCTGTGGGACCGACCCTGAGGGACTCGAGTCCTCCACCCACCCAGCTGGAAAATCGTGGGCTCTAACTAAATTTTGCCATGTTAATGCGGACTCCATTTCAAGCGCGACAGGCCCCAATATGGCGCCGGAATCCTCCCAGGATGGATCAGCGCCATCGAGCCCAGAAGGCAAGATGTAGCAACGATGCTGGGAAAGATGGAGATGTAATTTCAGACAAAACTAAAAAATATTGGCGCGGGCATCCGCCATATTGGGGACAGAGTGAGTACATTAGAAGATGACAGAGATCTCATTCACACACAGCTACAGCAAATGCAGAGCTCGATTGATGCTCAAAATACTTACCTGTCACACTTACACAGATCACTGGATGACACAGACAACAGGGGCAGGCGTAACAACCTGCGCATCAAAGGCCTCCACGAACAGGAACATGAGAATCTCACAGCGACGCTCACAGAACTATTTAACCTTATTCTGGACAGAGCTCCAAATACGCAGGTGATGCTAGATAGGGCACATATGGCCCTAAGGCCAAGGGGAACAACCTCCGACTCAGTTAGGTATGTCATATGTCAAATCCACTATTTCTCCCTGAAGGAGAAATCCTCTGAGCACTAAGACAGACATGACAACCATTACTGTTCCATAACACCCCCATCCAAATCTATCCAGACCTTTCCTGGGCCACACTCTAAGCACAGCATGCATTCAGACGTATCACCGACCAACTAAGATATAGGTGGGGATTTCCTTTTGTCCTAATTGCGATGTATAATGACACCACATTCTCTGGCCTCTGTCCAGGATGTACCCTCATTTGCCCAAACTCTGGACTTACTGGTCACACACATACCGGCCTGGTACGGCCCAGCCATGCAACCACCACAGCCTTGTCTCCAACAATGCCCCTGGTAAACACCTTCCAAGAGACTGAGGAATGGCCAAAGTGGCGAATCACCAACCCAGAGGTCGTCAAGAAGTGCTTTATTCTCTACTTAAACCCTGTGGATTACAATGAGCAGACCCTCATTAACAGTGACTGGACTCTTACAGACCGCACACCTTTTTTTCTGAAGTTCAATAAAAATCTGAATCTTGAGTCTGATTCCTTCCTCCCCCTCTTCACGGGGACTGTGGATTCAACACCTGGCGGTATTGCAGGCAGCCTCGGACAGTCGATTACAGTCTATCATCCTGATAAATCATACCCATCGGGACTTACTTCAATGAGAAGACCATCCCAGGACTCTCCACCATACAGGGTTTAACAGCTTACCAAATGTTCAACATCCCACCGGGACATTAGAATGGGTTTTGTGTACACAACCGTCCCAGAGGACCATCTAGGGGAAGGTCGTATAAATTGTTCAACAATAATTGTTGCTTCACCGTATCACCTCATGCATTTATAATGTATCTGGGTCCTGTCTAGGTGTGTCGCTTGTACCCACCAGTAAGCCATACTACGATCCCTCTATAAATCCCAGAACCTCACAGAATTATGCCACTGTACCCCCCAACCCCATGGGCTGGAGCCAATATACACCCCTGTTGACCACAGCTATACTCGCGCCAACCCCATGATGCTTTATGCACTATCTTGTTAGGATATGGCCCAAGGTCCAATTGATGTAGCTGCTCGTTGCCAGCTCACCCTAGTCCTAGGCCACAGGCCACTTATATGGTCCCCCACTCCACACAATATCAAACGCCCTGAAACCTATCATACCTCCATAAATATTTCACCAGATTATGTGTGTGCTACGACCACCCCCTAAATCTACTACTACTAACCCCTTGCTCTCCAGCCGCCCATATGGTCTGGACAGCCAACCTATGCACCGTCGCTTACCCTTGGTCTCCCTGGTCGAGAAGACGGATATTGCGGCACACCAAGTTTACCCATATGGCGTGGCTCCACCATCACGGGAAAGGCACCAACGGTTACTACCCACACAAAATATGTTTATGATGCATCCTATGTTTTTAAACTGTGTGAAAAGTTTTGATATACATAGTTGTTCATTGTTAGAATATTTTTGTTTGTTAGCAGCTACATGTATGGTTTTCTACTCACCTCAAATACCGATGCACATACACCTATGGCCACTCTCCAAGTAGTTTCCCTGAATGTAAGAGGTCTCAATACACCCGAAAAACGTTCTATAGCCTTAACGGAGTTCCACAAACTCAAAGCGGACATAGTTTTTGTCCAAGGGACGCACTTTAGAGAAAACACCCAACTGGTTATTTTAGTACTTCATAAGTACCAAATCCAGAGGGGTAGCCATTCTCATAGCAGCACACGTGCCCTTTACCTACATATCACATTTTAAAGATGGCAATGGTAGACTCATCATGGTGGCAAAACATAGTCACATTTGCCAACCTATACCTCATAAATAGGAAACAAGGTAGAGCACTGAGGAAAAGCTTGAGAGCCAATGAATCCTTCCAAGAGTGTCTTATGGTTGTGGGGGGGAGGGGGGTGACCTCAATATCTCACTTGACTCAACACTAGACACCACCTCGCAGGCTTTAAGGTACCAATCATCAGCCAGAAAAAAGATCAACTCCTTACTAGTCTCGGCCCAGCTTTTTTACAGCTGGCACATAGCCAATCCATCTGCCAGGGACTATTCCTATTACTCACATGGCACAGGTTCATACTCCAGGCTTGACATGTTTTTCATACCTCACAGATTCCTCCACTTAATGCCAATACGGTTCCATTACCTGGTCAGATCATGTGCTCCTGACTTTGACCATCCTTATCCCCTCACTCCCACTTAAAACATTCCAATGGAAGCTCAATGACTTGTTGCTCAATGATGCCAAAATGCCTCCCAGGTAGAGGATACACTGAAACACTACTTCCTTGAAAATACAACATCCTCCGTCTCCCCCACCACTACGTGGGAGGCACACAAGGCCACTTCATTGCCCTGGCATCCAAAAATAAAAAACAAAGACACGCCCAAATTACCGACCTAACTCAAACCATAAGGACCCTGGAAGAACAACACAAACACAATCAGTCACTAGACATTTATAAACAACTGGTTTCCAAGAGATCCACACTGTAACAACTGCTCAATACACAGACCAAAAAAAGGTATTATTGACAAAACAAAAAGAAAACTACAAAAAGTTACTATTGACAAAACTACTACTCTCAGGGGGGCAAGTGTGGCAGACTTCTAGCTAAAATGTTACAAAATGCCAGACAAACTACATTCATCTCAATAATAGGACGAAGGCAGGGGTCATCTCCCATAACCTCTCAGACATACTCACAGCTTTCTAAGGATTCTACTCTTTACTCTATAACCTCAGACAAACCCCACCTGATGAACGCAACATTGAGCAATACCTCACTGATTGTCTACAACAAATGATCCCCCAGAATGTCCTACAGGCCCTAAACTCGCCCATCTTACCTGAGGAATTTGCCACGGTGGTTAAACAGTTACCATTGGGCAAAAGCCTGGGACCATATGGGTTCACAACCAAATACAACAAAACTTATGTACATACACTATCCACGACATTCACCAATACGTTTAACTCCCTACTTGGCTCCCACATATTACCCCACTCAGCACTTGAAGCCCTTGATTCCAAAAATTCCAGAAAACCTTGATTCCAAAACCAGGCAAAGATCCCACTAATTGTGGAAGTCAACGCCCCTTTTCTTTAATTAACGTTGACCTCAAATTTTTCACCAAGATCTTGGCCACAAGGTTACGCACTCTTTTACATGGACTAGTTCACCCTGACCAGGCTGGATTTGTACCGGGACGAGAAGCAAAGAACAACACCGTCAAAATGATAAATCTTATCCATCTATCCAAACTCTCCCATGCACCATGCCTGTGACTGTCCATAGATGCTGAAAAGGCGTTTTACACCCTACACCCTCAGAGCTATGGGTTTTGGCCCAAACTGGCTACAATGGATATCAGCAATATACTCCTCCCCAACAGCTAGGTTGTGGGACAATGGTCAACTTTCTGATCATGTACATAATATTAGTAATGGTACAAGACAGTGGTGCTCCCTATCGCCCCTTTATACTCATATTAGAACCCTTCCTACAAGGCATCCACAATAACTCCAATATACAAGGCATAAAATTAAAGTTTAAAGTAGCTGCGTTTGCAGATGACTTACTTTTCATCATTACTGACTCAATAACCTCTACGCCCCATCTTCTGGATGAAATATCCATATACAACAAGCTCTCCAACTATTTAGTAAATTTTACTAAAAGCAAGATACTGCCTATTCAGGTTACCCCTCAAGTAAAATTGACACTACAACAAAAGTACCTGTTCGCTTGGGCAGAAAAAGCAATAAAGTATCTCAGAGTTCAACTCCCCAGAGATCTCCATATGCTTTACAATCTAAACTTCATACCCCTGCTGCAGTCAACTAAACAGACCTCACACACTGGCACAAACCAATGTTTGGGTGGCTATGTTGTACCCATAACCTAAAAATGAACTCCCTTCCGAAGATCCTGTATCTCCTCCAAACACTATCTATACACTGCCCAACTTTTTCTTCTCCACTATTAAACGTATATTTAGCAAATTCATATGGTCGCACAAACATCCTAGACTCCCTCTTAAAACACGAATTAGCTCCAAAGTGCGAGGTGGGCTCGGCCTACCCGATATTGAAGCATACTACAAGGCAACCATACTCACTAGAGACTACGAGTGGGCTTCTCCACAATCCCAAATACATTGGATAATACTAGAACGTCAGGGATTCCAGATACCTTTACATACAGCCCCTTGGCATGAAAAGGGTAAATCCTTTCTTAAATCTACATACAAGTCCCATCCTACTATTGTGCCCACTCTAAAAGTGTTGCAACAATTACAGAAAATACCCAACGTGTCCATACATCCCTCACCTTTATATCCAATTACCCACTATTTAGACCAGGCATGTAGACCGCTCACTTCGAAGCACTATACAAAAATTCGTACCTCACCTTAGGCAGAGTGGTCACCACAACTGGAACCTGCCCTCTGCATGAACAACTTCTTCAGACACAACTCTCCCACATGCTATGATACCGTCATTCACAAATTACACACTTCCTCAACTCCCGACCAGAACTATTGAAGGGCTGCAGAGACCTGATACCCTTTGAGAAACTCTGTTCGACCAGGTCAAAACCAAACACCTATCCACACTTTACAAACTGATCCAAGAAGAAACAACACTCTCCCACCCTAGATTTCTGAACGCTTGGGAAGAGGAACTCTACCTTACGATCTCCGAAACAGAATCCACACTAACATTACTAACATTTTCCGTACCTCTATCAGCAACTCTACCCAGGAAAGCAATTACAAAAGGAAAACAAGATGGCACTACACCATATGTTCCCACAAACCTTAGCGCAGAGCTGGAGATGTCACCAATCCAAAGGCACACCAGGCCACATATGGTGGACATGCAAGGTTATACAACCTTACCGGAAACGAATACCATCCTTTATCCATGCCATAACTAGACATATTATCCCATGCACCCCAAAAGCAACACTGTTCCTTCTATACCCCTCACCACTCCCTAAATCACCTCTTGACTGCAGCAAATATGCTGATCCCCCTACATTGGAAGACCACTTCTGCACCCACAATCAGGAACTAGATCCAGAAAGTGGAATCCATTCGCATTATGGAGGAGTTGAACTCCTCACTTACACACTCATATCCTAAATACTTAAAAGTTTGGGAACAATGGTCATCAAATATGCAAAGAGGTACAACCACCTAGAATACCTATAAGTACCGCATCCTCCCCTCTACTGCGCCATCCCACCCATTTCCCCCCTAGCCTCAAATCGAGGACACGCCTTGGAATTCCAAACAAAAATGCCATATAGGGACCAGACCTCTTACAGCTGAACAAAAAACAGATGACATTCGCATTTGGAAAAGGCCTTCCAGATACCAAAAAGAAGAATTTCTCATTCCTGCAACATGTTGATACCATGTTCCTAGCTGTTAAGTTAGTTTAGTTGTGTTTATACCCCTCATGTACTGCTATATACCTGCTCCTTTCCCGCAGACTGACACTTCACAAAAGGTACCTCCCTCTACAAATAGTTTGCAGCAAGTAGGGGCTTGGTCATTTCCATCCTCTTCAACACACTTGACTGATCCCGTGACCGGGGCCAGGCTCACAGCAAACAGAAGGAGCCTCGGTAACGGCACTGCAGTCACCAGTGATCTCCTCATGGAACAACACACAATCACACAAATATGGTACCCCACATGTCAGTGACTCTGTAGTTATGTTGTTGCATCTGTCCTGATGTTGTAGAACAATATCACTGTATTTGTTTATCGATGTATATCATTTTATGTACCCGCATGTTATATAACATTTTTTCTGTAATGCCTATTATACCAAAAATAAATAAATAAATAAATAAACAAATAAATAAAATTGAAAAAATAAATAAAAAAGTATCCCCATGTACCATTTTCCTTTTTGGGGGGGAGGGGGAAGTCATTGGGCCAAATATATTACATGCCCATTTCAAACTTGAAAATTGTGATTTTATGAGCCTTTGTTACCTTTGAGACAGGATGGCAGCAGAGAAAAGAAAATTGCCCCCATGATGGTATACCATTTTTCAAACTAGACAACTCCACATGCCGTATTTTGAGTTGTTTGGTTTACCCACTTTACACCCTGTTCCAAATTATTAGGCAAATTATATTTTTCTCATTTACCTAAATAATTGATGTAAATAACAGTCAGCATAATTCTCATGTTATCAACTATTAAGAGTAGAATTCAAATTTTATTGAACAAACATCCTAATGATAACAGTATTTTTTTTAAACATAAAAAACTTACACTGCACTGTTCCAAATTATTACGCACAGTAAGTTTCAAAACACTTTATTGGTTGTAAAGAACGGAAAATTGTCATTTGTTGTGTTTGCAGCATATTTACTGAAATCAAAAGCTATTTCAATCAAACTTATAACAACATTTTTTTTTTTTAAATTCTTTATTTTTGAGTGCAGAGTTAAGTACAGGCCTAACAGTGACTTGTTCAGTGTTACATATCACATGTTATATTTGGCACAGGTAGTCAAGAGGTACTGCACTTTTTTTTTTGTTATAACAAGATAGGAACAAAAGTAAAACAGGTTATAGATATCACAAGTAAATCCACACACAGAAACATAGATTATGTTTGAAATGTCCAGGAGACTTCAAAAGCCCTATGCTATGTGGGTAAACAAGAAGAGAAGGAGCAGGGTTATAGACCAGGGCTATGATAGGGAACACAATGTGAATAAAAATACCACTGGATAAGGTAAGTAGCCTCGGGTAGCCATGAAGTGAATACGGCAAAAATAGGGTCTAGTAGCTGAGCTAGGGTTGGGAGGGCGAGACTATTGTAAACCCCAGGGCTACCGGTAAGGCACACCGTGCTCTCAGCCAACGCCAAGTGCTGGTAAGTCCCAACTGTCCTCTCCCTCTGCCCCTCCGGGTAGGGCCCTCTGACTGAGCCAGGTCACCATATATTCCAGAAGGATTGTGTCCAAGTTGGGAGCTGAGGTTCGGTGTTGCGTGCCCTATGATTGGGTAAGTCGATGCTTGGTGCAGGCTGGTGTTGTCGTGGGCACTGAAGCTTGGTTCGCGTTGGAGGAGACGAGTTGCGGTGAGCAGAAGGGTCAGAGTGGCGAGGGAATTGTGCCCTCCATGCTGGCAGCTTATGCCGTCGTCCCTTTGGGGAGATGCAAGGTTCGTGTGAGCGTGCGTCGATGGGTAGCTGGATGAGTTTGCAGCCTGGCCGGCTGGGTTGGAAGTGAGTCTCATGGCCTGAAGCTTTTTCCAGAATAGTTCACAGATGTGATCGAAGGCTAGGAGGAACTTGTTCACATCTGGTAGTGAGCATGGTGCGATGTCCGCTTCTGCTTGCCCCTGCAGGGTGGCCATTTTGGCTGCCAGATCTCGGTCAACCAGACCTCCCAGCAGCTTGAGGCCTCTGCTTGAGAGTGACCACTACAGTACACCAGTGGGGACTGGGATATCCCCCACCGGTCCAGGGGGGGGACAGGGCTCTGGATCAGCGGACTCAAAGTTGAGGCCTTGGATTGGCCGCCTCCCCAACCTAGACAAACTGCAGGCCGCAGGCTGTGTCTGCAGGATTCAGGCTTGAGAGGTATTGATGTGTAGCAGAGTGCTCCCCGGGTATGAGGACAGGTTTGCAGCCAGAAAAGGGAGCATTAAAACCCTGTGTAATGTGCGGTTAGTGATTTACCCTGAGGAGCAGCAGCTTGATGCGACTGATTCAGTTGGCGGACAGGCCCCGCGCCCCTCTTGTAACAACATTTTAACTTTTTAAACATTTTAACAGGTCACGTTACATTTTAACATAGGACCCCTTATTTGATAGCAGCTTCATAAGTCTTGCATCCATTGAACTTGTGAGTTTTTGGACAGTTTCTTGAATTTGTTTGCAAGATGTCAGAATAGCCTCCCAGAGCTGCTGTTTGGATGTAAACTGCCTCCCACCCTCATAGATCTTTTGCTTGAGGATGCTCCAAAGGTTCTCAATAGGATTGAGGTCAGGGGAGGATGGAGGCCACACCATGACTTTCTCTCCTTTTATCCCCATAGCAGCCATTGATGCAGAGGTATTCTTTGCAGCATGAGATGGTGCATTGTCATGCATGAAGATGATTTTATTACGGAAAGCATAGTTCTTCCTTTTGTACCAGGGAAGAAAGTGGTCAGTCAGAAACTCCACATACTTTGCAGAGGTCATCTTTACACCTTCCCTCTAAAGGGGCCGACCAGCTCTCTTCCCATGATTCTGGCCCAAAACATGACTCCACCACCACCTTGCTGACGTCGCAGCCTTGTTGGAACAGGGTGGCCGTCCACCAACCATCCATCTGGACCATCCAGGGTTGCACGGCACTTATCAGTGAACAGGACTGTTTGAAAATTAGTCTTCATGTATTTTTCTGCCCAATGCAACCGTTTCTGCTTGTGAGCATTGGTTAGTGGTGGCCAAATAGAAGGTTTATGCACAGTTGCAAGACTCTGGAGGACCTTGATGTCCGTGGGACTCCAGAGGCACCAGCAGCTTCAAATATCTGTTTGCTGCTATGTAATGGTATTTTAGCAGCTGCTCTCTTGATCCGATGCAAGGATCAGGCAGAAATCTTCCTCAATGTGCCTTTATCTGCACTAACCCGTCTGTGCTCTGAATCAGCCACAAATCTCTTAATAGTGCGATGATCATGCTTACGTTTTCGTGAAATATCTCATGTTTGCATACCTCGTCCAAGGCATTGAACTATTTACTCTTTTCGGCAGCAGAGAGATCCTTTTTCTTCCCCATATTGCATGAAAATTGTGCTCTGCTTAATAATGTGGAACACCTTAATTTAGTAGTTTTTCCTTAAATTGGGCTCACTTGGCAATCTAATTATCACAGGTGTCCGAGATTGTTTTCAGTGATCAAAAGAGCCCTGAAACACAATGTCATCCATGAGTTAAACTGAAAAACAAAATATTTAATCTTTGTGACACTTAAATAGAATTTGCATAATAATTTGGAACAGGGTGTATAATAGCTGAGCGTAATGTAAACAGGAACAGGCCATGGATCAGGGTATCCAGAAATCAGATTAGTCAGTATAACAGGCCAATAAGTCAGTGTAGGCAGCTGACAAAGAGTTCTCAGGATAAGCTGAGGTCAGGAATCAGGAATAACATAAATAATCACACAAAGATAGTTTTGAATAAATAGTTTAATTCTGGATGGTAAACATTCAGAAGGACATAGAACAGGTAGAGATGGACAGGAAAAGCAACTACTGTTTTGTAGCAGACTCATTTCTAGAGTGATTTTGTTTGGATATCTTTGGATTGAAGTGTTGATTGATTAGCTGGCTGACTAAATGAAATATTAGATAACAGCATTACAGTAAACTCATTCGATCTTCCGTCGGCCCACGGAGAGCCGGCCCTGCTCACTTGCTTTAGGCTCAAGGATCACCCTCACTGGGCCACATAGGCCCTTCGTTAGTGACATGGAGGGAGGGACCTGGGAGGCAGATAGTTCCTCCTGCGAGCATGCTGATCAGAGTGTTGCCATGGCAATGCTCTGACACAGCACTCACTTCGTAGGAGAAGTATAGGCAGCGGCACCACTCGCCACCGGACCACCAGGGTCAAAGGTAAGAAGAAGGTGGGACCCATAAAGCTTTTATTAATGTTCTTTTTTTTTAAATTGTAATAAATATACATATGCTCCCTTATCAATTACACACACTTTGCACTCCTCACACACACTCTGCACCCCACATACTCTGCAACTCTCACACACACTATGCACCCCATATACACTGCAACATTACAAACACACACTGCACCCCTTACAAACACACACAACACCCCTTACACACCCAGCAACCCTACACACACACATACACTGCACCCCTCACTGAAGTCTGTGTGTGTATTCAGCAGTCTGTATGTGTATTCATCAGTATGTCTGTGTGTGTGCATCCAGTCCAGCAGTATGTCTGTCTATGTATTCAGTAGTCTGTCTGCGTATTCAGCAGTCTGTGTATGTGTATTCAGCAGTCTATGTTTGTGTACGGAGCAGACTGTGTGTGTGTACTCGGTAGACTTTGTGTGTGTGTGTGTGTTGTATGTATGTATTGCTTTTGCTGGAGGTACCAATAAGTATAAGCATATTTTTATCGATAATTTACATTTTTATTCCTGTTTGTTGTTGTGTAGGCAGTTGTTGTGAAGTGCACTGCTTTGCCATTGCTGATGATTTGCATTAACAAGGAAACAGCCGTCCATGAGTGGTTCACTGGCTTTGCATCTTTTCCTAAGTTGTGTTTCAAACCTGTTGTATATAGCAAACACAGACTCAAAGGAATCCATGTTCAAAATGGAATGAGGCAAAAATGTGATAGTAACATCACTGCAAATTTGTGATTTCTGTGGGAAAAGCAAGTCTTATGGCTTGACTGGTGTGCAGATTTTTGTTTAACATTGTATTAACTATACATATCTATATATATATATATATATATATACAGGTGATACTCGAAAAATTAGAATATCCTGCAAAAGTTAATTTATTTTAGTAATGCAACGTAAAAGGGGAAACGAATATATCAGTGTGGCAAAACTAGCCACTTAAGACTATAACTATAGGAATATGTGCCTATCCCTGTTTCAGCTGTGAGAACCAAGTATATTGCTGTATATTCCATTAACCCATTAAAAGCTTTCCCAGGTGGCCGTCGTTCGGCTACCGACAACGCTGCGGTCGGCCATCTTGGTTCCTTTGTTAGCCCAGCGGTCTTTTGCCGTCGAGCGCCTGGAACAAAAATCGGCTACTCGACGGCGCGAACACCGCTGGACTTCCAGGCCGTTCGGTAGTTTGTTCCCCTAATACCAATCAGTATTTTAACAGTGTTTTGGAAATAATGTGTATTTCGTGCGGCGTTCGGTTAGTTAGACTGGGAGCTGAGCGGTATTCTCACAAACTGTGCACTCAGACTCCAGCTATCTACCGAACATCCATTCGTTTAAATAAAGTGAATATAATGGAAGTTATGTATTTTAATGTAAAATGTAAGTTCTGCTGCACGGAGTGATAATCCACTTAACGGTATATTCCAGTGGGAGTATCCCTCTCGTATGGTGGTAGAAATGTATGTGTTGTTCAGTTCCCCATGTAGTCCCCTACTGTACCACCCCTGGAATGTCAGTAGGGAAACCCCTTGCATGGGGAATCCCATAAATACAGTGACCTGTGATTAAAAGCTCAGTTGACTCCCAGCTTATGTGTCGTCTAGTTCTTGGGAGGGAAGGATTCTTATAACGCTACCGGAATTATTGTATTCTGTATGCTAGCAGATGAACAGGAAAAGCCCCCAAGCGGCTTACACTCCTGGCAATCAGTCTCTAACAGCATACAGTAAATCCTCCCCCCAATAATGAGACAACACTTTGAGGGTTAGGCAGGAACTGATTTACTGGGGCTAACTGCCTGGCTTTTATGCAGGTCTCCCACCTGGTGGACACTCCCCTAGGGGACCAAATAGGAGACTGGGACACAAAGGGTAAAAGGACCAATCACAGACTTACACATTTCAACCATCCCACAATGCATCACAATCCCTCCTCTCTGCCCTGGAGATAATTGGGAAGTAATCCAATTATCTCCAAAGACAGAGGCAAAACTCCATTAACCACATGGCAGAAAACAAACAGTAAAAGACATAAAATGACCTACAGTTACATTCAGTACATAAAACATATACGTTCTACATATCCCCAGATAGCTCAGATCTGAGCGCACATTATTACCGAATGGCGCTCAGATCACATACATACAGTTCAATCGCCATGGAGCCAAAGTCCTTCACATAGTCTTTTCATTACATGAACAGGCTCCATGGCTTAGCTATCTGGGTAATGCTGTTCATCCAGTTAAACTACCGAATGAACAGTCATTCGGTTCCACTCTCGAATGGGAAGGGAAGAAGGCTGGCGGCTCAGCGGTGTTCGCGCAATTAAGTGTCCGTTTTCAGTTCCATAGTTTAGGCGCTGAACACCGCTGGCCGTTCGGGAGGTAAAATGGCCGCTGCCACGTGTTCGGCAACCGAACAAAGGCCTCCCAGCGTTCATCAATTAAGCTGCTGTTAACCGCAGCTTCTGGGCGGTCAATTGACGGCACACTCCAGTTCCCAGGTGGTCCATTGTTCGGTAGTTTATTCGGTAGATTGAATCTACCGAACACCCTGGCAGAAAGGCATGAATAAACCTTTCAGCAGGGAAAATAACAGGTCTGAACTGCAGGGCCTTAGTCTAAAGGGAGCAGGCGAGCAACCCGGCTTCTCCAGTGTACAGTGGCGAGGTTGGTTTCGCCACATGCGCTGTATTCTAATTTTTCGAGTTTCACCTGTATATATAACCACCCCCGACTACATAAAAAGAGCTCACGACCATTATGTACTATCCCATAACCATACAAAAACTAGCGGAAGGGGTCAGCCAGTAAAAATCCCTTATTACTCAACCAGCAATCAATGGTGCCCCCTCACAGTTCAGGATATATACATAACCTCTGTTCAAGGTTCCCCAGATCAACCTCTGCTAGCTCTACACGTTAATGCTCTGACAACAAGTAGTTTTATGCTTTATGTAAGGATGTTATTGGTAAGGTTAGGTCTTAATCCAGCTAATTACTCTGGCCACTCCTTTCGTATAGGAGCCGCTACCATGGCCTCCAGGAAAAATATACCTGTACATATCATTAAGACTTGGATGATGGATGATGGAAGTCCTCTGCGTACTTAAGAAATATACTCAACCAGTTCAGGAGATACATCAAGCTTTCCGTAACGTAAATATGTAATGTATCATAATATGTTAATTTTGTAGACCTAATAAATTTTTTATATGGTATTTTCCCTTTTGCTCTCTTTTATTACAGGCTTACCGCATTGTCGGTTCCAGCACACCACAACCGACTTTTGTCATATTTCTGTATGTCTAATATGAGGAAGTTACATAACTACTTCTAACATTACGGCTTTTATGCCCAAAACACAAATATATATATATGAAACCAGGGGGCTGCACTCACCTGAACATGCATATATGGGGTGCTGCTGGGGGCCAGTTTATACAATACACAAGATCCAGCGCACTCAAAGATGGGGTACATTGTTGTTGTGACAGTTATGCAATATAGGATCATATAATGTAACTAAACCCCCATTATTTTTGCCTAGATTGGGTGTTTTTAAAACTAATAAAATCTGTCAACATTGAAGTTGCTGTTTAGTGGATAGGTGAGTGTGCTGGATCTTATGTATTGTATATATATAATTCTGTCTGACAAACATTATTTTAACACTATCGGCTTGGAATCTTTACTGTATTGTTTTGCTGTCTGTATTATAGTTTTTCTGTGTTTAAAATTTACAGTTGTGTTTGGTTCAGGATTTTGCAGTTTTATTTTTACTATTTTCAGAATATGTCTGTAAATTTAACACAGTTTTATTGTTATTTTATACATTTTTGATTTCATGATTTTTCAGCATTTTACAGTTGAGTTCACAGACATTTTTATAGAAAACTGCAATCAGTACTAAAATGTTTTTTCTATTCTTTTTAAATAAACTAAAAAGTGGGGTACAAAAAGTTCAGGTTATGTCTGATAGAACGCTCTGAGAAACTATACAGTAATTAGAACACGGGAAAGGGTTAACAAAAACTAGAAAAGGTTAATTTAGGAAATTAAGTAACATATTAACAAAAAATTTAAAAATCTGACCACAAAAATTTTTTTTAAGTAGTACTAGTGTACTGATCACTGTACTAACACTGTGATCAGCAGTGAAAGGTTTAAATCAAGCAATTTTCTATTTTATTTAACACTTTGGAACACAGCCAGAAATTATCTTTTCTGCTTCTCTTGCCTCAGATCAAAGTTAGGAAAGAGAGAGGCAGAAAACAATGTCACAGTCTATATTTGAATTCATTGGCTGTGACACTGTATTAGTGATAATGTGGCTCCAGTCACACCAGATTTGATGCTGGGGGAATGCTAGGTTGCCAGGCAGTCCTCTCAATCAGATTCGGCAAAGTGACCATTACTTAGATGTTGTGGTAGGAAATGGATGTTAAGACGTGCCATTACATCCTACCATCTTGAAAGCCCATGCTTTCCAGGACGTAATGGAATGTCTTAATGGCAACAGCCAGTTAAGGGACCACTATAGCGCCAGGAAAACAAACTCGTTTTCCTGGCACTATGTAGTCCTTACCACCCCCCCACCCTTATGGCCCCCTCCCGCTGGGCTGAAAGGGTTAAAATCCCTTCAGCCACTTACCCTTATACAGCGGCAGGCTCCCTCAGTGCTGGTGACCTCTCCTCCCCCTCCGACATTGGCTCCCAGGTGGAGCCGAAAGCTCAGGCTCGGCCAAAGCCGCGTGCAGATTAAAAATGCCCATAGGAAAGCATTACTCAGTGCTTTCCTATGGACGTCAGCGTCTTCTCACTGTGATTTTCACAGTGAGAATCGCGGAAGCGGCTTCTAGTGGTTGTCAGAGAGAAAGCCACTAGAGGCTGGATTAACCCTGCAGTGTAAAGTTTTCAGCTGCAGGGTTAAAACTAGAGGGACCTGGTACCCACACCACTTCATTGATCTGAAGTGGTCTGGGTGCCTATAGTTGTCCTTTAAGGAAGTTGCTTCTGAAAAAAGAAGAAAGTGAAGTAGTTTGAATTCCAGTTATATAGATTACATACTTATATGACTGGTCATCTTAGCATACCATTGTTGCTAAGTTGTTTGGGTTTATTTTATATTTATTAATATTTGCTTGAGGAGTGAGTGTGTGTGTGTAGCTAATTGCATAATGCATAGTATTGGACTCCTGGATTCAATAAAAAAATCTGTCAACGGGAGGCTAGGAAATTTGCGATTATAGGATTACACTTTAAAGGACTCTATAGGCACCCAGACCACTTTTGCTCATTTAAGTGGTCTGGGTGCAGTGTCCCTATTGCACTTAGTGCTGCAATGTAAGCAATGTCCTCCCCCCACCCCTGCGCAGTGGGTGGGGGCCATAAATTACAATGGGGGGGAGTGGGAGGGATTACTGTCCTCCCCCTGGCCCCCACCCCTGCGCGGTGGGTGGGGACCATAAATTACAATGGGGGGGACCTACTGTCCTCCCCCCGAGCCCCCACCCCTGCGTGGTGGGTGGGGGCCATAAATTACAATGCGGGGGGAACCTACTGTCCTCCCCCTCGGCCCCCACCCCTGGGCGGCAGGTGGGGACCCTAAGACAAATCCCCCCTATCAAAGGTGACTAGGGGTCCCCAATCCCCTAGTCACCCACCCCCCCACCCAAAAAAAAAGTAACCCCCTACCTACCCCCCTCACCCTAAAAAATTGTGAGGGAGGAATAAAATAACTAACCTGTAAAGAAAAAATATTATTTTTCAGCCCCAAAAAAGGCCAAATAAAAAACCATCATACCCTTTGAACTTAAAATAAAATAAAAACTTGAGCGCAAAAAAACCAATCCTTCTTCACCCATGGAGGGCTCCGCGCAGACTGAGCTCTGCAGGGTGGGGTATGGCTTTTAAAGCCTTGCCCCACCCTGCAATTAGGCTAAGAACACTCTGATTGGTGGTTTAAGCCAACCAGAGTGCTCTTTGTCATTGTACACAGCGTGGGAAAATTCCAAAGAACTTTCCCACGCTGTGTAAAATGACACAGAGCACTCTGATTGGGTGGCTTGAAATCCATCCTTTGTGTCATTTTACACAACGTAGGAAAGTTCTTTGGAATTTTCCCACGCTGTGTAAAATGACAAAGAGCACTCTGATTGGTTAGATTCCAAGCCCACCAATCAGAGTGTTGTGAGTCAAATTACACAGCGTGGGAAAATTCCAAAGAACTTTGTCTTATGATTTTAAAGAAAACTAAAGAAGACAGGAAGAAAAGAAGAACAGATCCTGAGAGGAGGGGGAGAAGAGGAAGAGATTGAGGAAAGGTAAGTTCGGCATGACAGTGCCACTTTAATCCAGGACTGGTAGGGTTGCCTTGAGGACTGGTTTGGGAACAACTGTAATATACACTATTGAAGTACGCAGAAGTATCAGGTTTTACATTTGCTGAATTTGATATTTCTACAACTATATTTATAATGGTGAATTGACGGATAGAACTCATTATAAATGATAACCTATGGTTAAAAAAAAAAAAAAAGAACTAAACAAAACAATAGGCAAGAAATATAATAATAATGCTTTTGGTGTACATCTGTAGATATTAAATAGAACTATGGGAGTGCAATCTTTCAAATTTATATTTTTTATTGTCTTATGATATGTGGATGCTGCACAGCGGGATATTTGAGAAATTGCTTAAATCAGAATTTTATCACTGTACACACAAAAATAGATAGAGGTGTAACAAACAGACTTCCACATTTTACTGTGGGATTTTTGTATATTACAATCAATTGAAATTTGAAAACAATATTTCATTGAGAACATTCCACATTACTTACTGCAGTTCTTTAATTTTATTAGCACGCTCAAAAAGGCATGATATATCTGCATCAGGAAATTGGCACCAATCAAATCTACAAAACAAAAAGGTGAAAATTGTCAAAAATAGATCAAATAAATCTTAAAGGAAACCTCCGGGAACCAACTACATCAGAATAAAAAACAAGGACAGGAAAGAAGCCAATAATTTTTGTAAATATTAGTGGAGCTTTGGCAAGGCTGAATGTAAGTATCATTGACAGTAATGGTCCTAAAACATAGGAAGAGATTCCAAGGGGTACCGGAACAAAGCCATAGTGGTAACCAGTTTAGACATATAGGAACAAAGTAGACTGAAAGCCACAAAGTTTATCTTCCACAAGAAACATTGTTTGATGGAAGCAACTCTTTAAATGCTTCAGATACACAGATAGTCTTTGGTAGTAGTTTAGCTTTTGGCTAGAATGATTCAAGGTACTTCTCATTCAACTTGGAAAAGGCAGATTTCTTGAGAACAGAAAAAATTAACAAAAGCCTTCTTTTGGGAAAGCTTGAAGGTATGATTACATCTGAGATGCCATCCCAAAGTGTTACATTTCTTCACCTGTTTAAGAAACATTCATCACTGCCATTATCCACGGAACTGATACATTCTAGGCTCTGACAAAGCCTTTTCCTCGAAAGAGTCACTCTAGACTTAGACATCAAGGCCTTGATTTAATTCTTTTGGATCAGCTTCACACAATCTGTTAGAAAAGATTTATCTACATACATTTCCTTAGACTTTAATGGAGACTTGTGTAAATAACTCATTTACAATGTATTTTTATGACAGATTGTGATAATTTTAAAAACTTTTTCAAAAGAATTGAATTAAGGACCAAGTTAGTCAAAAGGCAAATTACCACAAGGAGGCATTTAAAAAAAAAAACAAAAAAAAAACTGTAACACTAGCTGTTAAGTGCCTTTTACCATTTTGATGTTTGAAGAAGAAAATCTTCAGACTTTCAATGAATTTCCCAGGCTCTTACTGGGGGTTAACAGAACAGAACAGAGTGATGGGAAAGTTGTGTACAAACTGTGATAATTTGAGGATTTTACACAAAAACACTGACAGATAAAATTCACATTTTTGTGAATTAACAATATGTACAATTTTCTTTGTTTACAACCACAGGCATGCCATTCCATGCCAAAAAAAACTAACTGATCCTTTCTTCATAGTAATTTTAAAGAGTTCTCCTGCTCTAGCTCAACAAAGCCCTGACAGCCATATTATGCTTCATTAAAAGCTATACTTTATCTATGTTGTTGGATACTTACTTGAGTTTTGAAATCTTGCGAATTCTTGGTGATAACATTTTCAATGCATCTTGACTAAATGAGTGCAAGTTAAATGTAATGTCATGGTAACTTGTGCTTTTCTCCAAACAGAAGGACAAAGATCTATCAATGAGGCTGTCCCGACTGCTGACAGATCCACATATCAAACCTTCAGTCTCCAGCTGTAAACATTGAGGCATTATTCTCCTAATAATATCATCATCCTGGATCTCATATAAGTAATGCAGCATATCGTTATGACATTGACATGTTGATATTCTTTTCTTCAGCCATTCTTCCAACATCTCTTTTGAACCAGAGAAAAATTTGCAACCGACGATTTCTTCAAACTCATTAATTTGTTTTACGCTGGAGAGACCAAACAAGAATTTTACTGTTGATGCTAAATGTGGATCATTCTCAGACATCTCTAGCAAAGACCTGATTTCCTCCTTTATGCTTGGGCTTTCTGTCTCTTCATTCAGTAGATAATGAAGCGCAGCAAAGAATTCCTGTACACTTAAATGAATGAAACTGTAACAAGTCTGAGGAGTAACTACCCTCCGAAACATGTTCTCATTCAGGAGCAGAGATTTTATATTTGAAACAGGAAGTTGGAAATTACTGATATCTGACTTCTTAAAGATGACTTTATGATTCAAAACACCATCCTTGGCCAAGGCACACAGTCTCTTTATGTAGTTGTTGATCGGTAGGTCAGAGTGTCTCTTGTGATATGTCAATAAGCTCTCCACGTAAAGTTGGTAAACAGAGGTGGCTGTGTTATAATGAATTACCTTTAGATCTTCCTCTATTTGCTGTTGCAGCACTGTGCAGACTATCCAGCATGCCATAGGGACAGCACACAATGTAAATAGAGTTTCATTTTGTTTTACTAAAGCAAGGAATCGCACTGCTTGTTCTTTCTTTTCAAAGAAATTTAAGAAATATTCCTCACGGTCTTTTAATCCTAATATTTCCACATAGCTATCGCAAGTAATAAAGTCTTTCAGTTTCTCCAGCATGAATGGTCTTGTTGTGATAACAACTGAAGATTTCTTAAGAACACGTTTGGCAAATAGACAACTTAAAAATATTTCTTTGGTGGTTTCATGGTTATAATTTTTATATGCTGCTCTTTTAATCATATAAGACTGGTCCAATTCATCAAAACCATCAACAAGAAAAAGTATTTTTTCAGAGTCTTGCAAAATTGACTGCATCACTTGCTGTGAACACGAAAGTTGACATATTTCTGTTATAAAACCAGCAATGGTCATTTTACCAGTAATTTGGTTAATTTCCGTAGAACTCATGTAAAAAACATAGTTGAATTTGTCCTGGTAAAGATTTCCAGAAGCCCAGTCCAGCATGATCTTCTGCGCTGTCATGGTTTTTCCAATGCCTGCTGGTCCTTGTAACACCACAATCTTTGGACTATCTCCCTTTTCATCAGGATCAAACAAAGCCTCAATAGAGGTCATGGAATGATTTAACGATCGGTCAGCCATCATTTCTAGATGTTTTGTTCCTGAACATTTTATTTCATTTTCTCTCTCCTTTTCGTTAGAGTGTTTTTTTAAAAGCAACAATTTGGTATATCTTCTCTCCATGTTAAACACATCTCCTAAAAGACCATTTTTCTCTTTCATCCATTGGTATTGATCCTTTACTTCTTCCATGTAATTTTGTCTGAAGTCTGTGGAAGGGAAATACTGCAAATTATTTGGCCTACAGTTACAAAATACATTTGAAGTACATTGAAAGTGTTCCACTATATGGCTGCATAACAGGAAAATTTGACATACTGATGGACAAAGTATTTTTCATATTTCCATATTTTTTCATCTAAAAGTGATGTTTATTAACGTTAGTACAGATTTCTAACTTTTAAACTGAGGATGAGTGCTTATGTACTTTGTTTGTTGTTATTTTATTAGTGTTTTTTTATAAACCTTTATTTTTGTTGTGCATGGAAGTACAAAGCGACTTAATGACGCCACAACAGCGTGTACTTTGACATTTCAGTGAAACAGTGGCAGAGAAAATCGTTGCACATTTTTTTTATTTTTAACAGGCTTAAACTTTAAACACGTCAGAGATTGAGGAGTCGTGTGGCAAGATGTACTGGGTATGCGTGCATGTAGGTTTGTGTAAGTTAGCTTAGCTTTTAGATGATAACAGGCTTAGACTTTTGCATGTGTTGCTAAGCTGATAGGTTGGATGACAATACGAGTGGTACATGCGTGTGTTCTGGCTAGCATGTGTAGGTTTAATTTGCATACTATGAGCTGGCGTAAGTTTCCTAGCATGTCACTTATGTAACACGTCCTCATGTTAAATATATAGGCTGTGTGCCTGAGATTTCGCTCAATAGGGCAGCTAATAAGACATGGGGTCACCTTATTTTGTTAATCAGGTTACATGAATCTACAGAGGTGCTGACTTTGAATATGTCAACTGACTGTATGTGCACACACATTCGTTCAAATCAATGTAAGTTACGTGTGGGAGCGATGAAAACGAAGAAAAATAAATAAATCCAAAAAAGTCATCACGTTTAAACTGCAGTCATAAGGATAGAGGTTTGTGCTGGGGAAGGGACGTCCCAGTGCTGATGCTGTGGATTAAAGTCCCGGTTCAGGACTATAATGTGTGGGAAGGTTACATATCTGGGTATATCCTGCAGGTTTTGGGTTGCAGTGTTAAGAGGGGAGGTTACATATCTGGGTATATCCTCCAGGTTTTGGGTTGCAGTGTTAAGAGGAGTGACTAAGGAGTAGAGAAAAGTAAAATAAAGAAACTGAATAGTGCGGCCAAAACCTCTTACCCTCCCCTGCGGCAGCTGTCTGAGAATGTGGTGATAGAGTCCATGGTTGCACCGGAGAGTCAGTCCTTGACCATATCTGCTCATCCGATTCCCTCAGAGGGGGTTGTGGTGGTATCAGTATGCAGCGTTATGTCTTCTGGCCATATTGGACACTGGCGGGTCGGAGCGCGGAGGAAGCAGATAGGCAGCCCGGTTAGGTCGGCATAGGGAGGCAGTCGGCTGCTTGCTAGGCGTGTGAACCCGTTTGGTGGATCTTCCCCTGCTGCCCTTGGTGTCATGTCGGTGTTTGAGCTGCCATTATGGGTTATAGTAGGGGCGAATGTCACTGCTCTTTGTGTGTGGATCCGGCCCTGTTTCATCGCTTGCTCTCCTGGTACCTTAGGGCGGTGATTATTGGGGATTCCCGTGCTGGTCTTGGGAGCTGGAAGGAAGCTGTTTCCTAGCTTGTTGCAAAATTGTGCTTCAAACTGGGTTTTTTTTTTGCCTTCGTTTGGATCAACAGCAAAAAACAAATGTGAGGAAGGCTGAACTTGATGGACGCAAGTCTCTATTCAGCTATGTAACTATGGTCCATGGTGTGCCTTGTCTGAAGGTGTGAGGCCATCCGGCCCCCTGCAGGGACTGTGCGCTTAAGGGAGGGGTGTTGTGGGGGCTGCCCCAGGGTGAGCCCCTGGTGAGGCTTTGGGTGGCTCACCCTTAGTCGAGTGCTGGAGAGCTTGGGCTTGTGCCGGGCTTCCCGCCTCCATCTCCCTGCTTTCAAGGTCCCCCTCGGGGCCTGTCTCGGCGTTGCTGATTTCTGCGTGGAGTCTCTTGGGGTTGCCTCCGATGTTACCTCCTCTGGGGCGCCCCCGCGGCTGGATACCTTGGCCCAGAAGTCCGCGAACAGTCGGTCTATCCTGTCTGACAGTGGGATCAGGTAGGGCTCGGGTGCTTGGGTCCACGTGGCTTCTGCCATGTTGGGTGTCGGTGGCTCGGCGGCCTTGGCATACCGGGGTTGGTAGCTGTTTCCTCTTACTCATTTACCCACACATATTTTGTACCGTTTTCGCGCCATTAAATGGTCTTTCTAAAGATACCATTATTTTCATCATATCACCTAACCTTTAAAAAAAAATTATAAAATTTTTAAAATTTGACCCCCAAAATCTGTTACGCATCTACAACCGCCAAAAAACACCCGTGCTAAATAGTTTCTAAATTTTGTCCTGAGTTTAGAAATGCCCAATGTTAACATGTTCTTAGCTTTTTTTGGAAAGCTTTAGGGCAATAAGTACAAGTAGCACTTTGCTATTTTCAAACCATTGTTTTTTTAAACTTAATGCAAGTTACATTGTTACACTGATATCTGTCAGGAATTCCTGAATAACCCTTCACGTGTATATATTTTTTTAAAGGAACACATCCTAAGGTATTAAACTTGGGGTATTTTGACTCTTTTCATGCCACCATTATACCACCAATCTATGCCAAAATTAAAAAAAATAAAAATAATAATTGGTGATTTTTTTGACACACATAGCAATTTAAGAATACATGTATGGAGAACCTTAAGGGTTACTTCCAAAGAACACCCCAATATGTGTTCAGCAACATCTCCTGAGTACAGTGATACCACCCATGTATAAGTGTGTCGTGTTCTCGGTGGGCTTAAAGACCTTATTTGGAGCGTGCGCATTCCAGTTTTCCAAATTGGAATTTTCACAGCTGGTTTTGGGTAGTCATTTTTTTGTGTTATTTTTCTCTCACATTGTACTTTATGCATGGATTCTTAGTTTCTTTTGTGTGTTACTGACAAAGAACACCCCAAATAGGTGTTCAGTAACATCTTCCAAGTACAACAGTGCCCCCAATGTACAGATTTTATGGGTTTTTGCAAACTTTCAGGGGTCAAATGTAGGGCTTTCCCCTTTTCCATGTTTGCACATTGAAATTTGTCAGATTGGTTTGCTGGGCCTATGTTGCCTTTGAGACCGTATAGCAGCCCAGGAATGAAAATTAACCCCATCATGGCACAACATTTGTAAAAGTAGACAACCTACAATATTCAAAATGGGGTATGTCCTGTCTTTTGTAGTAGCCACTTATCCACAAACACTGGCCAAAGTTAGCATTCATATTTGTTTTTGCATTTTTGTTACACAAAAACTGCACTTTTACTGGTGATTTCATCGTCTGGATAAGTTTTACTGTTTTTTGCTTTTTTTTGCTGTTTTTTATTTCAATACAGGTGTTTATTGTGCTAACATGGAACAGCAGGTCATGTTATCGTAAGGTGCATGCCTATGTTTAACAATTTGGGGGGGGATGGGGATGAGGGGTTTCAAGTGTGGTTTGTGGGGAGGGGGAGAGGGCAATATTAGGTAGGTTCAGTGTAGCATTAGTGCATTTCCTACACCCAGCATCTGCTTAGCACAGTCGCCGATACCAAGACTGTTCAGGAGAGTCGTTGGTTGTGCGGTGTGGTCTAACTTCCCCTTGTCAGGTTTAATAATAACCCATGGTTGATGTGTAATGCCTCTGTTATACGTCAGTGAAGTGGACATATTCTGAGTTAGTGCATTCAACCTTGGTATTAACGCGAGCAATAGTATGGATAATATGGACATTTTTGTGATCAATAGTATGGCCACGGCTGTCGGAGTTGGTTGATTGTCTTTTGAGATCGCCTTCAGTGCTACTGTGACATAGATGTATTTTGTTTTGAGATAAGAATTTTATGTGCGCTAAGTTGCTGCGTGGAGATTCTGGGAGAAGAACTCTTCCCACATTTCCAATGCCCGCAGTATGAAAGCTTTGGGAGCCATATTCTTTCTCACCATTGTTTCGTAGTTTTTGATTATGGCTAGGGTTTGGATACAGTGGTTTACAGTTGGCTCATCTTGGTTTCACCATAGTCTACTAATGACTGTGAGGGCGGCAATGAGAATATGGTAGATGATGTATCTGTGGTCCTTGTGGAGTCCCTTAGGGAAGACATGTAGGAGGTGTGTTTCAGGCAGTCTCAGTAGATGTATGCTTGTGCACTTGTGAATAATCTGTTCCACCTCCGACCAGAACTTTGCGAGTCATGCTAAGTTGTACTGTTTTAAACACTCATATTTGTGTTCAGCAAAGTCTTCCGAGTAGAACACTATGTGCAGGTTTTATGGTGTTTTGGAAAGTTACAGGGTCAATATATGGCTTGCCTGATTCAGTTTGCCAGATTGGTTTGCTGGGTCTGTCTTGCCTTTTGAAACCATATGGTAGCCCAGGAATGTCAAATAACCCCATCATGGCATACCATTTTCAAATGTAGACAACCCAGGGTAATCAAAATGGGGTATATCCAGTCTTTTGTAGTAGCCACAAAGTTAGCGTTTGTATTTGTTATTTTTTTATAAATGTGTTTAGATTTTTTTTAATGTATGTTATATATAATACGTGTGTGTGTGTGCGTGTGTGTGTATATATACACACACACACACACACACACACATATATATGCTCACACACACAAGTATAATACGTGTGTATGTATGTGTGTGTGTATATATGTATAATATGTATGTGTGTGTGTATATATATATATATATATATATATATATATATTATAATGCATATATATGATTTCATTATAAGTGTATTTTGAGGTATATGTGGATAGATCTCAAAGTACACTTTTAATGAAATAATATTTATGCATTATATATGTATAATATATTATAAAATGCTTTAATTATTTATAATACATTATACATATATAATACAGACACTCCTCACTTACCAACCGGGTTCCATTCCTATGACCCGGTCTTAGAACTAATCGGTCGGTAAGTGAGGAGTTAAGGGATTCCCTGCTCTGGTGCGTTCGTCTATTTTCAGGGAAACTTCCCTGAACATAGACGAACACACCAAAGCAGGGAATCCCTCTAATCTATGTTTGGGGAAATTTCCCCGAACATAGATTTGAGGGATTCCCTGCTCTTGTGTGTTCGTCTATGTTCAGGGAAGTTTCCCTGAAAATAGACATGTGCACCAAAGCAGGGAATCCAACGACGGCTCACACTTACTCCTGGTCATAAGTGCGAGCTGTCATAAAACAGGTAGGTCGCTAAATGAGGACCACCGGTATATGTATCATATTTATTTCTTTTTTACTTTTTAGCAGCCTGGGGGACTGCCTGACAGCTCAGACAGTCCCCCTGCTGGCAGCTCCTATAGTCCTATTGCGGAGATGTGATCATGGTGATCTACTCCGAGGGGAGTGATCTACCATGCAGTGTGGGGGGTATTCCACGATGCCTTGATATAGAGGCATCATGTAATACCCCTTAGAGCATCTAGCGCTCAAATTTACCGTGGACGTATGAGGTACATCCGCGGTCCTGAAGGACCGTTTCTTGTCGGACATACCTCATATGTCCGCGGTCCTTAAGAGGTTAAAGCATGGGTGTCCAACCTTTTGACTTCCCGGCCCACATTGAGCGAAGAGGAATTGTCATGAGCCGCTCATTAAATATGTAATATAATAACACTCCAACATTTTTATCTTTTGATATTTCATTGTTTAGTAGATAACTCTTTTATTTGTTATCCTAATGTGGAATTGCCATATTTAAGTATACCAAATTAGAGAGCTATCTACTAAACACATACACATAACCACAGATATACACATACTCATAGATATAAACACACACACATCATCACAGTCCTATGTACACAATCAAAGACATACACACATACACAGACCCACATACAATCACAGACACACAATCACATAAACACATAATTACTGACATACACACAAATATCACATTCATACACAGACATTTAGTAATTAAGAGGTAGACCCAACCTCCCTACCTTGCTCTGCGAGAGCTGGAGTGGACACTATCCCTGGTGGTCAGTGGTTGCTGCTGTAATAGAATCACTATGCACAGATCTCTAGCTCGCCCAGTATTGATGCCGATGCTGGGATGACGTCATATCCCAATTGTCGACTCACTGCATGGCGTGCGAGGGAGCTGTGCAGAAATAGCACAGTAAGTAATGGGCTCCATGCCTCCCTCGCCGCCTGGACAGCAACTGGGCCCCACTACAAATGGTTCAGGGCCACATGCAGCCCGCAGGTTGGACACGCCTGATTTAAGGAAGACAATGCAATAAATTCACTTTTATCACACTCCTATGTCTTTTCAGGTGGTCCGAAACATGTAAGGAAGATTTTTCTTTGGCTTTCCCCCCCCCTGTTTGTTTATGTATTTGCTTTTTCTGGCATTTTTTTCTTTGCTATTATTTCACTTCCCTCATATCCACAATCCACTTCCAACACTCCACTTAGGGTGACCACATTTCCTAACTGCCATTTAGGGACACTTACTTTCACAAGTGCATGTCATCAAATTTATACTGTAGACTGGCAAAAACATATCTGCTAGTGCATTTTTCTGTATTTCTGCAAATATTAACTGGCTACTTAGACATCTCTTAAGAAATAGAAAAAGTATACTCAGCAGTCTGCGTGTGCATTCAGCAGTCTGTGTGTGTACTCTACAGTCAGTGTGTGTGTGTGTGTTTGTGTGTATTCAGCAGCCTGTGTGTGTGTATTCAGCAGTCTGTGTGTATACTCAGCACACACACCGACTGCTGAATACACACACACACACAGACTGCTGAATACAAATTAATACACACACACACACACAGTGCTGAATACACAGACTGCCTGTCCCTCTCCTCTCCCCCTTCTTCTTACCTTTATTCAGGGAGGGGGGCACACTGCCAGCCCTGGTGGTCTGGTAGTGAGTAGTGCTCTTTAGCCTGCAGCTCTTCTGGCTGCAGGCTGTCTGTACTTCTCCCGCAAGGTGAGTGCTGTGTCGAAGCGTTGCCATGCTCCTATCAGCATTCTCAAGGGAGGAACTTCCTTCCAGCTCCCTCTTCTCTCTGACACGGATGAAGGGCCTCTCACCGCCCGACAGGACCCAAAGCAGCTCAGCTCATTCCGGGACACTACATTCTCCCAGAACGAGAGTGCCCGGGACCCGGGACAGACTCTTAACATTCTGGACTGTCCCGGGCGATCCGGACACTTGGGCACCCTACCTCAACTGTCAAAATAGACTGTTAAACCCTGCAACACCCCCTAGATGTAGCAAATGCCTTTAATAATTATTTTGTTGGATGTGCTACCAACCTGGTTGCTAGGATAATGAATTACACTTGTTTTCAGACCACAAATAAAGATCAGGCCCTTCTACATCTGCAAAATCCTCATATCGAAAAATTGAATTTTAGACCTGTGGCTGATAGTGTCATTAATAAACATCTTAATAATTGAAAAATTAAAAACCAGTGTGGACCAGATCAAATACCAGCTATGTTGCTGAAGCTCAGTGAGCCGGCAATTGCTAAACCTATCACTACCCTTATCAATGAATCCCTGGTGTCTGGATACATACCCACACTTTGGAAGACTGCAAAAGTAGTAACTATCCATAAAAGTGGTGACAATATTTTGGTATCTAACTATTGCCTGATATCATTGCTCCCAGTTTTGTCAAACATCCTGGAAAAATGCATCCACATGCAACTATGTGAGTAATACCAACAATCAAACTATCTGGCCCCTGATGAATCAGGCTTTCATTCAAATCACTTAACTTCGACTGCCCTCTTAAAAGTTTGCAATGACATCCAAATTGGCATGGAACAAGGAGGCTTAAATGGAGCTATTTGCCTTGAATTTGCCATGGCATTTGACATACTAGACCATGCCATTCTTTTGCTAAAACTTAAAAACTCAGGTATTGGTGGTTGTCCCCTAACCTGTCGTTTCGATTTCGATTATATGTATAAGACCGATTGCAATATGCGGCCATTTCTGATGGCACCTCCCTCTTCCAGTCACGTGTGGTGTTCCCCAAGTCTCCATACTCGGCCCCTTACTATTCACATTATTTAAAGAATGATCTGCCTAATGTCTGCACACATGCAGACGACACTGTAATCTATGATAGTAAACCCAATCTACCGCAGCTTGAGGCTGTACTCCAAAACCAATTCACAGAGGTAGAAAGGTGGGTAGCGGTTAACAAACTTAAAAATGAGAGAAATCTCAATGTATCCTTTCTGGTAAAATATTTTATAAATAAATAAATATCCCAGCACTCTTTTATGGGAGGTGCGTGGGCTGATGCTTACAGTCTCTTAATATAAACATCCCTTTCCAGGCTATATTTTTATAAATGCCCACCTAACTATTAGTCTAACAGATAAATATTAATTTATGGACTGATTGCATGGTTATTCGGCATTTGGATCCCCAATAAAAAAGTATAATGAATATTGGAATGAATGACTCCAACCATTTCACATTAAGAAAATGTTGTAACTGACCTCATAGAGTGCCTTCATGAGCTATAGGTCTAGCCATAGGCAAGTCAGTTAGAACACTAATATGCCTTTATGTTTATATCACAAAGTTTGTAATTCTATTCACTTACCGGTCACACTTTTTTCTGATAATTCCTTGTTTAGTTTATCTGAAATGCAAAATTTTACACATCAAAAGAGAAAGACAACAATGCACATATACATATATTTTCTTTTCTTTTCTTTTTTTATTGCTAAGCAGACACTGATCAGCTACAGGGAAATCTAAACAAGCTATTATAATACTTTGATTTGGTTTTCTAAATCAATTGAGTGCTATGAGTTAAATACTCACTTGCTAATTCAAGGGTTGATATGAAAATCTTACATCATTTCTATAGTATGTTCTAATCATTTTCTAGCTAATTAGAAATAAGTTAACACATGTTAACTTAGTTACCTTGTATGCATCCTTAAAGCTATGAAGACATTTTCACAGTGAGTTTTATTAGATGTCTATGACTATTAAGAGATGCCCCTAAGAGATTTGTAACTCCATTTCATGTTTTATGAAATTCTAGCACTCAGTTGTCATTGTGTCCTAATTTTGTTTTATGGGTATAAATATTGAAAGTTGCACTCCAGGCATTATAACAATGTAATCTTAATGACGTTGTTATGGTGCCAGGGGCCCTGGGCACCTTATTACCTTTTAATGAAAACAGTTTTTGGCTACAGTAACCATTACTGGCATGTACCCCGTCCCCAAAATATATACAGATTAAGAAAGGAAGAAATAAAAAATGTTCAGACACCAACGTTAAATTCATACTATGCTTGCTAACGACAGATGTCCAATATTCACAGATTTACCAATACCCAGCCCAGAGCTTTTAATTCCAGGCTGGATAATGATACTGCCAGAAGTGTAGTTATATCTCTGTATGTGCAACATTTCAAACTGAAAGGCTGCACATAACAGACTTCAAGCAGCATGGGCACTTCAAATCACTGAAGTTGTTATGGCCCTTGGAGTAACCCTTTAACGAGTTAACCAGAAAGTGGTCCAGGCAGCACATGTCCGCTCTGCCAATCTTCCTGCTCCTCTGCCCATGGTACTTTACACATGCATTTTTCTCAATGGGAAACCAGTGATAGAGGCTGCCACATTGAAGGTAAGAAAATGAGGAACATTAAAAGAGGACATATAGATCTCAAACGGAACCAAACCTGGATGGCAAAGAGAGTCTAGGGGGTCAGAGTGCTCTGTTAAGTATTATTTCCACAAAACCCCATATTAAAAAGAAATGAACATGCTATTCAACCATCAAAAGCCTTGTACCGAAAAGAGACAATTTAACAAACACAAAAAAAAACCCTCTGCATCGACTCTGTGTGACTGAAGCTAAATAGATAGCAGGAAAAAACAAAACTCTCATAAGGGCTTTAGCTATGCTAATCAACAAACCAACAAACAGAATACAACGGATTCAATGATGTCAGATATTGCAGCTCTGTCATCTTCAGGGGTGTTTGTATATTTTGAAAGAGCCTCAAAGGTGGCATCCCCATTTGGCATGTGGTAAGCAGACGTGAGCTTTACTTGCCTGAAATTGTTAGTCTTAGGAGGACCATCTTCTCTTCAGCTCCTGGAGCTTTATTTTGCAGGAACCGTGTTACTGCTGTACTCTCATGCATGCGCAAGAATACAGCAGAGGTCTGTGGGGAAGATGCCTGATTCCCCTGACAAAACATGACATTAGAAGCTCTGCCTTTTGTCAACTTCAGGCATGACCATAAGACAAAGTAGTCCCAAATTTGACTGCTTTTGATTTTCAGTGAAATTCCAAAACAAACAATATGGGTATTTAATGTTTACGTATTTGGGTATTTAATGAAGTTTACAAAGTTACTGGGAAATTTTATTTTGGTAACATTACTGCTTTAACGTATCTCTTGCCCCTGACTGCAACATTAAAGAGACACTCCAGGGTTAAAAATCAATAAATGTATATTTATAACTTTGGAGTATCCCATAGTAGACTCAGATTTCAGACTCCCCTTGTTCATGTAAAAAAAAAAAATTGAAAAAAATGTTACTTCCTGAAATCCAACATTGAGACAGTCTCCTTGCTTCAGCTCCGCTTCACCATTGGGGTCCTATGGTCAAAGAGTAGCACTGCATTCAAGAGTGAGCTCTCAAAGCAAGGAAGAGCCCCCTTCTGGTAAGGACTTCAGTAAGCTGAAGTGCTTAAGGAGTTTTGAATGTTCCTTTAATAACTTGCTTTATCTAAAATGTGGGACATCTGGACCAGTAAAACACATAACAATTATAAAAATACATTTATATCAAGTCTTTACAGAACTTTTGAATAATTTTCTGCACTTACCAATCACTGCGCGTTCCTTCAGCAGATTGTCTGCAGGTCCCCTTAGGTTCATGGTCATGAAAACTTGATATACAAATCCAAGAACGTTCTCTTCACCATGGCAGTCCATAAGAATTTTTGCTGTTTTATTGTGGCCAGCACCTTCCAACAGTCCAAATTCAATGGGACATATGCCATCTTTGTGAACATCTGACAACTTATACTGAAATCTTTCAAAATCTTCCTGTACAAGGTTATTCAAGGAGCGTAGAAGGATATCCCAAACGGTGCAATGTTGAATTTGTTTAGTATTGACAGAAGCACCTGTGAGAAGGCAACACAATAAATTGAACATTTAAGGGGACACTTTAAGCCAGGGCTCGATATAATCCAGATGCCAGGTCGCCATGCGACTAGGAATTTTGTCCTGGCACCTGGACTTTGTTAGCCCGTTCCCTCCGAGGTGGCTAGCCAACGGAGCATGGAGAAGAGCAGCCAGGTGCTGAGAAAGCATGGAGGTAAGCAGGCAGCCAACCATAATCAAATTGGGCTGCTGTGATGCTGGGAGCTGAAATATGAAGCCACTCTGGCATCACCAAACAGAGCACGAGGGAGCAGAGCAAGAAGAGCTTGAATATTTCAGAAGCCACACTGGACCCCAGGGAAACAATCTATTCCAGATCTCCCAAAGGTAGAGAGGCTGGGTGGACTTAAATTGAAATAAAACAAATAATTTGTGAGTGTGTGAGAGAATGTGTGTGTGTGTGTGTGTATGTCTGTCTGTCACTGAGTGTGTGCCTGTCAGTGTGTGTGTGAGTTCGATCGCATGGAAAAAGTGTTTTTACTCACCTTTCTTCCCATGCGTACTGGTCTCGCCACGGCTGGCCCAGTCTCCATGGCTGAGATCATCAAGCTTGAAGATCTCAGTCAATCCAATGCTTTAATATAGGGAAGCTACTGTACATGCCCAAATGCTGCATCAATAAGCATCTCCTCATAGAGATGCATTGCAGCAATACATCTCTATGGGGAACGTTCAGGGCCTCCGTGCAGAGCATGAAGACTCTGAATGTAGATGCTGCACACTGTGCAGCACTGAGACAGGAGGCACCTTTAGTGACCGTCAGAGTCAGTTTTGCCATTGAAAAGCATGCAGGGACAGGCTACTGTCACCAGAACTACTACATTAAGAATTGTATTTTTGTCATTTTAAAATAAAGCTTAGTTAGTTTAAAAAAACCTGGCTCCTAACTTTGGTTGCTGGCTCCTAGATTCCACACAAATTTGTCAGGCCCTCTCTAAGCACCCAAATAATTTGTCTCAATAACTGCCCTGGTATCTTTCCAAACAAGAGCTGTGCTATTTCTGAGCAATGGTACTGTTTGCATTTTCCAGACTCATTCTTCACAGCCTTCAGACAGTGGTAAGCAACCTTCTGCACTCCAGATGTTGTGGACTACATCCCCCTGAAGCTTTGCCCGAATTATGGCTGTAAAAGCATTACAGCAGATGTAGTCCACAACATCTGGAGTGTTGAAGGTTGCCTACCCCTGCTCTTGGGGCTCTTGACTAAAATCTGAGTATTGTGATGCCAGGTTATGTGTGTCCAGTGTTTCCTTACGAAAAGCATTTGCTTGATGGATCGAGGAGATCCATGTCTCTCTATGAGAGGCATTTGACTGGACACAGATTGAGTTTCATAATCTGACCGTAGGAGAATCAGGTTGTAGTGATGGAACTGTCCAAGTGCTAGATTACAGGTACGTTTAAAGGGAAACTTTAAATAGTCACCAAAACAACGTTAGCTTAACAAAGTGGATTTAGTGTATAGATCATGCCCCTGCGGTCTCACTGCTCAATTATCTGCCAATTAGGAATTAAATCACTTTGTTTATACAGTCCTAGCCACACCGCATTGCATGTGACTTGCACAGCCTTCCTAAACACTTCCTATAAAGAGTCATATGTTTAAACTTCCTTTATTGCAAATTCTGTTTAATTTAGAATTTCTTATCTTAATAGCTTGCTAGACCTTGCAAGATCTTCCTGTGTGTGAAAAAAGTTTAACTTACAGAGCAGGAGATAAAAACTTCTAAAGCAAGTTAACATCCGATTCAAAAATGAAACTTTTTTTTTCATGCAGCCTGTGTCAGTTACAACCGGGGGAGTTGTGGCTAGTTCTGCATAAACTGAAATAAAAGTGATTTAACTCCTAAATGGCAGAAAATTGAGCATTGAGACTTCAGAGGTGTAATCTATACACAAAAACTAAGTAATTTAGCTAAAGTTGTTTTGGTACCAACATACCAACGTATACCTTTAACTGAATACTTAGCACTTCAAGGAGTAATGAAAGATGCTTCAAGTCACATTTTACAAAGCAAAAAAGCACATAATACAGTAACCTAAAAAAGACAGACAGATTCTTGACTGTCACTTCAATAATAGGGTTGCACAAGTGTTATTGACCTCCGAATGTCATGACCTCCATTCTATCTTGCACGCACGTACTAGCACAAGAGAGTTGTAAGCCTGAGTAGTAACAGACACAAACCCATGCATTTTCACGTACCATTATATATATTAACAGTGTCCATCAAATAGAAAAGTATATATATATATATATATATATATATATATATATAATAGAGTCTCCACCGCTGTGTACTGTATTCATGTAAGTCACCATGTGAAATATATATGTGAAACAATGTGCCATGTGAATGAGTGTATTACAATAATATACATAATGTCCCTAGGGACATTAGCTCCACTGTTAGCGATTAGAATTCTCATATATCTATATTTCAACCATGAAGTAAAATGTAATTCTTTTTTACAAAGCAGTTGATGAAACCTGCAGAGGGATATAAGTGTTTGGTGTAGGTACAATTACCACTGATTTTTATTTTATTTTTTAATTTAAATTTTAAGATAACATTATCCCAGAATAGTAAGGGGAATATAATAACAGGGTAATGAAAAAAAACAAGCATAACAGAGGAAAACCAAAACACAGGAGAAGTTTAACCTCTTCAGGACCAGACTTATGGCCATGTTGTACGTTAAGGACGTTAACACTTTTGCGTTGTTTGTGTTTAGCTGTAATTTTCCTCTCTCTCGTTTACTGTTCCCATACAAATTATATATTGGTTTTTTTCAGGACAAGAAGGGCTTTCTTTACATACCATTATTTCTATCATGTCATATAATTTAATTTAAAAAAAAAACATTTTTTTTTTTTTTTTACTTTTACTTTTAAAAATCTTTTACTCATCTACAAAAGCTAATGACAACATTTGCCATAAATTTCTCAAAAAACACCCCACATGTACATATTTTTTTTAAAGTAGACAAACCAGGGTATTCATCTCAGGATATTTTGACACTTTCTATATAGCCATTTTACCACCAATCTTTGCCAAATGTCTCATAGGTAATTTATTTTTTTGATTTTTGTTCACATACATTCCAATTCAGGTATAAATTCACAGATCCTGTTATGTGTTGCTGCCAAAAAACACACTAATATGTGTTCAGCAACATCTCCTGAGTACAGTGATACCACCCATGCATAGGCTTGTCGGGTCGTTTGGGGGCTAAAAGGCCGCATTTGGCAGGTGCGCATATCCGTTTTGACATGTAGTCAACCAGCGCCCATGTCCTATTTGGGCCAATGTATTTTATCCCCTTTAAACCATATATTTTTTAAAAGTAGACAACCCAGCGTATTTTAAATGGTGGTATTGTAACACTTTTCCTGCATTGAATTCTACCACCAACCTTTTGAGTAGTAATTTTTTTGTTTTTTCCCACACACATTGTACTTTAGGCATTATTTAACAGATCCTGTTATTTATCACTGCCAAACAACACTCCAATATGTGTTCAGCAACATCTCCTGAGTACGGTGATATCACCCATGCATAGCTTTGCTGGGTTGTTTAGGGGCTAAAAGGCCACGATCGAGACTTGTGCATGTCAGTTTTTCAACTTGATATATAGGTATGCTTGGCCTCTCTTCAGTTTGGGGTATTTTTGCATCCCCCAGTTAATGTTACCATCATGAAAGTGTATATCTTTTATAAAGTAGACATGCCATATATAGGGTGTTTAACATCATTCCCTCAACCATTGTGCTAAAAATATTTCAGAGAATGTGCATGGTGGTAATTTTTTTAATTCTGCTTTTTTATTTTAGCCAGCTGGTTATATGTAACTGCCAGAAAAAAAACAATTTTTTTTCTGCAAAGTCCCGCGAGTACACCTATGCCCCCCATGCATTGGTTTGCCACAATTTTATAGTAACAAGTTTTGGACTTGCCCATTTTGGCTGAATAGAGTTTGCTTGTTTGCTAGGCACATATTGAGTGTGATGCATTTTTACATCCTCCAAGTTGAATTTATGGTTTGGAAGTATATATTTTTTATAAGGTAGACATCCAAGGTTATAGAAGATGGGGTGTTTTGACTTCTTTCCCCCAACCATTTTGCCCCAAAAATTCAGAGAAAGTGTGTGGTGGTAATTTTTGAATTCTATTTTTTATTCACACATTGCTTTTAGATTTTGGCCAGCCGGTTATCTGTTACTGCCAGAAACCTTTTTAACTTTTCTAAACTAAATGTGCAGGTATTAAATGCACCTTTAGCAGCAATCTCTAAACTAACTCCTGCAAAAAGTATCTAACTGGAGATTTGGGGGAAGGAAACTGACTAACTAAAATTTGCTGCTTTCAAAAGAAACAAAAAAAAAAAACATAAATACAAGAACAAGTGTAACAAAAAGGTATGTTCTGTGTGGTAGAGCTTAAAACATGTTCCAATACACAGACCAGGTTTTGAAGGGCAATCGGGACAGTAAAAGGGGGTGTCTGTCCTTTTTTCCTTTTTTATAACAGACCCGGCAAAGTTTCTGGGGATTTGTTTGTTTCTTGCAGTTGGCGGTATTTTTAAAATAACATGTGTAGCACCAGTGGCGTACACATGACCCATGGGGCCCCGGTGCGAAAATTGATCCGTGGGCCCACCCCCCCGGTGCGCGGCCGGGCCGCAACACATGGCGGTGGGCACCTGGTCGCAGGGGTTACAGGGCTGCGACCCCTGCATGTACGCCAGTGCATGCAGATGCACACACACTTAAAGGACCACTCTAGGCACCCAGACCACTTCAGCTTAATGAAGTGGTCTGGGTGCCAGGTCCAGCTAGGGTTAACCCATTTTTTCATAAACATAGCAGTTTCAGAGAAACTGCTATGTTTATGAATGGGTTAAGCCTTCCCCTATTTCCTCTAGCGGCTGTCTCATTGACAGCCGCTAGAGGCGCTTGCGTGCTTCTCACTGTGATTTTCACAGTGAGAGCACGCCATCGTCCATAGGAAAGCATTATGAATGCTTTCCTATGTGATCGGCTGAATGCGCGCGCAGCTCTTGCCGTGCGTGCGCATACAGCCGACGGGGAGGAGAAGAGGAGGATCGGAGGAGGAGAGCTCTCTGCCCAGCACTGGAAAACGTTTAACCCCTTTTCCCCTTTCCAGAGCCGGGCGGGAGGGGGTCCCTGAGGGTTCGGGCACCCTCAGGGCACTATAGTGCCAGGAAAACGAGTATGTTTTCCTGGCACTATATTGGTCCTTTAAAGGACCACTACAGACACCCAGATCACATCAGCTCAATGAAGTTGTCTGGGTGTCAGGTCCCTCTAGTTTTAACCCTGCAGCTGAAAACATTCACTGAGGGTTAATCCAGCCTCTAGTGGCTGTCTCACTGACAGCCGCTAGAGGAGCACACTGAACGTCCGTAGGAAAGCATTGAGTAATGCTTTCCTATGGGCGGTTTGAATGCGTGCGCGGTCTCATTCGGAGCTGAGAGGCTGAGGGATCCCCAGCGCCAAGGGAGTCCGGCGCTGGAGAAAGGTAAGTGCTGAAGACAAACATACTCTCACTTACAGACGCATACACACTAGCTAACAGACACACACATTTACTGACAGAGACACACTCAGCGACAGACATACATACACACTCACTGACAAAACATCAGACTCAGTAAGACACACACACTAACACTCACTCTAACACTCACACTCACTCTAACACTCACTCTAACACTCACACTAACACTCACTCTAACACTAACACTCACTCTAACACTCACACTCACACTAACACTCACTCTAACACTCACTCTAACACTCACACACACTCACTCTAACACTCACACTAACACTCACTCTAACACTCACACACACTCACTCTAACACTCACACACACTTAAACACTAACACGTTTTTTTTTGTTTTTTAATGTAATCCCCCCAGCCTCCTTACCTTTTGGAGTGCTGGGGGGATTCCCTGGTGTCCATTGGTGGTACTGCTGGGCACCTGGGCGGGCAGCCGGGCGCGCGAGGGAGCACTCAGTACTTCCTCTTCAGCTCCCTCGCGCGCCGCGTAAGGATGCCAGCGCCGGAAGATGACGTCATCTTCCGGCTCTGGGATCAGTGCGGTGCGCGAGGGAGCTGAAGAGGAAGCACTGAGTGCTCCCTCGCGCGCCCGCCTGCCGGGTGACAGCAGGGTCAGCCTCGGGGGGGCCCTGGGGTGATCGGCTCCTGCGCCCCCCAGGGGAAGAGGCTGGCCCAATGGCGTACATACCGGGTCGCAGGGGCGGCCGGGCCCCCTGGTGTGCCGGGCCCGGTCGCAGCCGCGACCCCTGCGACCCTGGTATGTACGCCACTGTGTAGCACCAATTCTGGACTCCTCTGGCACCCTTGTTGGAACTTGACCATCTCCATAAATGATTGTGGAAATGAGCTTGAGCTGAAATTGGAGAGAGGTGGTTTTTCCTGGATTCATTTTTTTAAAGAGTAAAAATTAATTGTGGGTTGCTACTTGCATAAGATAGATAGCCACCTTTTTATACCATGCTTTTGTTTTTCTTAAAATAAGATATGGCTGCATCAGCTGATCAGCCAGATCAACACCCCCGATATGCCTGTTAAAGGTCCTGATGCAAACAGGTTTGGTCTGTACTCTGCCTTGGACAGTGACGTCTGACATGCTTTCGTCATGGATGGTGGTTAGCATGTTAAAATCCTTCCTGTCCTTAAATTTTATTGCAAGCACTTCTGCTTTGCGCAGAGCTTTATATTCACATTTTTAACTTGGCCTCTATGAGAGGTCTGGGGAAATCCTTGGCATTTTTTCTCACAGTGCCGCAGGCTAGTGTCTGCAAACCAAAAAGAGTTTGAAACAAATGGACACTGCTATAAAAATTGTCCACATAAAGGTGGTACCCTTTATTGAACAAGGGGATCAGCAGGTCACAAACAACTTTCCCACTTGTCCCCAGAGAGTCAGGACAGCTAGGAGGGTCCAGGTGAACATCTTTCCCCTCATATACACGAAAGGCAAATGTATAGCCACTTTCTCTCTCGGCACGGTTTGTGGAATTTTAAGCCATACCTAGAGTGCTTTGAGGGGATGTATTGTTTGAATCCTAATCTCTATTTATATTTCATTAAAGATTTATCAATGGATACATTTTGTTGGGGAGTATAAACTTCAGAAAATTTGTGCTGAGGATGGTCTACCAGTGGGCGTATTTTATGAAGCCTATCATATTGGGGGTTGTTTCTGGGGTGACAGAGGGTATTGTCATTAAAATGTAAATATCTCAGCAGCAACTCATATCTTGCTCTAGACTTGGTTTGGGAGTACACTGGACTAGAACAGATAGGGTTGGTGCTCCAGTAAGAGCGATTCGATGGCTTCTTTCTAATCCCCATGAGCATTGTAAGAGCGCAGAATTTTTTAAGTTCAGAGACATATGTTTGATGCCAAGCATGCTCTGACTGCATAGCTACCTGGATTGGTATCAATAAATTGGGTAGCATATAAATTTGTCTGGCAAATTTTAATGTGAAAAAACTGATATGCAAGCCTTATATTTGACTTTGTAACTTTTGAAAACACCATAAAACCTGTACATGATGGCTACTGTTATACCCGGGAGACTTTGCTGAACACACATATTAGTGTTTCAAAACAGTAAAACGTATCACAACAATTATATTGTCAGTGTAAGTGCCATTTGTGTCTAAAAAATGCAGAAAAAGTCACTTTCACTGACGATATCATTGTTGTAATACATTTTACTGTTGTGAAACACTAATATTTGTGTTCAGCAAAGTCTCCTGAGTAAAACAGTACCCCCCATGTACAGGTTTTATGGTGCATGCACACCAAAACACAACCACATCCATTATGTTATGCAGTGTGTGTGTAGTGAATAGTGTCTGAGTGTGTGCTGGGGATGCAGTGTGTGGTTGCATGTGTGCAGGGAATACAGTGTGTCTCTGTGTGTGTGCAGAGAATGCAGGGTGTGTCTGTGCGCAGGGGATGTAGTGTGTGTAAAAAAACACCCACAATTTTTTTTTTTTATGTTTTCAAAAATATTAATTCCACAAATATGTAAACTGTATGTTAATAAGAGGCCCTCAAGACCCCATTAGAGACCACAACGGAGTCTAAAGGACCTGAAGATTGTGTTCTCTAAAACGCAGGCCCCCTTTCACAATATAGTGATATAACAAAGTTCTGTGATACCCAAATTAAGCTGTCTCTTCTCACCTTAATTACTTTTGCTGGCTGGCTGCTGTGACTGGCAGGCTGCTATGGCCAGCTGGCAGGCTGCTGTGGCTGGTTGGCAAGCAGACTGGCTGCTGTGGCTAGCCGGCTGGCTGGCGCTGACAACTGTGGCTAGCCGGCTGGCGCTGACAACTGTGGCTGGCCTCTTCCGCCAGTAGACATCTATTTCTAACCCCTTTGTGTGTCTCTTTTTTCCCCTCCCTTGTGTGTGTCTCTCCCCCCAGCCCTTTTGTGTGTCTGTTTATCCTTGCAGCCCTTCTGTGTGCCTCTTTGTCTTCTCCAGACCCTTTGAGTGTCTCTTTCTTCCGCAGCCAATTTGTGTATCTGTTTCTCCCCGAACTCTTTTGCCTGTCTCTTTTCCCCCTTCTTCAGCCCCTCTGTGTTTCTATGCCCCCCCAAGTGCTTCTATGTTCCTCTTTGTGCCCCCAGCCCCTATGGATGTATGTGCCCCCCAGCCCCTCTGTTTGTCTCTATATCTCAACTCAGCCCCTCTTTGTGTGTCTTTGTCCCATCTCAGCCCATCTGTGTGCCTTTTTCCCTCAGCATCTGTGAGTCTCTTTAGTCCCCTCCCCTCCTGTGCCCTTTTTATCCCCTCTCCCCTCCTGATCGCATATGTAGCCCTTCTCCCCTCCTGTGCACTAGTTAGCCCCCCTTCCCTCCTGGGCACTCTTTAGCCTCCTCCAATTCTGTGCCCTCCTATGCCCCTCCCCTTCTGTGCCCTCTTTAGCTCCTTCCCTCCCTTGTCCTCTTAGCCCCCTTCCCTCCTGTGCCCTTATGTAACCCCTCCTGTGCCTTATGTAGCCTCCTCCTCTCCTGTGCACTCTTTAGCCACCTCCCCTCCTCTGCACTCTTTAGCCCCCACTCCCCTCCTGTGCACTCTTTAGCCACCTCCCCTCCTCTGCACTCTTTAGCCCCCACTCCCCTCCTGTGTCCTCTTTAGTCCTCTCCCCTCCTGTGCAGTCTTTCACCTCCCTCCCTCCTGTGCTCTCTTTAGCCACCTCCCTTCCTCTGCACTCTTTAGCCCCCCTCCCCTCCTGTGCCCTCTTTAGCCACCTCCCTTCCTCTGCAGTCTTTCACCTCCCTCCCTGTGGCGAGACCGACCTCGCCACTGGGCATTGGAGAAGACTGATTGCCAGCCTCCTGCCATGTGACTATGGCCCCTGGGATGTATTGCCCTTTAAAGACATGATTTGGGCATAATGGATTTGTGTTGTGCTGCTACTGGCCCCTTAAGAACCATCTGGGGACATACTGTGGAGTTACTGGGTGGCCACCATTTCCTGTATCAGAGGCACATGGTGAGAACAATGCATGAAGCACATGGTGAGAACAATGGATGGTGGCCATTTTAACTCACAGACACTGTTTGGACTTTTCAACACGGTGCCATCTCGCCAGTATTTGGTGCACAGAGACATCGTGCAGTGGTTTTGGACTATACAGCAGGGGACACATTATACAGTGATTGTTTTTCATTTAACCTGTATATGTTCTGCAGAATCTGCATTAAACTGTATCTTCCAAAGTACTGAACGGATCTGGGTGATTTTTGGATAGGTGGTTCACCCAGATCCCCCGGTTCCAAGGATATACTTTTTTATGGGGTTATTGCATGTTTTGGGGTACCTGTGATGTGTTTTATTAAACTGTATTTCTCTGTCTGTGATAATTAGATTACCCATTGTGTAAGGTAATTGTATCACAGGCAGAGGGGAGGATTTTGTGTGGGAGTGTCTGAGTGTATTGTACGTGTTATTGGTTGTTCTGTAAAACCCTGTGGGCAGTACTAAGTTTGTGGATTGTGAATAAAAGAGGCTGTACGTGCCAGTCCAGTCAGTTCCTGCTTAACCCTCAAAGTGAAGTGTCGTCTCATTATTGGGGAAGGATTTATTGTATACTGTTCCAGTTTGACTGCTAGGAGTCTAAACCCATCCGTATGGTTTTTGCCTATTCAGCTGTTTATAGCATTCATATGCTTGAGAGAAGGTATACGCTTCTCCGGTTCGGTGATTGTGGTGTCTGCCAGAGTGCTTGGAGTCCTCAGGAAGTGCTAGGAGCATCCTTCAATGGAGGTATCCAGTCGGGGTGCCAGGTGATCCGTTACACTCCCCTCATGTACCCTTACATAGCCCCTCTCCCCTTTTGTGCCCTATTTAGAAAATGCTAGCTGGCATTTAGATGGGGAGGGCTGTAATAAAATTCAATACCTGAGGGAGGATGTGCATCTTAAAGTGGCACTTTTAATTTATATTCATCACTAGTGCCAGCTGAGAGGAATAGGTTCTGTCTGGGGAATGTCCTGCGATCTTGCAAAAATGTCCTTAGACCTTGGTGTTCTACTCTCGTGCATACATGAGATTGCAGCACTGATGTTGGCTCAAGGCAGCTGAAGCATCAGAAGCTCATTGGGACGGAACGAAAGAGCATGGGAAGAGACACCAGACACGCAGCAGCGACCATCGTGACAAATCAGGACAAAAATTATACATTAAGAGTCATCATAGGTCATCACTTGTCCAAACCCACAATGGCACTTTGCCTCACAGAGGAAATTAAAATGTGCCCTTAAGTGAGCAGGCTCATATTGAAGAATGAAGATATTCAAGTCTTAGTCTAAATTAGCTAGATTCATGCATGTGTGAACTTCAGCCATGGCGGCTGGAATGGAAATCTCTGGCAGGGAAAGCACGAACAAGAAGATTTCTGTGTAAGAAAAGATTTTGTTGTGGGAGCAGAAACCATTTAATCCCCAAATAGACTAAAGGACTACCACAAACAAGAGGATAAGGAGGATGTTCAAAAGTATGCATTCTCTTGTGAGAGTGCCTCTCTGAGAGCTCCATTGACCTTCACCCTTGAGAAAGGGGCTGAGCACATGGCACCAATTTAGGTTCATATCTTCTCACCAAGTCCCATGTGAATTAGGTCTGAGAGCATGTATGCCAAGACAACCCTACTAAACACGTTGACAGGAGTCCTAGGTGCTGTGACGAATTTGTGGCTTCACAGATCATGCAGAGTGCTCCAGTGTCAATATATGTAGCCTCTAATTTATCAAGAAAACCCAAAAGATTTATGTGAACCAGGTTATGCAAAGAGTCTTTGCAAGAGATTTCTAGAAAAGCTTGATATTCAAATTAAGAAGGCAGCTTGTAACAAAAAACAAGCACTAGGATCATTTCTATCTATTTGATGCCCCCCTTAACATAACTGAGTAATGAGAAGGACATCCCAAATGATTTATAACAATTGTCAGGCAACTAATCTGGGCCTGGTGACTTCCCATTCTTCCATTTAAGTTTTTGATTTCCATCTGAAGCATATCTTCTGTGATATGCTCTTCAAAATTTTAATCACTTTGTGGGGTAGAGAATGCACATTCTTATTAAATAATCTTGCAGCCTGTCAGACTTTTTCAAGTGAAAACAAAGTGTACTTTATTCAAAGAAGAAATGGAAACGTATAGCCTAAGTCTATACAAATCTTAGGGACATTATTAAAAAGCTCATGTCTCCAAATCTGTCAGGCCATTATGTTACTTGTCTTATCACCCAATTCCTGGAAGAGACATTTTCTTTCTAGCAGATTGTAAAGTGTTTTGCGGTTCATAAAGTCTGCAAGTCATTGTCTATATATTAACAGTTGGTAATTTAGTCTAATATTTTGTCTATGCATCATCCAATATATTAAAGGATCACTAACATGTGTTCCTGACCCTATAGTGCTAAACCCATCATTTAGGTGGCTTGCCCCCCCTTAGCCCCCCTATAAAAGTTTAAAACTCACCTTATTTCCAGTACTGCGCTGGCTCCGCCGCATTTGTGACATCATCGAAATGGCCAATTGTTAGCCATAATTTTTAGCCATCATTTAGGTGGCTTGCCCCCCCTTGACCCTCCTATAAAAGTTTAAAACGCACCTTATTTCCAGTACCGCGCTGGCTCCGCCCCATTTGTGACATCATCAAAATAGCCAATTTTTAGCCAATCCAATGCTTTCCCTATTGGCTAAAATCAGCAAGGGGCGGGCCAAATGCCGTTTTGGCAAATCAGGGCCTCCTCAAAATTCAGCGTCTCCATGCAAAGCTTACTGTGCAGCCCTGAGCCAGGAAGCCCCTCCACTGGCCATCTAAGGAGTGGCCACTTGGAGGTGTCCCTAGATGTCCCTCTTAAAAGGCAGTGTTTACATGAAAATGCCTGAAGGGAGCTATTATACTCACTAGAACAAATACATTAAGCTGTAGTTGTTCTGGTGACTATAGTGTCCCTTTAACATACAAGTGCAAATGCTAAGATTATAACAAGCAAAAATATAAAGCAGTAAGAACGCTTTATAACAGAGTATTATGTAGGGTCTAGTATTGGAATTATTAGGGACCATTTTAAGAATTACTCCAGGTAGAATAAAAAAGGTGAGGAGAATATCTATAGTGTTAGGACATGAGAATGAGCAGTGTAAACATTATGTAACATAATCATGGATTTACTAGATGGGTCGTCAACCTGGTCCCTACCGCCCACTAGTGGGCGTTTCAGGATTCCAGGGGGGCGGTAGGGATTTCAGCGGCTAAATCCTTTTTTTTCCCGAGGATTTCTCCTTTTGGGCGGGCGTGCGTGAGTGGCTATGTGGGCGCAAGATTTCAGTGACCGTCAGTGGTAAGATCAGCCGCGGCGAGCTCTAACCTCTCTGCTCCCTCGTGCAATGTTTTCTACATAGTCCCTCCTATAAATTACAAAAACCAAGTACAATTTACCTTTGTTCCAACAGCAAGATAAAGTTCTCCCTGCCGCCTAATATTAATTCCCGTTCGCCCGTGGGGGAAAAATATCAGGAGGAGTAGACTGAGGATCAGGGCAGCACAGATGCTGTGGGGCATGGCACAATTGGCTGTCTGGCATCAGCATGCTGTGCATACCAGTATCAGATGCCAATTCTGCACAGAATTTACATTAGCTACCGGCTTTTCTGAGCTGCCTAATAATGCCCCAATGACGCTGCTGGAGGCGTAGTTACACCTCCGGCAGCAGAGCAAATCCCTGCACATATAGACTTCAGGAAATCATTAACATTTCAAATCCCTGAAGTGGTAACCCTTTAAATGAGAGTCAGTGTAGTGTTAGCTTACTTATCCTTCTTCTTTCCTCTTGAAGTTCTTCTGCAGGTCCTCGCAAGTCTATCCCATTGAAGACTTGAAAAGTAAATTCCAGAACATTCTCTTCTCCATAATAATCCATAAGAAGTCTTGCAGTTTTAATCTGGTTTGCAAATTCCAGACGTCCACGTTCAATGGGACATTTGTCTCCATAATAAAAATCTGACAGCTTACACAGAAATCTCTTGAAATCTGAATTTTTCAAATTATATAGAGAACGTATGAGAATGTCCAAAACTGTAGGGTTTTTGGTTTCAGAAGAAGACATGCTCATGGTAATAATAAATATTTGTGGAGCATACAACTAGGCAAGACTTGCACTAAAATGTGGATGCAGCCATTACAAAATAGTTGGAATATACCTGCAAAGAAAAGAAAATTGTTTATAAAATTAAAAGCTATAAATACTTATGAGAGTTATACACAAACACAAAGTTATTTATATACCATATAGGTGCTAGCACATTATCTATTCTATTTGGCCACTTCCTAAAGAAGATCAACAGCACATATTATGATATGCAAGATAAGTATACTTGCACAGACTTTAGCACTTAGACAAGAGCTTGAGCACTTGTTCTACTTTAACAATAACCACCAAAATTTAAGTCTACAGGCTGCAACTGTCCATCTCTGAAAAATATCCTCTCTTTAGGTCCCTAAGCAGACCTATAGAACAATGGTCCCCTAGTTTTTTGGGCCAAAGCACAAAAAAAATTGAAAAATGTCCAAGTCACACTTTTCTTTTTCTTAGTACTTTCACCATCATGTATGAATATCATATTTACTTGAAGTCTTATTACAGAGCAGACCTGCACAACATGCGGCCCATGCACTTAGGGCCATCCAATGGGCATTTGCCAGCAGGGGCCTGGTTGGGCGCTGTGGACCTTTAACAGCGTGACCAAGACCCTTGCTTGGGATGAAGTGATAGCCTATCACTTCCTCCCAGAGAGCTGTGGAGCTGCGCGAGAGGGAGGAGTCGGTGAGGAGGGGGTCCAGGCCAGGAGATAGAGTAGGGCAAAGAAGATGAGGGAGAACAGGCTGCAAGAGCCAGCCCCTAACACACAACAGCCTTAACCTGTGGACTAGTCACTAAGGAAGCCAACCTTCTGCACCCATAAGGTCGGAAACTGGAGTGTGGCTATAAAAGTACATATTTTGACCTGTATACCTGTCAGTGTGTTTGTCTGTGTGTGTATCTTTATGTCTGACAGTATCTGTGTAGCTGTATACCTGTCTGTGTATCAGTATTTCTGTCAGTGTGTGGATGTGTCTCTATTTTTATATGTAATTTTATACTTTTACTTGAGAAGTGAGGAGTTAAAAACCTATCTGCGGCCCACAGAAGTTTAGCCTATTTTAATTTTGGCCCCTACCTACTGTCACGTTGTGCAGGTCTGCTATAGAGCTCTGCACACTTATACTAAATTAACTTATTAGTTTTACTTGCCAGATGATCGATTCAATTGTGAATTACAAGCTAATTATAAAAATCTGGAACATTTTCTGCCGGCAGAGCTAGCAACCAGTGGGAAAATAGCTGAAAGGTCTGGCAGATCAAAGGTTACCGGCTGGTGCTTGGTAGCCATCTGCCACAAAAAAAAAGTAAAAAACTAAATAAATAAAATCTTAAGGGGGTCAATATAACCTTAATCATAGGGAAATGTAATAGCTACCTAAGCACATTATTAATATCCAATGGGAATGGCACGTTTTAAGCCCCTATCCCAATGGAATGGGGTCAGTATATTAATGAGAGAGATCTATCATTGAAACTCACAACAAGTTGACTATATGAGCCTTTGCCTTTTGTCAACCTTGCCATTAAGAAAATGTTGTCCCTCAGTTACCTTATGATATAATTTGATTTTGTTACAATTTTTATTAAATTCAATGCCATCAATGTGACTATTTCATTAAAAAAAAAAAAAAAAAGTTTCTATTTATTAAATACTCAAAAGTGACAGCACCACTTTTAGAGTTGGAAGGCTCTGACCTTTGAACTTAAATAAACACCCCACTGAAATGTTTTTTTGTTTTACAATTTTGCCTTTAGGATGTATCTCTAGCTCTCTCAGTTAATTCTCCTGCAATGAAGGCAATGCCGAATAATTGATTGACAGGAAGAAGAATTATCTATTTCTCCCAAGCCACACAGGTTTTTTTTCCCATTTGTGCTAGTGCAATGTATACATTAAATATTATGTTCTTTAAACAAAGCCTAAGTAGTGTGTACCATGACAGATAGACTAGAATGGATCTGTATTTCTTTGCTTACTATTATGTATTTTTAATTTAGAAAAGGTGACAAATGGCTTATTCAAACATTCGAGCCCTCTGTCATATAGCCTGCAAGTTGTCACGTTACACTCTCGTTTTATAGCAGCACCGCACAGCACATCACTGAGAGTCCTAGGTGCACCCAGAGAGCAGCACAGTGCTAGAGACAGATAGTTTGCCTTGGTTTAAGATAGTTATCTTACCATCCTCCTCTAAATGCAGCCCAAGGCTTCACATAGCTAACTTCATCTCTTTCTCACTCGTTGCCAAGTCCATGAGTTCATGGCTCGAGCAGGGTGTAATTTCCAAGAAATCCACATAGTTCTAAGGACATGAGATAAAAAGGCGTAAAACACTTAAATAATGTTGGTCTCCAGAAAAATGGCTGCTACACGTACACCCTACTAGGTGCACTTTTAAAAGAATTGTTATTGAGCTGGGTCAGCCCTTTTTGGTGTTTACAGCCTTGATAAATACAGTTAGGGCAGGCTCAGTGTTCATACAGCGCTGATAACAGTGCTCACAGAACGCCACGCTCCTATCAGAACACAGGAACCTCGGCTCTAGCTGCTCTCTGGGGAGATCGACGTGTGCAGAATACATGGGGTTCTAGTCAGAATGTTGCAGCGTGATAGCGGCAGCTTACTAGATCAGTGCCATAAACCGCACTCATAACAAGAATAGCGGAGTGATGTCATTTCCCCTTTTTAAAAAAAAAAATAAAAAAAATTGCCATTTGTAGTTAATGCATTTATTGTTGCCCATGTGACATCCAAATTTAATGGGACATTAAAACGTACCAAACAGTGAATGGAAAATCCAATGTAGAAATTGTCACAATTGTAGTGAATTGCAAAAAAATAGCTGATCTGGAAAAATCCACTAAAGCTATAGCCATAGATTGAATATTTCAGCCTTTATATTATTTTTCAATTTATTTAATTTATAAAATATTTTACCAGGAAGGATACATTGAGATTTCTCTCGTTTTTCAAGTATGTCCTGGGTCCACAAAACATTGCATTGTTACAATAGGGTACAATAAAATACAAAAAACAATAATACACAATACCACTCACTATGCACTGTAGTGGTTATTGTGCTTGGTGTGTTCTTTTAAGAGTTTTTTTTCCATTAAAAAACAAATTGTAGCCAAATTAAAAGCGAAATGACTAACTGTAGGCTAAGGCAGCCAATTGGGAAAAATTTTCCAACTCCGCTCAGGGTTACTCTTATTATTTGCATGGCATACAAAAACACTTTAAGGAGCTATAGAGCCAGGACAAAACAATTTTGTATTCCTAGCACTATAGTTTCTCTTTTAGTGCCCTTCTATACCAAGTCTCCCCCCTTTACTTGGTGCAAAAGGGGTTAAAAACCCCTTCTGTCACTTACTTGAGTCCAGTGCCAATGTCCCTTAGCACTGGGACAACTCCGCTCCTCCTTGCTGATGTCAACCGGTGTGGGAGATCTAATATGAATGCATGGCAATGGCTGCACTCGCATTAGAACTTCCCCCATAGCAAAGCATTATACAATGCTTTCCTATGGGGTTTCGGGTGACACTCTATGTCCTCATGCATAGTGAGGATGTCCAGTGCCAGTTAGGCAACAACCTGGAAGTCCCTCTAGTAGCTGTTTGGTAGACAGTCTCTAGAGGTGGAATTATCAGACAAATGCAATTATTGCAGTTTCTTAAAAACTGCAATAATTACCTTTGCAGGGTTAAGGGACCTGGGACTATGCACCCACACCCCTTCAATTAGCGGAAGTGGTCTTTGTGCCTATAATGTCCCTTTATTAACATGTAGTCATACACGCACTAACACACAGACACATGTTGACAGGGACCAATGCACCACAAGAAATGTCCCACCAAAGGGTACAAATTTGTGTAGATTTTCAGACATGCCTTTCATAGATTCCATGCTATAATTTTCCTGAACCTTTTCCAGCCACTGTTGGAGAGTGGGTGTAAACTCCCCACATAGCGGGAATCAGAGATTTCACGTCTGTCAATAGGTATTTTGTGAGAGATTTCTTACAAAATATTATAGGTATGGATGTGTGGTGTTGTAGCATAGGTAAAGTATGGAAAAGTAAGTCCATGTCCACCATCCTCTTCATGGCTGCCTGTACAGCTTTCCAGTAAGGAACAATGGTTGGACATGGCCATCAGATATGCAGGCTACTCCCGACCCCCACCCCACACCTCCCAAGTGTCTGAAGCCCCATCGTAGATCTTAAGCAAGTTCTACTGCGGTTCAGTTCCACTACATAAGCAGTTTTTAGTTTAGTTCCTGGAATGTGGAGGCTTTCATCTTTTGCAGATTCAAAATATATATCCCGTGTCTTCCCCCAAAAGTAGTGAGTAAAGGGTAGATATACCCCTCAATAGAAAGGTTCTGTCAGTACACAGAGTCTCAAATTGTTCCAGGTCCATAAATATGTTGTGTTTCCCAGGTAAGGTAGTGAAGTATTGCTGTTATTGACAGTATCAGAAGTGATCCAAGTTTGTTGGATATCCATCTGTTGTATCATATCAAAATGTTTAAGTGCACCTCCAGAACATAACCTTCTGAAACCCCCTTATTTTCACTGGGCATAGGCCAGCTCCCAGTTTGGGGTTGTGTTACTTGGTGTCCGTGATAAGCTGTAACCGCATCTTAATCAAATGCCAAAGATCAAAACTTCTCATGAAGCCCACAGCCTAACATGTGATAGCTGAGGTTGTTTTACTTTTCTTCATGCGCAAGAGTAAAGCACCGCCAATGACGCATTAGTTTTGCTCTTTCGCTCCCTAGGTGCTGGAACAATGAAGGAGACCACAAGGAATTCTTAATTTGTATTTAACATATTGCCAATTTAATGCTCAGCTTGCTAAAGTGCTTTATTTGTTAGGAGTCTGTAGTTTCTAGTCAAATTAAATCGTGTCTCTCAATTCGAATAGAAAAATTAGTACTTTTATAATTCTTGCAAAAAAACCTCGCTCACTGTTGATGGCAGCTTCAGCAGAGGCTTCTCGGTGAGAAGTTTAGAATTGGAGTATTTTCCAGCACAGACTGAAACGCTGTCAGGGAAAGAGAGGAGGCCTTGCAAAGGCTGCACACAACAGGTCTGCAGTTTTTGCAAGTGTTTTTTTGTTAATTGTAGGTATGCTGTGAGTGCAGGATTTAGTAATTCATGCCCACCAGACAGTTAACGCATGTTCAAAGTTTAACAGATTTGTGGGTATGATCTACTATATCATGCAAACAAGATAAATAGATCATGGGCAGTATGATCAGCTCTTCCTCTTACCACCTACCTCACTACTGCCTTGGCTAAACACCCCCCCTCCTTGTGCAGCGTGCTCAAAACACCTCCTCTCCTGTGAGCACCTGCTCTCCTCATTCTAATTCAATGTATTTTAAACCGCACACCTCCACAAACATGTATTTATATAGATGCAATACACAACTATTATATTGCACGTGGACATATATACCCGCACAAAATACACACACACACACACGCACTAAGGACCTGTATGGTTCACCCTTGGTAGGCCAGCCTGCTTAAATAGCAGGCAGCCTGGTGCGCATTCTGGGCAGACATGCTTTTGGATGACACAAGTTATGCAGTTCATGTCAATTGCCTGCTTCCTCCTACACTGTCCGCCACCATCCCTCTTCATGGGACACGGATGGTGGGGGGTTATATACAAACATATACACACACACAGTCTTAAAAACACATACATCACACATTTGAACACTGTGAATATAGCAATTTAAACAGGAGCAATAATAAGGATGAGAAATAAACTGACTTTAATACTAATCTTGTATTGTGGAAGTGATGTTCAAAAATCACCAAGCACCAGCTTTATGTGCAAAGAAATACTAGAAGCAAAATTACAAGTTTCCAAAAGAACCATTGCATTACATGTTTAGCCAGAGAATTAATAAGAACGGATTGCAGGTGGGACTGATGAGCAGTCTTCTTCATTTAACGTTGAGTCAATGACAGGTCTGTATTGCAGTGTAACCTAAAGATAACAAAGAAATCCATTATAAAGATTATAGAATTGTGACATACCAAGTACTATGTGGTCCATAGACAAATAACTTGCTTAAATTGTTCATTTATTTTTACGTACAATTAAAGCCTAGTGCTTTATAAACCCCTAGATATAGAAATAGATTTATTATTTTATTTAAAATCCAAGAAGTCAAACCTTTACTAAATGTCTTGAATATTCATTTAAAGTCTGTATAAAACAGATATTGCTAATGTGAAAGTGGAACTTACTCTTTAACAATAGTTGAGCAAAAGCAAGGCTGCAGGTGCCTCTAGGACACCTAATTTTGATCAAGCCACTCAAAAACCCCAAGCATTTTAAAGGGACACTATAGTAACCAGAACAACTACAGCTTATTGAATTTGTTCTGGTAAGCAGAATCATTACTTCAAGCTTTTGTGCTGTAAACACTGTCTTTTCAGAGAAAATGCAGTGTTTAAATTACAGCCTAGTGATAACTTCACTGGCCACTCCTCAGATGGCTGTTAGAGATCCTTCCTGGGTCATGGCTGCCTAAAATGCATCCAAACATTCAGTATCTCCTCCCTCTGCATGCAGACATTGATCTTTCCTCATAAAGATTTATTGATTCAATTCATGTCTATGAGGAGATGCTGATTGGCCAGGGCTGTGTTTGAATCATCCTGGCTCTGCCCCTGATCTGCCTCCTTGTCAATCTCAGCCAGTCCTATGGGGAAGCACTGTGATTGGATCAGGCTATCACTTCTGATGATATCAGCAGACTGTTTGTTTTTCTGAGTCTAACAGCATGCAGACTTACCACTTAAGGCTTGAATACAGAAAGATTTGTACTATATTTATGGAGACATGAGGGGCCCAGGGGGGCTAGATGGTGGTTTTAACACTATAGGGTAAAGAATACATGTTTGTGTTCCTGACCCTATAGTGATCCTTTAACTAAGAACTAAGGAATGGTTCCACGTCCTAATGATATAATAACCACTACATTACCCCTTTAAACTTGGCATAAACTAAGAAACATATCTATAAAGAGCAATTGAGATGTAGAAAGTAAAGCAGTCATGAAATCCAAGTGCTGATGGAGACACTGTTAGACAGACCTTTTACTAATTTTCTGACATGTCAAGATCTCTCTCTGTGTAGATCCTGCAGAGTTCAATGCTTATTATGAGGGGAACAGCTTGGTGGTGATTCAAACTAGAATCAACTTGAGATTTAGCACTTTCAACTGTGCAGAACCTAGCAGAGCTTCATTTTATACAGAGTCTGTCTGATCAACAACAAACATCAACATATCGTTTACTACTATTAATTATAAAGTGCCAACAAATTCTTAAACACTGTGGACCAGCAGACAAGTATTTGCAACAAGACAAGTTGGACATACATGACCAAAGGGTGTTCATTGCCCTACTCAAAACGTGCTAAGATTTATATAAAGGCCTTCAAAAAGTGTGGTACCTACCTTGCCCTTTTTATCAACAAAAGCTAAAGTGTGCTTCCTCCAGTGTTCTTCGGTAGGTTTATTCTGTTGACCTTGGAGTGGTTTTGAATAATCATATTCATCAACCCTTACCTAAAAAGAGAGATATGGTATTCATTCCAGCAAAGCGATAACCAATACAAACACCGGTAAAATAGTTTTACATTCCAGGAAAGTAATTAAATAATTATTCAAGGGAAAGTCCAAACAGCAGCCTGCAAAGATAACTTGTTGTAAAGTGGTGGTACAGGGCAGCACTAGGCATGAGAAGGATCGTGATGGCCCCATACCAGCTACATGACACACTTTAGATGGGACCTAAAGCCCTCTCACTGAAGTTTCCTACCTCAATTCCCCCTTTTTGCTGGAGATATATCTTATAGTCAATATACAGCACAGTAAGGGAATTTCCTATTTATCTGGATTAGAGACATGCATTTTTTTTAAAGTTTTGTTTAATAAAAATGAATTGAACAAGGCACGTTGTAAGCATGATCCAACATCTGCCTATTATCCATATCAGTACGTAAAAATACACCACCTCACCTTATAGTCTTCTCTTGCATGAGCCCCACGGCTTTCTTTTCTGGCCTCAGCACCATAAATGGTTTGAAGAGCACACAACATCAAGTTCTGCAGTTCAAGTGTTTCCACCAAGTCACTATTCCAAACAACACCTAAAAAAAAAAATGGACATGTAACCAATTTTAAATGGCTTAGGAACCAAATGTCCAGAGAATAGATGTGCACAAATCCGTTTCGGTGAAACAATAAGTATATGTAACAAATTGTAAAAACCAAAACAAACATAAAAGCACTTGTGTATATATTCTCCCTCTATACACAATACAAAAAAGTGAAAACAAAAAATCCTAAACAGTTTTTTAACACCCACATATAACCAATAAAAAATTTTTTATAGCATGTAACCACATTATCCAAAAATAAATAATTTAAAAAGTAATTTATGGGTTGATCAGCCTTTGCGGTCTGTTATGTAGGAAGGACGATAAGACCCATACACATACACGTAGAAGAAAATTGCTGACACCTCCTCAATGAACATGACAAACAGTGTTCCAGTGTACTTCAGTTCACACCATAATTCTGACCAAAAAGAACAATTTTTTAATATACAAAAATGTACAAAAGTATTAGAGAGGCGGTCATTTGTTGAATATAATTGTGTACAGCTGAAATGCACAGGATTTTTAGTTCAGACGCCTAAGATTCATGTGGACTTTAAACTTAATTTTTGTAATGGGTCTATATCCTTCCCATCCTATTTATCCTCTTTGAAAACCAATTCCTTCGGCTTTTTCCCCTCTTTATTTAAGACACAATATACTTCATTGTTTATACTAAATTCTTATTTTAAACAGGGAAATATCACTTTATTTTGATAGGCTCATTTGATATTTTATGTATGAATTATGGAAAATAACAGATTTATGTTATTTCATTCATTAAAATATTCTTTATTCACTGCTGAGGTAAACTATATTTAAATATTTGAACACTATATATGTATAGTTCCGAATGATGGAACAATCTGAACTGGCCAATTTGATTGGTTGCCACGTCCCTCTGTGGGTGTGGTCATTCACATCAAAGAAGAATACGCACAGATTGATGCTCGCATTGTGGGGTGTTCCTACAATTAACAGAGATCACGGAGGGACTTTTAAAAACTGAAGCCACAAGGACTGGACAAAACGCTGATTGAAGAAACTGCAATAAAGCAGCGAAACGTGTATCACATATAGAGCCACTACAGGCATGATCTTTAATTTTCCTTATATTCATTGTTTTTTATATTTCGGTTTATATATAATAAAGCCAATCTACTTGGACTCTCCATCTTGCAGTCAAGTCTTTATCACTACAAGGAAGTTACTCCTAGTAACACAAAACAGATACAATAGGATCAAGAGGCTCTATCCCACGTGAGTGTTATTCTTCAGCACATTCATATGGACCATTGTGTTACAATCTACACTACGGTTATCTCTCATTCATTTTAGGATCACATAAAGTGGAGTTTATATTACAGAGAGGTGTGGTGGAACGTTTAAGACACCAGCTGTTACATAATTAGGACCAGACCCAACTGGCTCTGAAGATTGTAACAATGTACACCTTTTTCATACATACAATTTTCACCAAGTTTTGTACCATCTATTTTTTTTTTTATTGGATTTATTACCGTATATACTAGAATATAACTCGACCGGAATATAATTCGAGACCCCTAATTTTACCCCAAAAAACTGGGAAATCTTATGGACTCGAGTATAAAACTAGGATGGGAAATGCAGCAGCTACTGGTAAATTTTTAAATAAAATTATATCCCCAAAAAATTATATTAATTTAATATTTATTTACAGTGTGTGTATATATAATTAATGCAGTGTGTGTGTGTGTGTGTGTATATAATGCAGTGTGTGTGTGAGTGCAGTGTGTATGAATGCAGTGTGTCTGTGTGATGCAGTGTGTGTTTTTGTGTGTGATGCAGAGCCTTGGTTGTGGGTGTGCATTTTTATTTTTTATTATTTTTTTTTTATATATATTATTAATATTTTATTTTTATTTTCTAATTATTTATATTTTTTTTGTCCCCCCTCCCTGCTTGTTAGCTGGCCAGGGAAGGGGGCTCTCATTCTCTGGTGGTCCAGTGGCATGGGCTGTGTAGGAGGGGGGCTGGCAGAGAGTTGTTACTTACCTTTCCTGCAGCTCCTGTCAGCTCCCTTCTCTCTCCTCCGGACCAGTCAGCTCCCTTCTCCTCCACTGTAAGTCTCACGGTCTGAGTGCCGCGCAGAGCGTTGCCACGGTAATGCTCTGACCCCGTGGCTCTCGTGAGACTTGCAGTGGAGCTGACCGGACCGGAGGAGAGAGAAGGGAGCTGACAGGAGCTGCAGGAAAAGTAAGTAACAACTCTCTGCCAGCCCCCAACAGGACCGCCTTGAGAGGAATTAAGGAATGCTGGGGGAAATGACAAAACTTGACAAAAAAGGCCTTTTGTCCAGTTTTGTCAAGTATAGAAAAAAGGCAAAACAGTCTCTACTTTGTCTTAGCATATTTTTGACTGGTGTTACAGCTGCCAGGAGTGAAAATCCAACACAGTCAACACAAATATTTCAGGAATTTGAATTGACACAAGTATAATAGGTTTGTGCAATACCAAAGAGATCAACTGGATGATGTCCTTTAAAGCCAAAATTCAAAAGACACATATCTGGTGCATTTGAAGGAAACAGAAAAGCAAAGCTCTAAACAGCACAAATAGTTACCCCTGTCAAATGTTTTCAGGTCATCCATGGTAGAATTGATGGCACTTAGTTTCTCACATCCTTCCTTTAACACTGATCCAGTTCGGAACACAGCAGCATGGGTCTGCATTGTCTGTTAAATACATGAAAAAAATATTGGAACTAGTAAACAAAAGCTATGAAAAATCACATTATCTGATTCAAACAAAAGCCCTAAACTGAAATATCAGTACACTCTAATCTGCCAGTTTACAGTAGCTGATTTAGGTTTGTATTTTATTTTTTACACTTATTTACAAAGTTATCCAAATATTGCGAATACATGTATTTCTATCCACTTAGAAAAATTTGATGTACATTAAACGGATTGTTTTATGAATTTGAATATCTTTTTTCATTATTGGATGCATACTTCAAGCACAATTACAAGGACAAAGTGGACCTAGAAAACTACTTAACCGGTTTCCTTAAATGGATGTCTGGTAATGTTCAATACAACTTAATACAACTCATTACCCTGGTAATGAGGCAAACTCTTTCGGAACAGACTCTAGGTACCATGACCACTTAAAATCACTTAAGTCATGCTTGAAGTAACTCTTTAACCCCTTTAATCAGATGCAACTTACATGAATGGGTTTTATTTCTTGCCCTGTAAATTTAACTTTAATTACATATAAGGAAGCCCCTACAAGGTCTAGCAAACTATTAACAGAGCAGGAGATAAGAAATTCTAAATTAAACAGAATTTGGAACCAATAAATGATAAAAATTAGATTTCTCTATACAGGAAGTGTTTAGGAAGGCTGTGTAAGTCGCATGCAGGAAGGTGTGACTAGGACAGCATAAACAAAGTGATTTAAATCCTAAATGGCAGATAATCAAGCAGAGAGATTGCAGGGGGCATGATCTATACAGAGTAATGGGGCAGTAAAAGAGCTATACCTTCTGCATACTGATTCTTAGTTCTGATGTTCTTGTACTTCCATTAGCAAAGCGTAATTTGTCAAGATTTGCAACAGATTCCTCTCCAGCATTAGGTTTAATAGATGGTATGGGCTCACCTAAAAAGAAACAAGTAGTACAAATCATTATTTATTTATTGCATAGTGAAAAACACAGGCTGGTAAAGTAGTAGAATGGTAATTATTATTATTTATAAAGCGCCAACTACTTCCGTAGCGCTGTACAATGGGTGGACTAACAGACACGTATTTGTAACCAGACAAGTTGGACACACAGGAACAGAGGGATTGAGGGCCCTGCTCAATGAGCTTACATGCTAGAGGGAGTGGGGTAATGTGACACAAAAAGGTAAGATCAATGAATCATACAAAAAGGTATGATGTCAAAAACACTGCACTTTTTATAAAATAAACTGCACAGGTGTTATATTATGTCTAAGAATATAACTAAAGAAAGGCATGAAGGATAAAGAAGACATGGAGAATACAGGCTTGGAAACTGCTAAATAAACACGAAGGCTTAGCATCAGGAAAGCATGGTGGCAACAATGGCATTAGGTGTAAGAACCTAAACGCAGACAGCAGGTGTCAGCAGGTTGGAGCACTTTGGTATGTCTCTGTGGCCTGGCTGCTTACGGAATATTTCACTCGCGTGGTGAGAGGATAGTGGGTCGCATCTGGCCGCCTCCTTCCTGAGATAATCGGTGAGCTTCCATCGACACTATGTGTCCAGATCCACCAAGCGTCATCTGCTAGGAATCCCTCTGTCTGCTCTATGAGTGCTCAGTTTCAACGCAGGCACCTCACTCTTGCGCCATCTTTGAGCCCAAAACCACTGGCCGGACCCAAGGCCATCGGGGAGTGAGTCTTGTGAAGTAGACATGGACTGCTTGAGAACCAGCTTCCTCCAGCACTCAAAGATTTTTCCAGTATGGACTCCGGACATCGATCCTTGTAAATATAGGAATGCTCTCCTAATTGGTCTTTGCAGAAGCCGTACTGCCTTGCTACAATCTGTAATGTATGCTGCTGCCAGACTCATATTACTCTCCTCTCTTGCACCTAGTCTTCATTCATTTAAAAAGTCCCTCAAAACCTGTGGCGAAAGTGGCCTCGCCACTGGTTTTTGGAGGGTACTGATTGCCAGCCTTGTGCCTTGGGACTATGGTCCCTGGGAGATTGGGCACTTTAAAAACAGCATTTGGGGCTTATGGACTTCTATTGGAATGTGTATGGCCCTTGTGAAACTTAAACCCCATGGTGATTTTATTCTGTTGGTGGGATCTGAGCGCTGTTTGGATATATTGAGCGCTCAGATTGAAGCTGAATGTGGGGGTTCTGTTCAGTATGATAGGAATTATGTATTTTTATGTGTTTTTACTGTTGTTGTAAATGGAGATATTTTCTGTATGCCAGAGATAATTGGCTTACCACACCCAAGCCATGATTGCAGTTGGTCAAAAAGGGATTTCCAACTAACTTTTGACCCACTGGACCAATTTGTATGATTTTGACATATGTTTGTATTTGGAGTATGCTGATTCTGAAAATGTAAGTGAATGTGATGTATACTTTTAAAGTTATGAATATTGTGTAAAATTGTGTATTTTCCTGCCTGTAATAATTATGTAAGCCCATTGTGTTCAGTAATTATATCACAAGCAGAGGGGAGGATTTTGTGTGTAATTGCTGGGAGTGTCTGAGTGTAATGTACGTATTGATTGGTTGTCCTGCAAAACCCTGTGGGCAGTACTACGTGTGTAAAATGTGCATAAAAGCAGAGTGTTGGATTAAAGTTTCAGTTCTACTTCACCCTCAATTTGGAGTGCCGTCTCTTATTGGGGGAATCTGCTACAAGGGATTGCTATGCTGGTCATACTCTCTTGCTATATCACTACTAAGCTCTTGTAAGAGCTTGTTCCTGTCTTGCTCTCTGAAGGAGTCTACGGTGGTTATGGTGTCAGCTGGAGTGCTTGGAGCCCTCAGGAAGCACTAGAAGGTACCCAGTCGGGGTGCCAGGTGATCTGTTACAAAACCCATCTCTACAGAGAAGCTTATGGCCTCCCAGAGTAACTTCTATCTCACAAATCTGTTTTATGATCACTCTTAAATGGCCACACTCTTCTCAACTTCCAGTTCTGCTACTTTCCCAACTTGTTTGGTTGCTATCCTCCTTGATGCCCTTCCTATTGTGTTTACATACACCACCTCCTCGAGACTGTAAGTTCATTGAGCAGGGGCCTCATCAACCTATTGTTTCGGGGACCATTTTGTAATTGTCCTTTATAATATCGTAAAGCACTGTGGAATAAGATCATAATAATGATAATTTCAACAGTTTTCTGCACGCTTTCTCTATGCCAACTGCCAGATGCAAAGTACAAAGCCTTTAACAATGAAGGACAGAGAGCCAAGATGCGGGGACTCTGTTGCAGGATATAAAAGTGTAGATTTCTATATTTTTTTCCCCACACATCTCAGATACATATTTGTTAAATGTATGGATAAAGAAATATAACAGTAATAGTTTGAGAGAAGTAACAAGTCCCCTTTAGCTGCCAATCACTGCCTTGGACTTTGCTCATGCTATAAGCAGACTCTTCTTGCAGGGTCTCAAAGAAAAATATATGGAAGCAGGTAGAATGGTGGGAAACTGGCTTTCAATAAGAATAAGAAGATTTAGGTGGCTACAAGTCATACAGGGCAAGAACAGCACAAAGAGAATGGGGAGAATGATGAGACAGGAAGTACTTCCGATTGTACATGTTAGCAATATGCACTGAAAGAGACATAGCAATGTTGAAAATCACTGGCATCCTACTTTAAAATGTGATTGATGTTGCTTGTAATAAGGCTTTGTCAGCTAACACTTTATTTACATATATCACCATTTATACTAACCAGATATTAAAGGGGAACAGTCACTTCTCTGGGAAAATTGAATAAAACATTAAAATCATATATAATAATATGTGTTAACCCTTTTTTCACGAGATGTTCCATTTTCTTTTTAATTTTATATTTAAGATTTAGCAAACATCCAGTTCAGACAAGGCTAAGCAAGCACAGTACAAACATTGCAAATGAAGAGAACTAGAAACATTGTTTAATTTCTCCTTTTCGGACTGCCAGGTGCAAAGGACAAATCTTACAACAATGATCAACAGGGAGCCAAGGTGGTAGCACCCAGTTACAGGAAAAAAGTGTGGATTTCTACATTTATTAATTTTGTTTATTGGTTAAATAGAAGTATTAGTTAACCTAATATTAATACACCTGGGAAGCAACAATTCCCCTTTAACTAAAATTATGGCTTTTACAAAGATGCCATGAAAGTGTGCAGTATTCTATGTACAGTTGTAGAATATGAAAAAGAGTTTAGGAAAGCAGAAGAGATAAAATGCTTATATAAAGCCAAACACAAACTTACCAGGTTTACATGATTCTGCAATGCTAAGCGCACAAGCACGACCAAAGACAACCAAGTCCAGGAGAGAGTTGGCACCAAGTCTGTTGGCACCATGCACAGAGGCTGATGCTGCTTCACCACATGCATAGAGACCTGGTACCACTCTGTCTTCACCATCAACGTGGATAAGAGCCTGGAAATAAAACACATAAATGCACACCTTTGATAAATTTCTTTAAAGGACAGCTGTCACATTTTAATTTCTCATAAAAAAAAAAAAAAAAGTTAGTTACTTTTTCCTTCTTAAAGCATGTGTATTGATTGTACATCTAATTTTATGTGCCTGATCAGCCATGCTAGTAGGATTTTGCTCTTATACGACCAACAGCTGGTCAACAAAAAATTCCTGATGCAGGTTCATACAAGTCCATGACAGCGTTGCCCTACATGCAATTCAAAGCAGCAGCAGACAGTCCTGTCAGTGTGTATGTGTGTGTATACGTGTCTGTCTGCTCTTTCTCGGCAGCCCCTTCAGTATTTAAAAATGCTCTGACAATGGCTTCTCTCGGACCCTATGTAATAAGAGCTCTTGCTTTTTCAGAGCCATGTTTTTTGTCACTCTCTTTCTCTCTGTTATTATTACCTCTCTCAATGTATTCCATTTATTTGCAGTTTGAGCAGTTTAGAGGGGAAAGGGATACGATAATCTCCCACAACTGCAAATATGTGTATGTTGTGTACAGTGGTGTACACATGACCCATGGGGCCCGGTGCAAAAACTGATCCGTGGCCCCCCCTTCCCCCAGCGCTTACTCGGCGCGGGTCGGGGCCGCAACACATGGCGGCGGGCACCTGGTCGCACACACCTAAAGGACCACTACAGACACCCAGATCACATCAGCTCAATGAAGTGGTCTGGGTGCCATGTCCCTCTAGTTTTAACCCTGCAGCTGAAAACAGAGAAACGGCTATGTTTCACTGAGGGTTAATCCAGCCTCTGGTGGCTGTCTCATTGACAGCCTCTAGAGGAGATTCCGCGATTCTCACTGTGAAAAATCACAGTGAGAAGACACTGAACGTCCATAGGAAAGTATTGATTAATGCTTTCCTATGGGCGGTTTAAATGCACGCGTGCGCCTCTTGCCGCGCATGTGCATTCTGAGCTGAGAGGCGGAGGGATCCCCAGCGCCAAGGAAGTCCGGCTCTGGAGAAAGGTAAATGCTGAAGACACACACTCTCACAAACAGACGCATACACACTAGCTAACAGACACACACATTTACCGACAGAGACACACTCAGAGACAGACATACATACTCACTTACAAAACATACACTTTCACTGACAAACACACACTCACTAACAGACATCAGACACACCCAATAACAGACACACTAACACATTTTTTTTTTTTTTAAATTGAATCCCCCCAGCCTCCTTACCTTTTGGAGTGCTGGGGGGATTCCCTGGGGTCCAGTGGTGGTGCTGCTGACCCCAGCGGGCGGGCGAGCGGGCTGTCTGGGTGGCCGGCGCGTGAGGGAGCACTCTCCCATGAGTGCTTCCTCTTCAAGCTCCCTTGCGCGCCGACTCCGGTATCAGTGCGGAGCGCGAGGGAGCTGAAGAGGAAGCACTCAGGGGAGAGTGCTCCCTCGCGCACCGGCCACCCAGCCCGCTGGGGTCAGCAGGGCCAGCCTCGGGGGGCCCTGAGGTGGCCGGCTCCTGGGCCCCCTAGGAGAAGAGGCTGGCCCAGTAGGTACATACCGGGTCGCAGGGGCGGCCGGGCCCGGTCGCAGCAGCGACCCCTGCGACCCTGGTATGTGTAACTCGAAAGAATAGTCACCACAACACCAAATCAAATTCACCACTTCTAGTCTGACCAGGACCTAATACAATCGAGGTATACCACAGGAAATGTCTTTGCACGATGTAATTTATTCATAACAAATTATCGTACCTGGCCTTTGTAATTGGTTGGGACACCGCCCATATTATAATGGACTGTTGGAAGGACGGGAATAGGCTCCTTAGTGACATCAACTCCTGCAAAGATCATAGCTGTTTCAGAGATCCCTGGAAGGCGGGAGGCCAACTGCTGGGGTGGAAGGTGGTGAAGCTGAAGGTAGACATGGTCTTTGTCTGGCCCACATCCTCTGCAAATAAATAAAAGTTAGGGAGATAACTGAGCAGAATGAAGGCAGGTTTACTGAATAGTGAACTACACTTTGGCTCATGACATGCCCCCTTAAACTGAAGAGGCAGAGAAAACTAAGAAAAATAACTGAAGCATTGCCGAGTACTTCCCACACAATGCACAAAGAAAAGATCTTTGGCCACATCGCTAGAGAGGATTGCTGTAAAATGGCAAAATTAAAAGGAGGAGCTAAACATTTCTCAAGTTTTGTCTAATTCAGCACTTCCCTTAAGACAAAAGTAGTCCCTCTATTTTGTCTTAATATATCTTTTGATTTAGTGTTGGAATTTCAGTGAAATTCCAATGCAGTAAATAAGTGTTTAATAAAGATCTTATCTTAATGATATATTCAAAAGTGACAGATGTTTTTATTCCAATACGATTTCCATACAGTTGGTAGAAATAGTCTCCTCAAAAGGTATAATATAGTGTTGGAGATGGGCCAGTAGAATATCAGTGTTATTCATAGTACACACCTTCCTTCACATATTTCTATGGTCATAGATCGGGATACAACATCACGAGAAGCCAGGTCTTTGGCTACAGGGGCGTATCTTTCCATAAACCGTTCACCTTCACTGTTTATAAGGATTCCTCCCTCACCACGGCAGCCTTCTGTAATCAGGCAACCTGCCCCATAGATACCTGTAATATAGCACAAAGTGTTTAGTCCAATGGTTTCTAACATAATTACTATTTTGGTGTCAATGGTTAGATAGAAACATTTCATGAATTTCTAAGATTTTTATTTTTAAGTTAAAATAAAAGTTTGCCCGTATCATTACCACTTCAACATAAACCTCCGTCCCAAGCACAATTATTTAGAAGCAGTTAACGGGTGCCCATGTGTCTTATCAAAATTATATCTGGCTCTCCCCAGTGCCAGCAGGAATTTTAGCAGTTAAAGGAAAGCAGTACAAATACCAAAATCATCTGCCTTTGTAGAATGTTAACACATCACAGAGTGAGGTATGGTGACCTGATGGAGTTAATCACATAATATTTTTCATCTTTCATGCAATAAAAATTAGTGTATATTCACTGGATAATACACTCATTTGGAGCATTAAGAACAAAGACAAAGCAAGTTTTCAACACAATAACCTTACATTTCAAACGGACGTTACCTGTTGGATGGAACTGTACAAATTCCATGTCTTGGCAGGGAAGACCAGCTCTTGTGACCATGGCTGTTCCATCACCTGTACATGTGTGAGCAGAAGTACAACTGAAGTATGTACGGCCATATCCACTAGGAGAAGGAAGGGAGTGATAATCAGCAATTGAAATGGAGTTTTAACAGTTTTTCACAAATGAAAATAAATATTCCACCAACATGCTACACAGAAACACAGTGACAATTACTCATACCAGTCCCAGTAAACTCTAGTGAATATTAGCATGCTTCTCAATTTGCTTGGAAAGAGCTATAGAAGGGCGTATTTGTTTGCGTATGCCCAATTCGCAAGTATACTTCAGAGTAACATGAGGGGTAGAGAAATTTGCATTATTTATGCTGGCTGTGCCAGACCACCCCAGCATGCAAACTAAATACAACCAAAAGTGTGTGTGTGTGTATATAGATAAATAATCTTTAAATCTTTCCAATTCTAATTCTGATCTCTACATATGCAAGTAATCCATACGGTCTACTAGAGGCAGATGCAGGTATTAAAGTTTTAAATCACTCATGCAATATATACGTATATATATATATCGCTCACCCAGTAGCAATAACGGTGTTCTTTGCTCTAAACCTATGAATGGATCCATCTTCCATGCACAGAGCAATCACACCGCGGCACTCCCCATTTTCCATTAGAAGGTCCAGGGCAAAATACTCTACAAAGTAGCTTGTGTCATATCTCAAAGACTAGAAGAGAAATTAAATATTAAAAAGATATATTAAGTTTGAAATGGGTAATTTAAATTTTGTGAGCTCTGTGACACAGGATTTTCTATTTTCTGAATACAATATATAATCTATTACACTTTATACCTACTACACTCATTTTATCAACCTCAACCCTATACTCATGGTTAATGCAGGGATTATTGCCACACTAAGTGCTTTCTCCATGCTTCCATTCTTCCTATCAATTATACTTGAATCCCTTTCTTTCCCCTATAGTCTCCATTTCACGCTCTAAAACAATCTCACATTCACCCTTTAAGACAACTTCTGTGTTCATTGCCTCTCTATTCTATGGATTCTCTCTAATCTGCCTGTTTTATTTTCTCAGGGTCTCATGAATATTTTTCCTCAAATCAGCAAGTCTGTTTTTTTCTCTCTCTAAAGTGTTTGACAATTCAGGGTTATTCACTACTGTGAACGTTCAAAGTGAATTTCAAATTTAAAGTCAAAATGTCAGAACTGGAAAAAGTTAGCTATGCATTCAGGCCTTAAATTCACACTTTAGTAAATAACCTTGAGGTGTGTGGAAATGTAAATATATATATATATATATATATATATATATAAATAAAAATATATAAAACTGTCCAAGGGACTAAAGGGGTTGCTCAATTTATTTGTCCTAACACACAAAATAATTTTAGATTGAGGCCCCTGCATTGAGCTTTGACAGGGATATTCCCTAAACTCAAAGTTTAGTGAATTAAATCAAAATGGAAAAAGTGAAGCAAAAGAAATAAAATATCTGTAAAATTCTCCAACTCCTCTATAGACACAACTTCTTTTGCCTCAGTTTTTCTAGTCAGAATATGTGAAAATTTGGAGCAAATAACCACCAGTGTCCAATATTCTTTGCCCTCCCATAGTGTGTGTTGGCTGTGTATAGTGTGCGCTAGTGGTTTGTAATGTGTGTGCTCTGTGGTTTGCCTTCCTCCTGCTTAACTGTATGCAAGTAGGAGATCTATGATAAGTGGTTTTTCAGCAGGGATCCTGGACCCATAGTGGCAGAGAAGGGAGCATGTGGTATGCACATCTGATGGATGCAAACCACAGTTATTGCTCCCACACTGTCCCAGCACTCAGTAACTCAGCGCACAGGCTGGAAAATACTGGCGTCTGTGCTTTGAATCTATGACTGTGGCAGCATTAAAGGCAAAAAAAACCAAAAAAACTGCCTTTCACATGGAACTACAGGTCCTGGACATCCAACAATAGAAATGCCCCAACCTGGTTACATATATAAAAAAAAAAAAAATAGAAAGAAGTACTGAATAAGCTGCAAGAGTCCCCACTGTTTAGGGTTTTATATTGAACAACTAATTCATCAGCAGGATACAGCACTCATTAATCCCCGCAGACCTAGAACAGGGATAGGCAACCTTCGGCACTGCAGATGTTTTGGACTACACCTACCATAATGCTTTGCCAACATTATGGCTGTAAGAGCATTGTGGGAGATGTAGTACACAACATCTTGAGTGCCGAAGGTTGCCTATCCCGGACCTAGAATAATAGACATTGTAATTCACAGCAAATATACCGCAAGTGACTTCTATTTCCTGACTCATGAACTCATAAATATGCATTATAGTGTTAAGAAGTGGAGCAATATTAGAGCTATAGGACAAACTCCTTTCCCACATGCAATCAAGTAATAAGAAAAAAAAATTATACTTATATTGCTTGTTGCTTAATATCCCAATTCAAGCTCAGCATATATGGGAAAAAAAATATATGAAAAGAATCATAGAACAGATCTGCATGAATCAGTGAATATTATTGAATTCTATAAACACTGAATTAAATCAGCTTAATTGGCTGGATGAAAGTTTATTACAGTATTGCCACAAATTAAAAACAGAAGGTAATAATCAATACATAACAGGCTATAAAAAGTAATAAAAGAATGATAATAGTAAAAACATAAAATACACCTAAATTCACTGTTTAGTTGACATATGTTTAGCAGATTACTGCTTAATTGATGCAACAGTCAAGCCAAACACTATCAAAATGTATAGCAAGTTTTTTCATAAATATGCATATTTATATTTAAAGATATTTTACCCTCTTAACGACCGAGGACGGTTCAGGACCGTCATCAGCATTTTTCCAGTGCTGAGCGGTGACGGTCCTGAACCGTCCTAACGTTCTTATGTACGTACCCGATCGCCGTCGTTCCCCCGGCGGCGATCGGCGGTGCTTCCGGTGTGGGGAGACTGCCTGCAGCCCAGACAGTCTCCCCATGGCTCTTGTGATCGCTCAATAGAGCAGTCACATGGTCACAATAGGTGTCCATGTGTCTACCTGCAGGGGGACTGTCTGTGCTGACAGGAAGTCTCCCTGCTAGTGTAAAATCATTAAAAAAAAGTTAATGTAAATAAAAAAAATAAAAATAAATTATATATCATATATAATGTCATACTAAATGTATTTTTATATTAATATGTACATATATGAATATAAAAATACACTTATAATTAAATTAATATATATATATATATATATATATATATATATATATATAGATATATATAGTATAAAATCCAAATAATAAGTAGATTAAATTAAAATAAAAATTTAAAAAAAATTATCTATATGAAATTTTATTCTAACTGTATTTTGATATTAAAATATAGATTTATATCAAAATACACTTAGAATGAAATTGTATATATATATATATATATATATATATATATATATATATATATATATCTAAATAAAAATACGAAATATACCTATGTCCATATACAAAATTACATAAAATAATTATATAAATATACAAGTAGACTTCAAATATATAAATATGCATATATATTTAAATTCTAGGTGCGTATTTATGTAATATTTTTACATAACTAAGTAATTTTATTAATTGCAATTTGAGGGACCTGCCTGCCAACTCAGGCCGAAAGTCCAGAGAATTTAATTTGCTAGCACTGTATTTTACCCTGTAACTTTCTATGACACCCTAAAACCTATACAGGGGGGTACCATTTTACTTGGGAGACTTCGCTGAACACAAATATTAGTGATTTAAAACAGTAAAACATATCACAGCGATTATATTGTCAGTGAAAGTGACTTTTTTTGCATTTTTCACACACAAACAGCACTTTTACTGATGATATAATTGTTGTGATACGTTTTCCTCTTTTAAAACACTAATATTTGTGTTCAGCAAAGTCTCCCGAGTATAACAGTACCCCCCATGTACAGATTTTATAGTGTTTCTGAAAGTTACAGGGTCAAATATTTTTACATTGAAAAAGGCCAGGTTGGTTGCGTTGCCTTTGAGAGCGTATGGTAGCCCAGGAATGAGAATTACCCCCATGATGGCATACCATTTGCAAAAGAAGACAACCCAAGGTATTGCAAATGGGGTATGTCCAGTCTTTTTTAGTAACCACTTAGTCACAAACACTGGCCAAAATTAGCATTCAATTTAGTTTTTTACACACAAACAAATATGAACGCTAACTTTGGCCAGTGTTTGCGATTAGGTGGTTACTAAAAAAAAAAAAACTGGACATACCCCATATTGAATACCCTGGGTGGTCTATTTAAAAAAAAAAATGTACATGTGGGGTGTTATTCAGAGATTTATGACAGATAATAGTGTTACAATGTAAAAGTACAAAAAACGTATTTTTTTTTTTACATTTTTCGTCATTTAAAAAAAAAAAAAATGTAAATTAAATTACATGAGATTATATAAATAGTGGTATGTAAAGAAAGCCTTTTTTGTCCTGAAAAAACCCCCAATATATAATTTGTATAGGAACAATAAATGAGAGAGCGGAAAATTACAGCTAAACACAAACACCACAAAAGTGTAAAAAGAGGCCTGGTCGCAAATGTACTACATCGCAAAAACAGTCTAGTCCTTAAGGGGTAAATAAAGACACCATTTCAATATAATTTTATCTTATCACATTTGCACGTTATTGTGTGTCTGTGTGATGGCATATTATGTAAAGGAAACTTTTTATTTAAATTAGTTTTGGTGTAATTTTGCTGAAATGTTAAATTTTGGCAAAACTCAACCCTCCCTCATTAGGCAGAGCAAGGCACATGAGGTTATTTTTCATTACGACTTGGTTATTTGTGTGGAAATTAAAACACCTTTTAAATGTTAGGTCCTTGCATAATTGCTAAGCCAAGTCTGAAGCCCTAATTTGCTATTAAAATATTTACTGACTGTAAAAGGATACTGCGATCATTCAAAGGAAACTACATCTTAGACTGTGATTTCTTACCCTCCCATACAAAGTGTGTAGCAATGAATGTCCTGTCCTGTCTGCCACACAGCAACATCGATGGGCCTGACCCCCTTTTCCATATTTCAGAGACTGTCCTCCAAATGCACGCTGATAAATTGTCCCTTTTTCAGTTCTGCTGAAGGGCATGCCATAGTTTTCCAGCTGTACAAGACAAAACAGAAAAAAAAAAAAAAAAAGAACTGCATGTGATTCTAATAGTATGTGGCACCACCCTGGGATAATATGTCAGCTCTACCACAGAGAAGAAAACAATGAAAAAACTAGCTCTACTATGTCATGCTTAGATAGCAAATAATGCAATATTGACCTGAAAAATTGATTGTTATCAGATGAAAAATGCAGTCAAGAAGATCAGATGAAATACACCAACACAAGCTCATGCACATAAGAGGGTATAAGCCTCTAGAAAAAGCTAACAGAGTAAGACTATGGTTTGTAGATAGTAATTATGTAAAGGCATGGTAATCTAAAACCAGCCAAAATAAAGTCATGCGCAAGCAAAGCAAGAAAAGCATGACCACACGCCACTGCTCCAAGCAGGACTCAAGTGCCAGTCGAAGGCATCACCTCTGCCGCTTGTCTCGATTTAGGATAAAATGGCTGGATGTTGCATACGTCCCATAAATGAGCTGAGGATATGGATGAGGTGTTCGACACAGGCCTCAGTACACCATCCAGCGTCTTGAAGAAGTTACATTTGCTTCTTCTCATTAAGGACTGATAATTCTCAACCTGGACCCCCTTTCTCAGCCTGGACTCTATGGTCCCTAAACGTCTGTCACAGATCCCAAGGAATCCGCCATAACCTTCAAAATGGTAAGTGGGTGAATCACAGATATTATCCTACATGAGTTGCTTCTACCGAAGAGACTGGAAGAGAAGCAATAAGTGCCATGGGACCCCGGTTGGGGCTCTAGGCGACTTGAGGACCCAAAAATTATATTATAGTTGTATAAATTTAACTTTAGAGGGTGAGAGCATGGAGTTTAGCATCCTGCAAACCTCTGTGTCTTCGGTCTTCAGAGAAACCCCAATCCCTCGGTTTCTGCTGTAATATGGAGTCTTCCAGCACCACCACGTGGCTTGCCATGCAGAGGATAGCTTGCCTAACTCTGTTCTCAGATCGTCATGTTTGCCTAAATTAACCCTTGCAATCCCTTCTACACTAACACCCTAGTACACACTTTACAGCCACCACAAAGGCTTTATATTAGGACATCTTTGGCTACCCCATATACAGTAGAATTATAGGATCACAATCTTACTTTACTGATCAGACATATATAATTAACCTTTTTGGTAATGTGTTTACCTGAGCTTTCCTCAGGAGAGTAAGCTCATAGATAACAGACACAAACTGAATAAGTTAACATTTAATCTGACAAAAAGATTCACGGTGCGGTGTACAAAAATGCAGAAATAAATGACATACAGAAACACATAAATTGCAAAACAGTCCATAAAATAAAATGGGAGAAAACACAAGAAATTCCTTACATATATTTACCCCTTATATATAGATTTGTGGGAGATTCAGATGTACAGGTCTCCAAGTAATTGTTGAAAAAAAAAATCTCCCACTGGATAGTTAAACATCCTAAATAAATAACACCCCTGGGTGGATCAGAAGGGTTTGGCCTGGCAGTTTATTGCCCACTCCATATTTTCCTATATTACATTGTCTTTTGAAGAACCCAAAGTCAGAGCATATGCACCGATACCTTTTTCAATGCTCTATGTCCCGCTCTGGTGAAGGTTATCTAGTAGTTTTATGGCTTAGGCCTGGTGTAAGAACAAAGACTACAATAAATGTTAGCCCAACGTTTACAAAATCAACTCATAACATATATCAAACGCCAACTCATGCTTTGGCATGACAGCAGGTAAGTGCTTTAGGTGGGTGCCTGCTTGTGTACAGGTATGTTTTGCAGTGCCAAAGCTCCCTTGGTGCAGCTTACCTCTTCTCGTTCTGCCACATAATGCGATGGTACAATCCAATCCTCCAAATAGAGGAGAATTTGGAACTGGGCAACAAGTGATGCATGAGCATTCAAGCTTTCCAATAGCATATCAAATTTTTCCAAGTGAGGCTTCCACATCACGTGACCATGTCGAGTGACTTTAGCATCTCTTTAACTATATATTCTAAGAATATACTAATTATATGTCTTGTTTTCCATACATGCAATTCAGTTTTAATTTTGTATAGTAATTCCACTTAAACAGAAAACAACATGCAGTACACCTCTTACTTCCCAATCTCTCACCTCAATAACTGACGCTGGTGCTTGCTCTGTCATGTAATGGATGGCGTCCTGGTCACCCAGCCAGTCAGAACCCTTCACTGTGTCATAGAAGTGCCATCTCCAGTCATCTGGTTCCATGTTACCAAGAGCAGCATTAATACCACCCTAGGAAATAATGGGAAAGCTGGGACTATAAATATTTACAAAACTATGCATAAAAAAAACCCCCATAAAACCAACACCAGTATATTTCATTTAGTTTTAAAGCGGCTCTGTCAAATTCGTGGGTCTTGGGGACCAGAAGGTGCAAGGCTCAGGGAAAAGAAAGTGTTCGTTACCCGAGGCACTCTTAGCCGCTTGACTGTGGTTTCGCTGCATTTTTGTCAAGTGTAAGAAAAATACATACAAATAACATACATTACTTATGTTATCTTTTGGCTGCATTGGAATTTCAGTGAATTTTATCTTTACAAAATACATTTTGGGGGACGAGGAAGGGGTGTGGCACAGAGTCAAAGTAATCTTTGGAGGAAAAACTGGAATAGACATGTCACTTGATGAAAAGCAAAACACAGTAAAATAAAATTTAAGAAAACATTTCAAAACTAGGACAGGTATCTCTTACTTACTGTGAACAAACGACAAATAATTACAATTAATGGTGGCTTTTAACTTCTATTAGGCAATTTTTACAGTAAAGTTGCCTATTTGCTCCTAGGGATATTTCTGACAGTGTTAAATTCAATACACATTACAGCTGAATGTAGTTGTTCTAGTATGTATAGTCTATCCCTGCAGGCAATTTAATGTAAACACCAAGAATCCCATTTAAGGAAATATACTGGTAGCTTTTATTCCCCAGGAATTAATGCAACACAGTTTCAAAAAAAAAAAAAAATCACAGTTTGCTATTCTACAATGCCAAAGAACAGTTTGCAATGAGATTATAAAGTAATTTATTGAATAACAAAGACATGTGCCTTAGAACATCTAGCATATGTCCTTAGATGTAGCAACAGGAAACGAGATGTTTCACAAGACGTGAAATAGTTTACAGACTCACCTGGGCTGCGACAGTGTGAGATCTTGTAGGGAATAGCTTGGTAATGCATGCAGTGTTGAAGCCTGCCTCAGACAATCCAAATGCAGCCCGTAGACCTGCACCACCCGCTCCAACAACAACTGCATCAAACTCATGGTCTATAACAGGATACTGTGTTGAAATCTGACATAGGGAGAGAAAACAAGAACTCAACCATATACACTGGCAATCATAAAAGTGGAATTTATACCGAATAAGAGTAAGCAAAAAAAAAAAAATCTCTTACACTCCACCTTCCATTTTAAATGTTTAAAAAGACAAATTACTATTCTATCAACTACAATATAAATCGAATAGCATAATGAAATGGGGAAATGAAGTGAACCTTGTCAAATTCATACATTTATTTATTAAAACATGATAAAAAGTCATAGCTATGACAATCTAGAGTTCCTTAAATTATGTTTACTGAAAAAAAACTATTAACGCTGCCCATAAAAAAAAGACAATCTTACCGAATCTGAAACTTTAGCCGACGCATCCTTCTTTCCATAGACTGTGAAATGGAACGCGCGTGTTACTGCAGGAGATGCAGCAGGCCATTTCTGAAAAATATACAATTCATTACACCTTGATGCAGAGTGTGCTACACATTTACTGCATAATATTAGCTTATACAAAATATTTTGCACTCGGCAATCGTGTTAAAACATAACACTGTCACACAGTTGAGCATAACTAAAAGTAACCAAAGTAGCAACTAACTACCCCCAAGTATGGCATATTTTCCCACCTAAATGGGTTAATAGCAATTTACTGACAAAATAGACAGCTGATTTGATAGTGACCCATACCCATATCATTATATGGTCTCAGAAAAGCAAAAAGGTTGACTTGACACGGTCTCTAGACAAACCTGTAAGCTCAAGACTGAAATGTTTAATACATTTATTGCATTACGATCACACTGGTAGAGTGATTCATTCAAATTAGTCAATTAAAAAAAAAAAAAAATAATAATCTAAATCCGTTACTATTAGCTATTGTTATTTACAATTCCGTTATAAATTCTCCAACATGCCTTGTATAGTGAATAAAACACATGACTTTATTTTATGGCTTCCCAACAATTGGATCCCCAGTTGTTGCAAATCTACAACTGTCATGCTGCTCTGCAAGAATCATGGGAGGTGTAGTTCTGCAACAGTTGAGGATCGAACTTAAAGGACCACTATAGGACCACATACTCGTTTTCCTGGCACTATAGTTAAAGGACCACTGTAACGGAGCTCCTTGTACTCCGACTGAGTACCCTCCGTTGACGGATGCTCCTAGCGCTTCCTGAGGACTCCAAGCGCTGCAGCAGACACCACAACCACCGCAGACTCCGCAACCGCCGTATCTTGACTGGAGTCTCGCCGTCTTCCTTCCACCCTGGATCAGCTTCTGTCCTCCAGGACTGTGTGGGAAAGAACTCTTCCTTCCACCCTGTATAAACCTCCAGCATCCAGGACTGTGCGGTGAAGACCCCTCCTCCAAGCAGAAGCGCTGGCAATGTTATTGTGGTGACTGTATTGGCTGGTCCCAAGGGAATAAAGGTTTTGACAGTTCTTCTTGATCCCTCTAAACGTAGCCTTGTCTCGTTATTGGAGGGAGCTGTTATAATCACACTGGGGATTGCTATGCTCTGCATGCTCCCCTGAGCTTGAGTCACTTAGCTCTTTTAAGAGCTTGTTCCTGACACACTCTCCTTGGAGGAGGGGTCTTCACCACACAGTCCTGGATGCTGGAGGTTCTTACAGGGTGGAAGGAAGAGTTCTTTCCCACACAGTCCTGGAGGACAGAAGCTGATCCAGGGTAGAAGGAAGACGGCGAGACTCCAGTCAAGATACGGCGGTTGCGGAGTCTGCGGTGGTTGTGGTGTCTGCTGCAGCGCTTGGAGTCCTCAGGAAGCGCTAGGAGCATCCGTCAACGGAGGGTACTCAGTCGGAGTACAAGGAGCTCCGTTACAACCACATACTCGTTTTCCTGGCACTATAGTGCCCTAAGGGTGCCCCCACCCTCAGGGACCCCCTCCCGCCGGGCTCTTTGGAGAGGAAGGGGTTAAAATCTTACCTTTCTCCAGCGCCGGGTGGGGAGCTCTCTTCCTCCTCTTCGGCTGAATGCGCATGCGCGGCAGGAGCTGCGTGCGCATTCAGCCAGTCTCATAGGAAAGCATTCATAATGCTTTCCTATGGACGCTTGCGTCTTCTCACTGTGATTTTCACAGTGAGAAGACGCCTCTAGCGGCTGTCAATGAGACAGGCGATTAACCTATTTATAAACATAGCACTCCTATGTTTATAAAAAAACACGAGTTAACCCTAGCTGGACCAGGCACCCAGACCACTTCAATAAGCTGAAGTGGTCTGGGTGTCTAGAGTGGTCCTTTAAGATGGCCCTATTTATTTGATCTAAAAAAGGTAATGGATTTTTCTGCCCACACTTTATGGAAAATTGTCTGATAAAAGAAAGGTCATCAAAACATGTTACAATGTCAGACTTTCCATTTTTTATACATGCTTTCAAACTTCCTGGTTTCCAGTCATGTAAAAACTTGCAACAAAAGCAAAATGAGAACTCTGAGAATAGATATGGTCTCAAAATAGTTTTTGTTCACTTGCGCCGTTACAAAGTGATCCTTTACCATTGCACATCAGACTGATTCCACCTACAAGGGCAGTCCTGATCCGCAGTGCTGGCAAGTTATCTCTGCATGAGAGATACAGCAACCTCAGAAACATTTCGACCTTCTTTGGGCCTCATCAGCGAGATGTAGCTGATACAATTCTAATCAAGGGATCCTTGTCTGGATTAACCCTTTAACTTGGGGAAAGCCAAGTTAATGCATTGCAACAAAAACCATACAAGTGAGCAAAAACTATTTTGAGACCTGAGTGGGGATTTACTGTAGACCACCAGATATTTTTAAACTACAGCTTCTATAATGCTTTGTCATTCTAAAAGGCGTGCAAACAATCATAGGAGTTGTAGTTCTACAACATCTGGGGATCTAACTTTGGGCACCCTTGCTCTAAGCTTTTGTCCACTCTCAGAGTTCTCATATTATTCTCTGTTTTTGATGTAAAAACTTGCACCTTCAGCTGTTGCACTCTGCTGAGTAAGGTTTTCTCGAACATCACAATTACCATAGCTTGCTGTAATGGTTATGATGGAAGGAGTACACTGGCTCGAAATAGTTTGTAAAGCTTTGTTCTTTTACAAGAGTCCTGCCAGGCTTCTGGTCTTCTGTGATGCAAATTTATGACATCCAACTCCTGCAGATCAGCAGAAGCTGAATGCCGATCCTGCTGCTCATAGATTAGCTGAGAGCGTCAGCCGATCACTTGCAGCTAATGAACGAGCATGCATGCAAAGAAATTTGCAGAGTTGACATTTGCTAGACCTCTCTTCAGGCCTGACGAATGACACCTAATTACACTGCTGGAGGTGGTGTTGCACCTCCAGCAGCCAAGGGGTTAATATCCAAAGGAATGCACTTCACATACATGGGCACTTCAAATCAGTGAAGTAGTCATGGTGCTTAAAATAACCCTTTAATTGAAGCAGTGTATTTTCTTTACTTTCTACATATGAAATAATTCCTAAAATTTATTATTATTTTTTTTTTTTAATACAAAATCGAATATTTTAATTTTAGTTGTGATTTAAGGTAAACGAAGATTATATTTAAAGGACCACTATAGTGCCAGGAAAACAAACTCGTTTTCATGGCACTATAGGGTCATTAGGTCCCCCCTCCCACTGGGCCACTTACCTTTCTCCAGCAACGGGCTCCGTCCCCCTGCTGACGTCCGCTCCAAATGCGCGGCAAGAGCTTCGCGCGCATTCAAACCGCCCATAGGAAAGCATTACTCAATGCTTTCCTATAGACGTCTAGCATCTTCTCACTGTGATTTTCACAGTGAGTATCGCGGAAGCGCCTCTAGCGGCTGTCAGTGAGACAGCCACTAAAGGCTAGATTAACCCTATGTTTTTAGCTGCAGGGTTAAAACAGAGGGACCTGGAACCCAGACCACTTCATTGAGCAGAAGTGTTCTGGGTGCCTATAGTGGTCCTATAGGTAAAATCAAAAGATCCAAATGTTTGTGTATTTAGTTTATCTTGTTAAAATAACCACTTTAGGCTTGAAGGGTCTAATCCTTGTATCAAACCACATTATCAAACCACATTCAGCAATGTTCTTCATATTTTGGTAAAATGTTTCCATCTTTAACATTTTTCTTCTTAGCATATAATCATTAATATAGACTAGGGCTGGGGTAGACAACCTACAACACTCCAGATGTTGTGGCCCAAAATTCCCTTACAAGCATAATGCTGGCAAAGCATCGGGGAAGTGTAGTTCACATCTGGAGTGCTGAAAGTTGCCTACCCTCTGGACTAGGGTATAAGTAGTCAATTTATCCAGTCCAGGCATAAATTATGTCAGGATATGTAATTAGTTAGTGAGACAGCCACTAGAGGCTGGATTAACCCTCAGTGAAACAGAGCAGTTTGTTTTCAGCTGCAGGGTTAAAACAGAAGGACCTGGCACCCAGGGAGTCTGGGATAGTTAGGCGACTTTTAGGCTACGCATGAAGACATCCAGCGTCATAGAAAACCTCAGAGGGGGGGGCGTGCTTTGGTTTCCCTTTAAAACACTAAACGAGAGTGGACAAAGTTCACAGCAACAGGAGGGATTTTCACAAGGTTGTATACAAAAGTGGGAATTCAAAGTGAATTTCAAATTGAAGGCTAAAGTAACTAACTGTACTAAAATCATAGATAAAGGTGGATAATTTTTTACAGTTCAACTGTCTGTTGTCTTTACATAACTTGCAAAGAGCACTGATGATGATTTGCAGCATTGAGGGCAGGGGAAGGTGAGATTTATGTAACTGAACCTGTCCCTCACTTGCACCTCCATGCTCTTCCTGCCACTTCAGCTGCCAAGAGCCGACATTAACATTGTACGCTCACATGCATGAGAGTACAGCGTGGAAGTCTATCATAGAAAGAGCTTCATTTGACTACAGTCTACCCCTTAGGAGTTTCCAGCTGCAAATATGGAGTGTAGAAAGAGTCCATAATTGCCAATCACCCTTACAACTTTCTGGGAACTCTGGTACTCTCCACATTTTGTGCATCATTATTACTGTGTCTGCAGTCCCCAGCACTGCCCCTCTATTCAGTTTTAAGCCATTTTAGCACAATTTAACACCAAATCAGTGTCCTTGGTCACTCACAGTCCGGCCCCTTCTGGAGGTGTGGCTAAGGCAGAGATCACACGCTTCCTTGTACAATACCCTTCAAACCATCTGGAGCTCGGATAGGCTAACAGCAGTCAGTCAATCACAGCTGCCCATTGCTGCTCAGGCTAATACTTCCTCATCAGCCAAGGCAGCACAGAGGGGATGGACTGCTGGGGACTCAGATTAAGCATAGCTAAACAAAATGACGATACCAGGGGATTCCAGGCACTATATCCAGTTTAATGAGAAGAAGCTGATACAGTGCTCAGGGCCCCTTTAACATCGATTAATCAAACCGGGAACACAAAGTACATAACACACGCATGCACGCGCAGTGGTTACGTGACCTTCGACCTTGATCTCAGCCAATCAAATGTAAGAGACATAAAATCACCGGCCAATAGCACACACCGTCTGGGAAAAACCTGAGTCATGTGACGACAGCTAGCCAATAAGCACAGAGTAAAGGAGGTGACCTTCACTGGGCTCCGCCCCCCCCTCTAACAGCATTACATAACCTGCCCGTTAAATATCGGTGTTAGACAGACAGTACAGCAAGAGGCACTCACCAGCCCTCCGCCACGCAGCAATCTCCTCCCCACAAGCCTGGAAGCTGCTGTGCTCAGCGCTGCCATGGTTCACCCAGAGCGACTGTCAGACACGGGATCTCTGCGCATGCGCCAACAGGAAGGTCATGGCCCCGCCCCCAATCTGATGGACGTCATGGTGTCTGTGAAAATCACGTGACTTACCCGCTGGCGTTACTATATAATCACTGGCCCTCAGCCGCTCTACGTAGAGCTCGTATTATTAAACAGCCAGCCTAATGACATTCCTCGGGACTGGTGTCCAGACACTACACAATAATAGAGGGGGGAGGTGGTGGCTGTGCGGAGTTTGTTTTTCACCTATTTGCAGGCTGAGACTTATACACCGGCTCTCTGTTGACAAAGCAGAACTGTGCCACGACAACCGTTTGAAACTAAGACAAACAAACGGTAACGGCGGGTCCACCACTGGCTTCATGGCAGTTTGGGCTCCCCCATCCCGCCTTACCAATGGTTCGTTCCGCGTTAGTCTGTGTTGCGGGGGAGTGGGCGGGGCCTGTAGGTGGGCTGCTCAGACACGAGTGCCCAGTGCTATGCCCTGTGCCGCACCCACCGTGTGGGCGCACCAGTGAGCCAGCAGGTCTCATTAGTGTTTACAGTGGACTATCTGGTACACAGACCCACACACCGATAACATGTTTATATTGACACATTTCAGCAGAGCAATAGAGCACTTAACAGGTGTGGTAGGCGGAAGCCATGTCCACCAGCTTCCAAAACAGATTTGTAGAAAAAAAAAATTAAAAGCATAAAACTTGAAACAACTAGTTGGGGACATACTAAAAGGAATGACAGATTGGAATGCCCATAGACAATAATGGAAGTAAAAGGAATGCCCATAGAGAATAATGGAGACAAAATATTTCAATTAGACACAAAACTATTAGACATATGAAATAAATCTTTTGCTAAAATACTCTGCAGATTCAGTGTCAATTTTTGAAATTGAGATTAGGTGGGATTATCAATGTTTTCTATGGAATGACAAGGGTGAATGACTAAATAGAATGCCCATAGAGTATAATGGGAAGTAAAATATAATTTCATTTGCCGGCAAATTAATCTAAATCTAAATGATACAATGGAACACCCATAGAGCGTAATGGGAAGCAATATGTGACTTGGTATCTGAACCGTAAAACATATCAAGTAAATCTTTTGCAGGCATACTCTACGAGTTCAGTGGCAATTTTTGAAACTGAGATTAAGTGGGATTATCATTGTTTTATATAGAATGACAATGGTGAATGACTAAAGAGAATGCCCATAGACTATAATGGGAGGCAACACAGCAGCAGATTGTAAAACTAAAAGTAACTGGGATTATAGCTCTTTTCTATGGAATGACAAGTGAATGATACAATGGAATGCCCATAGAGTATAGTGTATATCAACTCTTTTGTAAGGAAATCTGAAACACATAGCAAGTTAAACATAGCATCCCTCCTTAGACTACAGCTACAGCACTTAGCCTACTACTACTAATGTTGTGGATCAAACCAAATGTTTGTTTATCTGAGTATATGCTTCCTTCCAAATTGTTAAAATCAATGCGTGCACGCTCTGAAGTAAATCACACTGAGACACAGGTATCAGGTTAATGAAAAACTTCGATATGTTTACTCAGGGGGTGGCAAGCCCCTTATAAAGGCAAAATACATCATATGCAAAAAATGTAGATAACAGAAAGAATACATCTTTAATTTGTTAAGTGTCTTATCTAATGCACATCCTTCAAGGCGTGGTGTCACCATCATCCCGGGATTTTACTCTGGATGTAGGCGCCATTTTGTTACACGAAGTAGTTAGTTGGTGGGAGGGGGTGCTCTAGCAGCCATTTTGAGTAGATATTGAATACAGGTATACATAGTAAATAGACATTTTACTATCACTAATTTACGTCGATAACACTACAGCCCCTAACCCTCAATTGCAGCCTCCATAACCTACTCCACACCCTACTACAGTCCTTTAGTCCCCACTACAGCCCCCATACTCTACTACAGCCCCTTACTGTAAAATTGCATCCTCCATACCCTACTACAGCCCTAAAGCCCCTTTAATCCAACAGCAGCCCCTAACCCAACTACAGCACCAAACCCCTCTCCTACAACTCCTTGTTCCCACTGCAACCACTATCCCCAAAAGTAGCTCATATCCCCCACTATAGCACTACGTACCCTACTACAGTCACATACCCCCACTCCCACTGCAGCACCTATCCCACACTACAGTACCTACCCCCAAATGTAGCCCAGATCCCCTACTACAGCCTCTATCCCTCCAACTACAACCCATATTCTCTTACCACAGTCCCTACCCCCCACTAAAGCCACTCTTATCCAATTGAAGCTTATATGCCCCACACTACAGCCATTTCCTCCAATTGCAGCCATTCACCAATTCAATTCAGCCCCTAACCCCATACCACAGCCCATATCTCCCCACTAGATATCCTACCCCACCCAATTACAACCCATTCCCTCCACAACAGCCCCAATATAGCCCCTAACCATCCTACTACAGCACCTATCCCCCACTACAGCCCCTATCACCCTAATACAGCCCACTAACAGTGCCACTTCCGAGATTAGGTTCTGGATTTTCCCCTGGCACTAATAAGCCACTTGAGCACATAGATGGACCTGATTAGCTATTTTGGGACACATATGGCACTGAGTAGCTGTATGGGGACAGAGATGGCACTGGGAACCAGCACTGATAAGATTTTTGGTGGAAAAGCTGGCACTGTAGTAAGTGGGTAACATGCTACCTGGTGAAGTTGGGGAGCCCAAAGAGTTGGAGTAGTTTCCACAGAAAATAGGTGTGGTTAAACATGTTATGTTTGTGAAGGGGAATAGTTAGTTATATAGACATGCCTACCTGGATGGCGCCAAAAGTATTATTGAACCCATCCACCATGGACCCTAGAATCTGCCCTGCCCCTTTAGGAGGGCATGCATTCAGTGGAATGCATAAGAGCATTGTGCTGTATATGACAAACAATACTGTTTTGTATTTGACAAATGTATCTACAAAAACACATCACACAAATTAAGCATACCAACCCACAACTCTTATTCTTTGCAATGAGTGTACCTGCATTACCTACGCACCTTGGACATAAAAACCCAAGGGCAGAGTATAGGATATTTGATACCCTCCTAACCTCAACATCTGAGGAAAGGGATTTAGGAGTTATTATTTCAGATGACTTAAAGCTAGGAAGACAATGTAATAGAGCAGCAGGAAATGCTAGCAGAATGCCTGGTTGTATAGGGAGAGGTATTAGCAGTAGAAAGAGGGAAGTTCTCATGCCACTGTACAGAACACTGGTGAGATCTCACTTGGAGTATTGTATGCAGTACTGGAGACCGTATCTCCAGAAGGATATTGATACTTTAGAGAGAGTTCAGAGAAGGGTTACTAAGCTGGTTCGTGGATTGCAGGATAAAACCAGGAAAGGTTTAAGAATCTTAACATGTATAGCTTGGAGGAAAGACGAGACAGGGGGATATGATAGCATACTGGAGACCAAGAGGTATCTCCAGAAGGATATGATGATACTTTAGAGAGAGTTAACAGAGAAGGGTTACTAAGCTGGTTCGTGGATGCATGCAGGATAAAACCAGGAAAGGTTTAAGAATCTTAACATGTATAGCTTGGAGGATAAGACGAGACAGGGGGATATGATAGAAACATTTAAATACATAAAGGGAATCAACAGAGTAATGGAGGAGACTATATTTGAAAGAACAAAAACTACCACAACAAGAGGACATAGTCTTAAATTAGAGGGGCAAAGGTTTAAAAATAATATCAGGAAGTATTACTTTACTGAAAGAGTAGTTGATGCAAGGAATAGCCTTCCAGCTGAAGTGGTAGATGTTAACACAATGAGGGAGTTTAAGCTTGTGTGGAAAAGGCATAAGGCTATCCTAACTATAAGATGAGGACAGGGACTAATTAAAAGTATTTTGAAATATTGGGCAGACTAGATGGGCCGAATGGTTCTTATCTGCTGGCATGCATGCATGCAGACCGACAGACATGCATACTGACACGGACATCCATACCCGGATACATACACACATCCATACACGGATACATACATATATACATACTGACAGACATACACACTGACACACACAGCTCATTTTTCAGCCACCATGTTTCTTATCTTTTCTTTGCAGGAGGATGACTGGGGCCAATGGGAGTCAGTTGGGCTCTCCCTCTTCAAGGCCTCCACACTGGCTCTCCTCCTGCACAGAGTGAGCTGGGAGGAAGTGACTGGTCGTCACTTCCTTCCAGCAGCACTTACGTTGCGGCTGCATTTTTTTTGTTTTTTTTAAAGGGGCCCTGTCGCGCTATTACACGGTCACAGAGCTGACCGTGCCCCTGAAGATATAGGGCCCATCGGGTGGCCCTAATCAGCGTGCGTCGATACACGTGGGGCCCGGGCAATTTCAAAAGTTTACACTGAACCTGGAGAGTATGCCTGCAAAATATTTACTTGATATGTTTCACGGTTCAGATTCCAAGTCACATATTGTTTCCCATTATGCTCTATGAGCATTCCATTGTATCATTTAGCTGTCGTTCCATAAAAGAGTTATAACCCCAGTTACTTTTAATGTTACAATCTGCTGCTCTACTTGGGGAACACCTGTGGTAAAGATGAATTTGCTACGTAACACAGATTTACCTGCAAATGAGTTTGTGTTGCCTCCCATTATAGTCTATGGGCATTCTCTTTAGTCATTCACCATTGTCATTCTATAGAAAACAATGATAATCAAACTTAATCTCAATTTCAAAAATTGCCACTGAACTAGTAGAGTAGGCCTGCAAAAGATTTACTTGATATGTTTTACGGTTCAGATACCAAGTCACATATTGCTTCCCATTATACTCTATGGGCATTCCATTGTATCATTTACCTGTCATTTCATAGAAAAGAGCTATAATCCTAGTTATGTTTAATTTTATAATCTACTGCTGTACTTGGGGAACACGTGTGGTAAAGCTTAATTTGCTACATAACACAGATTTGCCGGCAAATTAGTTTATTTCACTTCCCATTATACTCTATGGGCATTCTCTTTAGTCATTCACCCTTGTCATTCCATAGAAAACATTGATAATCCCACCTAATCTCAATTTCAAAAATTTACACTGATTGTGGAGAGTATTTTAGCAAAAGATTTATTTCATATGTCTAATAGTTTTTCCTCTAAGTGAAATATTTTGTCTACATTATTCTCTATGGGCATTCCTTTTACTTCCATTATTGTCTATGGGCGTTCCACTGCCTTGTTAAAGTCTATGGGCATTCCAATCTGTCATTCCTTTTAGTATGTCCCAACAACTAGACTTGTACCCATCACATTAGGGAAATGCTTGTTATTAATATAGTTGCTATTATTTCAAATGTCTACTTTTTTTGTCTGCCTTTGGCTCCCCTGCTCTTCCTCTGCTATATATATATATATATATATATATATATATATATATAATCATCTCTATCACACTACATACACACACATAGAGGTCAAAGTGGCTGTTGGGAATTTCTGGTTTGCTCCTTTCCTTGTCCGTTCCCCCTCGCAGCTCTTTTTCTACACCAGGCCCTTTGTGTGTCTCTTTGTCCACCCCAGCCCCTCTGCATGCCTGTTTGCTCCCCCCCCCCAGTCCCTCTGTGTTTCTCTTTGTCCCCTCTCAGCCCTGTCTTTTTATCGTATCCCCCAACCCACTGTGTGTCTCTTTGTACCTACATGTAGCGTGGCCGAGCGGGCTGCGGTAGAGAATCTTCTATAAGGAAGCAGCCCATTAATTGCTCTCAGCCCCACGGGCCAGTATGCTCTAGACGGCTGCCTAAGTCACTTAGTGGTAGCTCTGGCCCTGCATATGACAATAGTCATCATTTATAGCCCTACCAATATTTAATAATACAGGCATTCCAATTAACAAGTTCTGCCCCACCATTCCAATTTTGTTCCCTGGTGTCTGGCATCCAGGAACTGCCCTTTGCTAGTACAGTGCAGGTACATAAGTAGTCACTAGGACAATGCAAAGAGAGCTGTTCAGTAGAAAGAAAATAACATAGGAATGGAGTAACCCATCAGAAAACAGAAGCAACCAATATACATAGACGGCACTGATCTAAGCACCTACTCTTTCTTGATGCAAAACTAAACAGGTAACACAGAAGAAGGGGGCGGAGCCCATAACCGACCTGAATGGCTGCAGCTTAACAGAGCTCTTCAGCCTAAAGTGAGGAATCCACTGCAACCTGGCTTTAATCATCACCATGGGACACCCAAGAGATCCACAGCATCTCAGGGCACCTCCGGTAAGACACCGAACTTAAAATCCAGCGCCCTTACAAAGTATTTCCTTGATAATGCGGACCAACGAGCGAGCCAGCTAGGCCCCAATATGGCGCTGGACTCACTGCAATCAGCCTCCCCACCTTCCAGCCCAGGGGAACCCAACGGCCAGACATGGAACTAGGGGACATACTAAGAAATATGTCCTCAAAGCAAGACCTGACCACTATGCTGGGGAAGCTTGGAGTCTCGTTTCAGGCCAAAATGGATGCCGTAGGGGGCAGACATACGTCACATGGGGGATAGGGTTACCTCCCTGGAGGACGACAGGGACTTCTTATACACGCAACTCCACTCCATCCAAGACAGAGTGGCACCCCAAAAAGCTCACCTGGTAGCCATCCAGTGCTCCCTCAACGACAGACAACAGGGGGAGAAGGAATAAATTAAAGGATCACTATAGTGTCAGGAAAACAAACTCATTTCCTGACACTATATAATCCTTGGGCACCCTTACCCCCAGGGTCCCCCTCCCGCTGGGCCCTTCAGCGCTGGGCTTTATCCAGCGCTGGGCTCCCTCGGCGCTGGTGACCTCTCCTCGCCCGCCCACGTCTCCCGAGTGGGGTGAAGTGGTCTGGGTGACTATAGTGTCCCTTTAAGGATCAGGGGGCTCCCTGAACAGGACTTGGGGATTATATCAAAGATTTTGAAAGAACTTTTTAACCTCATCCTGAGCAGACCGTCTGACTCTCCTGCATTACTTGATCGTACACACAGGGCATTGAGGCCTAAAGGCATAGTGCCGGATAAACCCAGGAACATAATATGCAGACTGCATTACTTTCAATGCAAGGAAGACATCTTAACAGCATTCAGACAATCCTCCCAACCCCTGCTTTTTCATAACAACCGGTCAGTATCTACCCGGACTTATCCTGCAAGCAAGAAGATCTCTCAGACCACTCACAGGCCAACTCAGAGCCTGGAATAGCAAATATAGATGGGGCTTTCCCTTTGCCCTAAATGTCTCTTATAAAGGCTGGACGCACACTACCCACTTGCTACTGGATGTACCGGTGTTTTAACAAACCTTAGACCTCCCAGCGATGCAGATCGTGGACTGGTATGGCCCCCTGCAGGCCCAGTGACTTCTCAACTACTACAGAGGCAGAGATGGTTACAGAAGGCGAAGAAAAGGTGAACAGACCCAGCGAAACAACGGAGGGGGCAGTTAAAAGATCTGAATCTTCCTCTTACCACTAAGAGACACTATCAGCACCCATGAAACGTCTCCTACATGTCGGGACTGCCGCGTAGGCAGGGGACTAAATTATTGATGCGCACAAGGCACGATGGACAATATTTAACCATAGTAAGAATGTCATTTAGCTCTCTCACAAGTTAGGAGGTACAATGCATGTGACCGGGTGTGTGCCTAACCTTCCTAGTTAACTCTCCCCTCCCTGATTGGGTTGCCCCCGTTTGCCAGCCCCTAGACCTGTATGCATAGAACGACCCTTACGACCGGGGGGACACCCGCACGTGTCATAGCAGGAAATTTGCCCCACTCCATGCTGACCGATCCCGCTAGATACGACCTGCCCACTAAGAGTTAAAGACCCTCATATGAAGGAATCCCACCAGGCCTGGATATCAGGCATTGAGGCTCGCACACTTCACTACTTACTCTATTGACATCACCACCCCCCTACAAACTCTCCCCCCCCCCTTCACCTATATGGTAAAGTGATTTCAAACAGAATTACAGCTACGTAAATAGGTGATGATAACCTATCCTGCGGGGCCAAGCAGATTCTCGGGCAAACAGAGTAGTTTGACCCGAGATAGCCACCGACGGGTGCCTTTATGACTACTTCGTAAAGTGATATACTACTATAATCCGTACAGTATCTATTGTACAACCCTTTTGAGTATCATTAGAATCTGTTGTTTGTTTTTCGGAGTACAGTACAGTGTCCTGATTGACTAATAGGAGTCTTTCTGAGACTCACGCAAAGGGGACGGGGGCATGGTGGCATTGGGCGGGACGGTATGGCCACCCTGCGCATAATAACTCTGAATGTCCGGGGGCTCCACACCCCAGAAAAGCGCTCCCTGGCTTAATCAGAATTAGCCAGGCTCAAAGCCGATGTGGCCTTCCTTCAGGAAACCCATTTCAGAAAAGATGCAGCACCTAACTTACACAACCGTAAATATCCTACTGGATTCTTTGGGAATTTCTCGGAGACAAAAGCGCGGGGATGGCCATTCTGTTCTCAGCGCATTTGCCGTTTACACCGATAGAGCACAAAACAGATGACTCTGGCAGGTTATTGATGGTAAAGGGTAAAATGGGTCATAATGTGTTTGCTTTTGTCAATGTGTGTTTTCCCAACAGGCATTAATGTAGACTTAAGAAATGCTTAACCTTAATTGAACGATTTATGGAGGACATATTGTTGATGGGAGGGGACTGCAATGTAGCCCTTGACTCGACACTTGACACGACCTTCAAGTCAACTACACATTTAAATCCCACGCATCACCTGATCGCGTACCTCCTGGACCAATCCCAACTCTTTGAGTGCTGGCGCATTATCAACCCACAAAAGAGAGACTACTCCTTTTACTCCCCAGTAACACACACTTACTCCAGTTTGGATATGTTTTTTCTCCCCTGTAGATTCTTGCATCTAATGAAGTCTTGCACATATGGCCCAATCACATGGTCTGACCACGCCCAGCTATCCCTAGTTATCCAAATCCCCTCACTACCGATAAAATCTTTACAGTGGAAGCTTAATTACCTACTGCTTAATGATAAAGAAGCAGTACAAAGTTAAAAACAGAAATCACCACTACTTCCAAGAAAACACAATCATTCAATTTCCCCCCCAGTCACTTGGGAAGCACACAAGTGTGTGATTAGAGGTCTACTCATAGCTATGGCCTCTAAACGCAAAAAGATATGCGAGGCCAAAGTCAAAACACTTACAGAGGAGATCAGGGATTTTGAAAAATCCCACAAAAGAGATACCACATTCCACACATACACCTTTAAAAAAGATCTGACATAATTGACATAATCTGGACACAGACAGCCTCACACACCCCATCCCTTATGCTCTCCCTGGATGCCGTAAAGGCATTTGACAGGGTGAAATGGACGTACCTGTTTGAGCTTCTAAAACACCTCCGGTTCCCCGAGACATACATTACGACAATCCAAGCCATGTATACAGACGTCAGAGCCTATGTCCGAATCCGAGGAGCACTGGCAGCACTGGCACTGGCCCACTCTCCCCCCTCTTATTTGTATTCACACTAGAAACCCCTACTACAAGCAATCCGATCTAACCAAACAATACAGGGAAAAGAAGTGGACGGCCAGACTTACAAGGTATCCGGATATGCCGATGACGTGCTTATCACTCTTACGAACTCAAGAGACTCAATGAGAACCCTAACCCAGGAACTGACGGAATATGGAGACCTCTCAGGTTACAAGGTGAACCTAGCCAAATCCACAGCGCTCCCAATAGCCATGCCACCCGCAGACATGACATACGAGAACACTATGAAATACCTATAGCGAACACCGCAATAAAATATTTGGGGATACAGCTCACAGCGGACCCCACACACCTATACAGAGCTAATTATACACCCCTCCTCAAAACTTTCAGCACGGATTTAGACAAATGGGTGGACAAACCCTTGTCGTGGATAGGAAGGGTCCAGACTCCTTTTCCAGGCACTGTCCATACCCGTCACAAAATTTGACCTAGCCCCCGTACAAAAGACAATAGGAGACTTCATATGGCAACACAAACAACATAGGGATTCCCGGAATATTCTTTATAGGCCCAAAGATGGGGGAGGACTGGGCCTGCCGCATCTACACAACTACTACCTTGCAGCTCAGATGGCCATGTGGCACTCGACACTGGGAGACCGCAGATGGGCAGACCTGGAGGCCAGCATTATGGGAGCAGACCTACCCCAATTTTATATATGGCTGCCGAAAGAACACAGGGCCTTACTACGCACCCAATGCCCAGCAATCTTAAACTCCATATGGATTTGGGACGCCACAGCTTTAAAATATAAACTGACAACCTCACCCTCCCCACTGATGCCAGTCCTGAGAAACAGGGCATTCCCACGAGGAATGCGAGCCAGGGACTTCAAAAACATAGAGGGGCCGGGCCTACAGAGAGTGATCCACCTGTACGAGGGCGACCAGATACTATCATTCGAAACCCTGGCAGAAAGGACCAGGCTAACACCCTCAGATTTCTTCCTTTACATCCAGATCAGGGATTTCGCACAACACAACCTAGCAAAAACTGCAGCACACACTAAACCAACGGGCTTTGAGAAAATATGTCTCAAGGAAAACCCCCCGAAAGGACTCATCACGACCCTTTACACACACCTTAGCTCCAGAAACACCGACTGGGGGGACCTACACTACACGACTCAATTGGAATCAGATCTGGGAGAGGTCTTGGAGGGCACAGACTGGAGAGACATCTGGGATGCAAATAAGGCCACCTCAATATGTGTTACACAACAGGAGCAGGCATACAAAACCATGTTCAGATGGTCTACCACCCCAGTGAAGCTATACCATATGTGCAAAACCCCAGACGATCTGTGCTGAAGGGGCTGCGGACACAAAGGGACGTATAAGCACATGTGGTGGGACTGTCCGAAGGCACAGGCCTTTTGGAGAGAAGTAGGGAGCCTATTAGACAACGTGTTCCAGAGAAGGGTGGGCATAGATCCATGGGTGTGTCTGCTATCCAGGCCACTCGATGAATGGTCAGGAAGGGACCAAAAACTCCTACGTAAAATCACCCTAGCAGCTAGACTCACCATGGCACAGGCATGGTTTAAACCCGAAATCCCCCAGATCAATATGGTGATACATAAAATAAGAGATATCCACGTCATGGACCACCTCACGGCACTGGTGAGAGGCACCTTAAAAGCATATGAAAAGGTCTGGGAACCCTGGAAGGCCAGTGATAGAGAGAACTGAGGTTAGATCAGGAAATTAGGGCACCACCATCACTAACCAAACCCGAACGTAATCCAGACGAAACTCCGATCTCCGCCTGAGGGCCCACCATATACCCCCCCTTCTCTTTTTTCTTCTCTATCTGTTACTCCTTTTCTTCTGTGTTATTGGGAGACATGGAGACCACAAACTGATGCCACCCACCACAAGCAGAGGGCGTCCAAAACAGACGAAGCACTCTACTAAGGTCTCCAATCTTCTAACAGGTTAACTGTTCACTGTTTATTTGTTAACATGTGTCGCCAACAAAAGTATACCTAAGCTTGAGACAACGAACATAATACTGTAAGAATCGCATTACACGTTGTATATATGTACTCGACAGTATAAATGTATGTACTATGTTATGCATACTTAAAAGCCACAGTGCAATGTAACGACACGCCCCCAAAAAAAGAATTTATAAAAAAAATAAAAGATCTGAACTGCAACACATATTAAACGCTCAAGTCAAACGTAAACTCTTAAGGACAAAACAGTTCTATTACTCCATGGGCAACAAATGCGGATGCCTACTGGCCAACGCACTAAAGCAAACTCATCAAACTACGTTCATAGCCAAAATTTTCAACTTCAGCTGTTTTCACAGATTGGCTAAATTGCCCTATATTTCTCAAGTCGTTGTTTAGTTCTATAAAAGAAGCCATTTGCTTGCAGCGCAGCTTCTCCACACACAGTGGTGTTCAATTACACCTGCTTCCTCCACTTAGAATCTCACATTTTTTCATATTATTGATGTACATATTTGGAACAAAGTTCAAATATTACCCTTAATTTAAACAGAACGTGTAATAATATATGACCTACAGTTTATACTTTTGAAAGGTAACAAATTCAATATTAAATAGCTGGTCCACACCAATTTAAAAAAAAATCTAGCTAAAATTGTTTTTCTACTTTGACTATTTTTGCAAATAGGGTTTTCATTCACTGTTTTGAAAGATGTTTGCATGTGTAATTAAATATGTATTTGCATTTTTGTCATTTTAGGTATTAGCTTAAAATACATTTCTTTCTCTCCAACTAATTGGCCAACACATGAGGCTTTACCTTCTGAAGAAACATGGTGGTTACAGACAACAGAATCTAAAAGGCAAGTATCCCTTGAAGCAGGGGTGTCCAAAAGGTAGATTCCCAGATGTTTTAAAACTACAGCTTCCATGATGCTTTGTCATTCTAAAGGCATGCCAAGCATCATGAGAGTTGTAGTTCTACACAGGGCCATCTTTAATATTGATTGGACCCTGGGCAAGCATTTGCTTGTACCCCTGGACACTGCACCCCCCTCACCTCTTCCTGGGTATGCAATCACTCCCTCCACCCCAACCCAGCGGAACTAATGTAGAGAGTGCCCTGGTGCACAAAATCTTTTTAGGCTTCCCCTGTTGCACATGAGTAAAGAAAAGATAGATCCCATCTGTCATACAACTCCTGCGATGCTATGCTAGCTGGGATCTACCATCTTTGCAGGTTTGTATTTGTGAACAATGTTTGTGCATTTGAATGTAAGCATGTTTTTGTATAGAGTGTATGTGTGCATGTAGGGGTGTATTTGTATGTACTGTTACCATTGGAATGCAGTGATGTACTTGTGTGTAGTGTTTGAATGCAGGGGTATGTGATTGTCCGTAGTGTTGTACTTGTGTGTAGAGTTGGTGTTTGTATATAATTTTAGCATTTTAATACAGGGATGTGTAACGATGCATTTGCATGTAGGGTTGTCTTTTAAATGTATATGTACATTTGTTTGTAGTATTGGTGTTTCAGCAAACGGGTGTGCTTGAATGTAATGTTTGTGTTTACAAGGATGCGTTTGCATGTTGTGATTTTTCTTGGATGTATGCACATATATATGAACACACACACACACCTTGACACATGCTCAGTGTATTTGTGTACAGTGCGAACGATGGAATGTAGGAGGAGGTGGAAGACAGGCAGCAGGCAGCGAAGGCGTATGCTCACCTGAGCTCTTCCTGCTCAGATCCCTCGTGCGCCCGTTAATGAAGCCAGGAGCCGGAATATGATATCACTCCGGCTCCCGGCATCACTAAGCGGCGCGCGAGGGAGCTGAGCAGGAAGATTAAAGCTCCCTCACCGCCTACTCTGCTTGTCCGCCCCCTGCCTGCCCGCAGAGCAGCCCCACTGGACCACAGGTTAGTAATCCACTCCAGCTCTCCCAGGGAGGCTGGATGGATTTAAATGAAAAATAAATAAAAAATAATAATTTGTGTTGCTGGAAGTGTGTGTATCTGTGAGTGAATGTGTCTGTGTATGTGTGAGTGAATGCGTGTGTGTGTCTAAGTGTGTGCATGTATGTCTGTAAGTGTGTGTGTCTAAGTGAATCTGTGTGTGTCTGTGAGTGAATGCGTGTGTGTCTCAGTGAATGTGTGTGGTCAGTGAGTGCGTGCATCTGGCGGTGCATGTGTCTGTCAGTGAATGTGTGGGTGTGTCGGACAGTGAGTGCGTCTGTCAGTGAGTGTGAGTCTGTCAGTGTGTGTCCGAGTAATAGTGTGTGTCTATCAGTGTGTCAAATCAGTGAGTGTGTGTGTGTATGTCATTGTTTGTCCGTGTATATGAGAGTGTGTGTCTGTCAATAAGTGTATGCATCTATCAGTGAGTGTGAGCGTCTGTCAAAGTGTGGCCTTGACAGGAAGGGGTGGGGAAAATTTAAATTGGGGGGGGGTGCCCAAGCACCGTTCTGCATAGGGCAGCACAAATCCTAAATACACCACTGCTGGTATGTATGCATTACCACACACTCAGATGCACACTTACACACACCGACACATACATACACACAGGTACACATACACACTGACATACAAGTATACTGACACACAGACAAACACAGCCAGATTCACACACATATGTGTCAATTTACATATTTTAATCTCTGCCCTCTAGCAGCTCATGGATGGCATCTCCCAGCAACCTTGGCCAATATAATGTCTCAACTCTGTTCTTACATACCCTGGTAGAGAATTTTGCAAAAGTGACACTTGGAAATGGTGTACAGCCTTTTATAACACTTTATGCAATAATATGTTAAAATAAATATATTTTTTCTTTTTTTCTTTATATTTAATAGGGAACATGTAGTTTTCCCCTGTCTTTTACATTACAAACACCCACGCATGGGTGTTTGTTATGTCTGATACATAAAAGTAAAATCAGAAATTAGCAACACAACCAAAAACAATTGCATATTTAGCCACCCTCCTGTCTCCTTACCTTTTGGGTACAGGAGGATGGCTTCCCTGGGGTCCAGTGGGAGCTTGCAGGCCCAGGCTGATGGAGTCTGCCATCAGCTTTCTAAGTCCTTCTCCTCCACAATGTTTGCATCCTCCTCCGTTCTGTATGTGCCTCCTCCCAAGCGGCACTGAGGAGTAAGTGATCTGACCTCACTGAGAGGAAGTGATCTAACCTCACTTACTCCCAGCATGCCGCAGGGAAGAAAAAGAAGAATCACAGGGCAGTATGTGTATCTGTATACACAGCTGTGTATCTGTATTCAGCCAAACCCCATATTACAGGGGCCTGGTCCAGAGCAGTATTAAAGGGCCAGGGGCCCCTGATTACCTCAGGTGCTGCAGCGGGCCCATGGGGTAGGCCCCCCAGGAGTAACTGTGCCCAGAGCAGCAGACCGCGTTTAAGACGGTCCTTGTTCTACAAAATATGGGGATCTACCTTTTGGAAACTCCTCCAACCCTTTTTATTTTCCCCCAGTCGCTATATTCCTTTAGGCCCCTCCTCGCTTAACTGAAAAAAATAAGCTTAAAATAAACTTTTTAAAAAGCAAAAGGAGATTTGGCCTCTATGTCCAAACTAGTTTGATTTAGAGACAGAAGTCAGTGTGGTTGTATCAGCTCCACCTATGGGCTTGGACCCTAAGAATCTAATATAATTGAAAATAAGAAGAGATTGGCCTCAACAAGGGGGAGACTCAATACTGATATATGCGCATCAATAGAACCAAAAATAAATAAATACTTCACAGCTAAAAAAAAGTTTCCTTCTGAGTTTTCTAATGTATAGGAGGTCTGATGCCCCACAGCTCAAGATATTGTCACATGTATCCAAAAAACAAATAACTTTATTTGATTCTATACAGTAAGATACAATGTGATCTATTGTTGGGATGAAAATACAATAGAAAGCCTCTGCCTACTCTTTCCCCATCAGATGGTCTCAGACAGCAAAAAAAAAAAAAAAATGGTTGGTTTTCAACCTATTAAAGCTGCTAAGACCAAATACTAGGGAGAAATATATATGGAGTAGGGGTAAATTCGCTAAACGGTGAATATAGGCTCATGATATCATCGATGTATCTGAATGGATGAATGGATACATCGGGTAAGGGCATTGAGAGGATTCGCAAAGACCACTTGTTCCTCCCACCAACCCAGGTGCAGGTTGGCGTATGAGGGCGCACAAGACGTCCCCATCGCTGTCCCCTGCACCTTGTGGTAAAAAAGTCCATCAAATAAGAAAAAGTTGTGCGTTAGGACAAATCTTAGTAGCTCAATGGTGAAGATATGCTCCCCTTTTCCTTAGGAAATGTATGTTCCAGGCCCAAGGAATGGGGGATTGAGCTATATAAAGCCTCTACATACAGGCTACATAATATTGATTTCTCTGGCATGTTGGTATGCATCAAGTCTGCTAAAGTTTGTTTGGTATCACTCAAATATGAGGGAAGTTGGGCTACTAAGGGTTTTAGAATTCAATCTAAATATATACTGACATTTTGAGTCATGTTTTCGTTACCAGCTACTATAGGTCTCCCTGTTAACATAGCATGTTGTTTACGTATTTTCGGTAAACTATAGAAAGTGGAAATACGTGGATTAGTATTCAACATGAATTCATATTCATTCTTGGACATTAATTTGTCATCTAGTCCTGTTTGTAGGATATTTTTTAGTTTTTCCATAAAGGCCTTTGTAGGATCTGATTTTAGGATCTTATATGTGGTGTTGTCAGTCAAAATTTTTATAGCCATCTCCACATACTGCCTTGTGTCCAGAATAACAATATTTCCCCCTTTATCCGAGGGTTTAATTGTTATCTCCTTCTTTTCTTGTAAATTCTCTAAGGCCTTATATTCCTTTATTGTTAGATTGGAATTTGGTTTAAGATTTAATTCAGGAATAGAGATCTTGTCTATTTCATTGCATACTAGTTCAACAAATGTTTCCACATATTTTGAGTCCCCCAATTTGGGGCAGTATTCGCTCTTTTTTTCTTAGATCTGTGAGTGGATATTGTATTCTCTCTTCCCTATCATTTTCTTCCAAGAGTTCTGCCAACATCAGGGTTACTTGGTAATGCCTGAGTTCAAGACCTAATGCTTTAGCTTTTTTGTCATCATTTGACAAATGGTTTTTATGTAACATTAGTTTTCGTGCAAAGAGATGGACATTCTTGATCCAGTTAAACTTGTCAAAACATGGAGTCGGGATAAACGACAGTCCTTTCCCAAGTACTCTAAGTTCCAACTGTGTCAAGGTGTACTTGGATAAATTAACAACCTGGCTATTTAGTATTGATTCCTCCGGTTGTATTACCTCCTTGGCCTGGGTCTTAGGTAGGGGCGCTCTTCCCCCATTGTGTTGTCTTCAAAAGTGACCCCTTTATTAAGAATACTCCTATTGTGTTCATTGGAGGTTGAGGGGGTTGACTGAGAATCTGTCTCTGAGCCTCTGTATTCATATTCTGAAGTTGAGACTTGATCTTTGTCTACTTTTCTTTTTCTCTGAAATTTTTTGTAAATATTGCCAGTTTTAAAGTCTTTATGGTCTCATAAGAATTTCTGATGTTTCCTCTGTTTAATTATTGCTTGATGTTTCTCCAAATTGTTTTGAAGTTTATTCTCATTTAGGATAAAAGTTGGATCAGCTTTAAATTGTTGATTTTTTTTCCATCTCAGTATCTACCTTTTTCTCTATGTCCTGTAATCTCTTATTTTCGTATTTGCATAAATTGCGCTGAGCATTTACCTGCGGCTTCTTCCCATTCCTTTATAAACTCATCTTCCTCTATATGTGTGGTGGGTATTGTTGGTACTCTTAAACCCCTTGGTATTAGTCGTTTTTTTCAAGTAATTCTCTAAGGAGGCTATTTCCCAGCTTGTTCTAATCTGTTGTTTATATAGGGATAAGAGAGATTACTATAGCAGCAATGATTAACTCGTACTGATCCTGTTTATACTACCCCGTTTTAGTAACTCCTGTTACATCACCTTATTACTACTTATTTTGCTGCTCTGTCTTAGCATATAGCCACAGGAGGTTACAGCCTATATTCACCGTTTAGTGAATCTACCCCATCTCATATATATTTCTCGCTAGTATTTGGTCTTAGCAGTTTTAATAGGCTGAAAACCAACCATATACATTTTTTATTTTTTTTATTGCTCTCTGAGACCATCTGATGGGGAAAGAGTAGGCAGAGGCTTTCTATTGTATTTTTGTTTGCCACCCAACGATAGATCACATTGTATCTTACTGTACAGAATCAAATAAAGTTATTAGTTTTTTTGGATACATGTGACAATATCTTGAGCTGTGGGGCATCAGACCTCCTATACATTAGAAAACTCGGAAGGAAACTTTTTTTTAGCTGTTAAGTATTTATTTCTTTTTGGTTCTATTGATGCACATATATCAGTATTGAGCCTCCCCCTTGTGGGGGCCACTCTCTCCTTATTTTCAATTATAAAATAAACTTTTACTTACCTGGAATCCAGCATCAGATCTAAGCATTGGCTTGATCAAGATTGGACCATTTCGCTGGTTCAGAGCGCATACATGTGCTCCATTATGCACTTTTATTCACACGATTATGTGTTCACATTGCACTATTGTGCTCACATTGCACTTATATACATGGCCGATGTGACCATGTTTTGCACCTCCATGCACATAATTGTGTGTTCACATTTTTGTAGTGCACATTTTATGTGTTTACATTTGTCACTTACCATATGTGCCTTTTTGCATGTATTGCATATGTATTGTGCACTTTATGGATGTTGCTTTCGGCTTACATTAAGTACTTTTATGTCACATGATTGAGATACACTATTAATGGGTATTTATTTGCACTAGAGTATTAACTGAATGGCAGTTGGTAGACTTCATTTTTACTTAGATTGAGGTTATGAGTTGTGTGTTGGATTTTTATATGGTGGCATTATTATAATGTTGATGTATTTGGTTAGGGAAATTGGTAGCAATGTTGAAGGATTGTATTTTTAATTATTAGGGAATTGTATAAACTGTAATGCTTACACTGGAAGTATTTTTTTTAAATAGCATTTTTAAATTACTGCTGAATATCTGTTCAGAGGCCAACTGTATTTCATTGCCCTTCTTTGTACATGGTACAGTGACAATACCATGGCATCCCAGGCCGGAATAGCCGGCCTGCGCAGTGCCTGCAGGGGGAGTGCCTGAGCTCTCAGGCTGTTCCCCTCATACCTGCAAGAAAGTTTTAAAAGTTAATAAAAGTTGTTAAAAAGTTAAACAAAGTAAATAAAAGTACTTAGATCATATATATGTTTATTTCTTCTAAGTACTTTTATATGCACATACACAATCCATTATTCTAAGTGTATTTTAATATATAATTTTATATATATATTATAATAAATAAATTGAAAAAATGAAGAAAGAAAATAGTTAAATGTAAAAAATATTATATGCCAGTTTTAATTTGTTCTAACTGTATTTTATATTACTATACATATAAATTTAAATCAAAATACATTTAGAATGATGTTATAAATACATATATTTATCTATATATCTAGCTATATATATAAATAAAAAATATTTTAAAAAAATATAGATATATATATTTAAATTCTACAAATATATTTATATAATATTATTACATAATTAAGTCATGGACTGATTGAATGCGCGCACGGCTCTTGCCACACATGCGCATTCAGCGCTGACATCAGGAGAGAAAAAAGAGTTCCCCAGCGCAGAGGGAGCGCGGCACTGGAGAAAGGTAAGAGTTTAACCCTTTCAGCCCCCTTCAGCCTGACAGGAGGGGGGCCATGAGGGTTGGGGGGGACCTAAAGACCCTATAGTGCCAGGAAAACAAGTTTGTTTTCCTGGCACTATAGTGGTCCTTTCAAAAATATATATTTTGAAACCGCTATGTCCTACTTGTACTAATAGCCCTATAACTTGCACACAAAAAAAAAACTAAGAGCATGTTAACCTTGGTATTTCTAAACTCAGGACAAAATGTAGAAACTATTTAGCACAGGTGGTTTTTTTTGGCGGTTGTAAATGCGTAACAGATTTTGGGGGTCAAAGTTAGAAAAAGTGTGTTTTTGAAAAAAATTTCATCATATTTTATAAATTTTTTATATAGAAAATTATATAATATGATGGAAATAATGTTATCTTTAGAAAGACCATTTAATGGCAAGAAAAACTGTATATAATATGTGTAGGCACAGTAAATGAGTAAGAGGAAAATTACAGCTAAACTCAAACACCGCAGAAATGTAAACACAGCCCTGGTCCTTAACAGTAAGGAAATTGAAAAACGGTCTCGTCACTAAGGGTTTAAATGTGCAACATTGTTTATCTTTGTGTCTTTTATGCTACTGTATATTTATTTCAACAGAAATACCCAAATGCAGTTTTTTGTTCATTGGAAAACTTCACGAATCTCTCTCCAAGTGAAACTTACATTTGTAGAGAAATCACTGTACTTGGTAAGTGTATTTGTGTCATATAACCAGACTGCAAGTTAAAGCTTTAATCCAAGCATTGTGACCACTACATTCTACTAGGAGTACCCTGGCGCCATTGCTAGTAATGGGGCAAACCTCTGAAGGAGGCTGAACACCACCTGACTTCTGCATAGCTGTGTCAGGTGAGTGCGCTCAGCCAATAAATTAGTGTCTGTGCGCAGACTATACACAGAAAAGAGAATGTGAGAGTTGAAAGTGCTAATTGACTATTGTACAAAAAAATGAAAGGGCAATATAAAATACATTTAAATGAAGGTCAATTGGGGCACACCCACAACATGCATTTCTCAGTAGCAGTGCTGCAGTAAAGACCAAGACATATACAAAATACAGATTAAGGAAGAGCACACACAAAAATACAGTTTTCAATTTTACAAGGCTTCTTAAAATCACCTATCTTAGCAAACAAATATGGGGATTCAATTACACCATATGGCCATATTGTGGTAAGTCCACCACTACATCACAGTAACCCAATATCAGTGGTTTCTAGTTTAATTTTAATATGTGAGATTAGCATGCTAACTAATATTTTCAGCTTAGACTGCTTGGTCTGGAGTCAAAATGTACACAGAAAAAAGGGGAATTGGGGGCATACCCGAAACATTTCTCTTTAGTGGTTCTGCTGTAATATATACACAGATTAATGAACAGCGGACAAACTAAAAAAATACAGTTATAAACTTTAGAAGGATACTTAAAATCACCTATCTTAGCAAACAAATTGTCCTGGCCCCCGGCTCGCGGCTGCACATGGTCGCACCTGATCAGTGCGACCACGCTGACAAGTTGGAAGACTTACCTGTTCAGTAACAAGCCGGGAGCCAACCCGCTGAGGCATCCGTCCCCTCCACACGCGGGAGCCAAAATGGCGCCAACCACGAGGTCGCTGTCATTTGCAGCTCCGCCTCCAAAGTCATGCAAACGTGCATGTGACATCACAGCGAGGACGCACACGCACGTTCTGGGTTCAGAGGCCAAGCTATGACCAATCACAGCCCAAGGAGGGGTATTTAAACCCCTGAATTTCCCTAGCTCATTGCCCTGTCGTGGTTTCTGTTCCTGGTTCCCAAAAGCGCGTTTTCTTGTCCTTGTTATTGATATTCCCGGTATTCTGACTTTGGCTATTCCTGACTACTCTAATTTCTGGTTTCCCTGACTTTGCTCTCTTATCGATCTTGTGTATTTCTGGATCCCTTGACCATTCTCTATCTTTCAACGTATTAATCCAGCCATTCCAAGGACTGGTTTACGTTTTCTCTATTTTTCTATTTAATGTAGATGTTACATAGTTTTGCGTGTTGGATCACATTAGTAGTCGTGACACAAATATTGTGATTCAGTTACACCATATTTCCATATTGTGTCAAGCCCAACACTATATTACAAAACCGTAATATAGGGGGGATCTACACACATTTCAACATGGGAGATTAACATGCTAACTGCGCTACTGAGAATTGCATGTTCCGAGTGAGGACGTCCAACGTCTTTAAATCTCACATAGGAAAGCATTAATTCAGTGCTTTCCTAAGGGGAAGGCCTAAAGCAGATTATATTGTCATTGTACAGGGAGTGCAGAATTATTAGGCAAATGAGTATTTTGACCACATCATCCTCTTTATGCATGTTGTCTTACTCCAAGCTGTATAGGCTCGAAAGCCTACTACCAATTAAGCATATTAGGTGATGTGCATCTCTGTAATGAGAAGGGGTGTGGTCTAATGACATCAACACCCTATATCAGGTGTGCATAATTATTAGGCAACTTCCTTTCCTTTGGCAAAATGGGTCAAAAGAAGGACTTGACAGGCTCAGAAAAGTCAAAAATAGTGAGATATCTTGCAGAGGGATGCAGCACTCTTAAAATTGCAAAGCTTCTGAAGCATGATCATCGAACAATCAAGCGTTTCATTCAAAATAGTCAACAGGGTCGCAAGAAGCGTGTGGAAAAACCAAGGCGCAAAATAACTGCCCATGAACTGAGAAAAGTCAAGCGTGCAGCTGCCACGATGCCACTTGCCACCAGTTTGGCCATATTTCAGAGCTGCAACATCACTGGAGTGCCCAAAAGCACAAGGTGTGCAATACTCAGAGACATGGCCAAGGTAAGAAAGGCTGAAAGACGACCACCACTGAACAAGACACACAAGCTGAAACGTCAAGACTGGGCCAAGAAATATCTCAAGACTGATTTTTCTAAGGTTTTATGGACTGATGAAATGAGAGTGAGTCTTGATGGGCCAGATGGATGGGCCTGTGGCTGGATTGGTAAAGGGCAGAGAGCTCCAGTCCGACTCAGACGCCAGCAAGGTGGAGGTGGAGTACTGGTTTGGGCTGGTATCATCAAAGATGAGCTTGTGGGGCCTTTTCGGGTTGAGGATGGAGTCAAGCTCAACTCCCAGTCCTACTGCCAGTTCCTGGAAGACACCTTCTTCAAGCAGTGGTACAGGAAGAAGTCTGCATCCTTCAAGAAAAACATGATTTTCATGCAGGACAATGCTCCATCACACGCGTCCAAGTACTCCACAGCGTGGCTGGCAAGAAAGGGTATAAAAGAAGAAAATCTAATGACATGGCCTCCTTGTTCACCTGATCTGAACCCCATTGAGAACCTGTGGTCCATCATCAAATGTGAGATTTACAAAGAGGGAAAACAGTACACCTCTCTGAACAGTGTCTGGGAGGCTGTGGTTGCTGCTGCACGCAATGTTGATGGTGAACAGATCAAAACACTGACAGAATCCATGGATGGCAGGCTTTTGAGTGTCCTTGCAAAGAAAGGTGGCTATATTGGTCACTGATTTGTTTTTGTTTTGTTTTTGAATGTCAGAAATGTATATTTGTGAATGTTGAGATGTTATATTGGTTTCACTGGTAATAATAAATAATTGAAATGGGTATATATTTGTTTTTTGTTAAGTTGCCTAATAATTATGCACAGTAATAGTCACCTGCACACACAGATATCCCCCTAACATAGCTAAAACTAAAAACAAACTAAAAACTACTTCCAAACATATTCAGCTTTGATATTAATGAGTTTTTTGGGTTCATTGAGAACATGGTTGTTGTTCAATAATAAAATTAATCCTCAAAAATACAACTTGCCTAATAATTCTGCACTCCCTGTATATGTGAGGTTTGTCTCATGCAAAGAGTGAGGACATCCAGTGTCATCTCACTAAGTTAAACTCTGTGAAACAGCAAAGCACTGTATACCAGTAGCTGTCTGGTATACAGCCATTAAAGGCAGTCTTAACCCTGCAAAGTAAACATTGCAGTTTCTCTAAGGGAACTGGGACACTGCACCCAGACCACTTCAATTACATAAAGTGGTCTGGGTGCCTATAATGTCCCTTTAAGTACAAGGATAGCTTTGCTAAGAGATCCCATCTTATTTTGGGAGTTCACTGCTGAGTGGACAGAATGTGTTAAAGTAATCCTTACAGTCCTCCATTGTTTCACTGTGGAACCACCTTCATGGCTTCAGGATTGATTAATAGGAAATCAATGTGTGTTTCACAAGTAAGATCAGCCGCAAGCAAAAACGTAGTCCTCCCTCAGGAAAAGGGTAGTGATGATTTTTATTCATCCTACAGGCCCAATAAGAGTATTTGGAGATTTTTTTCTAACTGCGCTATAACTTGTTATGGATGTAATAATTTCTTCCTGTTTTTTTTTTTTTCAATGCACAGATAAATGAATAATCTAAATAATCCACAGCACTGGAACATACGCCCAGATGAAGGTGGTGGAGATGGGAGTAGATGGAATTATGCTCTGCTTGTCCCCATGCTGGGGCTTGCTGCGTTTCGTAAGTTTTAAAAATTAGCGATAGCCAAGTATTGCTATATGTTATTGTAGATATGTCACAGTACAACAATATATGAATATACTATAGTCACCAGAACAACTGCATTAAGTTGTAGTTGTTCTGTTGACCCACACTTATTATATATCATTTTGTTCAGGAGAAACAGGGCCTTTAACTTCTCATGAACTATTCATATATGAAACATAACTTATTATGAATAAAATAAAAAAAACTGAGAGAAATTAAGATTTAAAAAAAGAAATTTGTAGTTCTGCCTGACATTTTAACTGTAAATGTCATGATACTGTTTGCCTTTACTGCAATAACATGCACATATTTGTATTCAGCAATGTCTCACAAGTAAAACAGTACCCCCCATTAACAGATTTCATGGTGTTTTGGAAAGTTACAGGGTCAAATATAGCATGTTACATTTTTCATTTTTTTCACATTAAATTGAAATTGAAATTTGCCAGATTGGTAATGTTACCTTTGAGACCGTGTAGTAGCCAAGGAATGAGAATTACCCCCATTATGGCATACCATTTGCAAAAGTACACAACCCAAGGTACTGCAAGTAGGGTATGTCCAGTCTTTTTTAGTAGCCACTTAGTCACAAACACTGGCCAAAGTTAGCGTTCATATTTGTTTTTGTGTGAAAAAAGCAAAAAACTAATATTTGGCCAGTGTTTGTGACTAAGTGGCTACTAAAAATGACTGGACATACCTCATTTGCAATACCTTGGGTTGTCTACTTTTGCAAATGGTATGCAATCATGGGGGTAATTCTCATTCCTGGGCTACCGTGCGGTCTCAAAGGCAACATTACCAAACTGGCAAATTTCAATGTAAAAAAAAAATGAAACGCCAGCCTTATATTTGACTCTCTAACTTTCCAAAACACCATAAAACCTGTACATAGGGGGTACTGTTATACTTGGGAGACTTTACTGAACGCATACATAAGTATTTCAAAACAGTAAAACATACTACAACAATAATATCATCAGTAAAAGTGCCGTTCGTGTATGAAAAATGCAAAAAACTTCACTTTTACTGAAAATATCATCATTGTAATACAATTTATCATTTTGAAACACTAATATTTGTGTTCACTGAAGTCTCCCGAGTAAAACAATACAGCCCATGTACAGGTTTTTATGGTGTCTTGGAAAGTTACAGGGTTAAATATAGTGCTTGCAAATTAAATTTTCTGCACTTTCTGCCTGGGTTGTCAGGCATGTCAATCAAATTTTAATTAATTAAATCACATTATGTTAAAAGATTACTTAAATATACACGTAGAATTTTAATATAAATACATATATATGTATTTAAATTCTACATGTATACTTCTGTAATCATTCATGTAATTATATATATTTATCTATATATATATTTTTTTTTTATATGCGGTTATTTGTATTTTATATATAAATAGATATATATAGAATGTCATTCTAAGTTTATTTTGTTACCAGTATATATACATATATATTAATAACAAAATACAGTTAGAATGAAATTGCATATGTATATATAATTTATTTAAATTTTTTTTTAAATATTTTATTTATTTATTTTATTATTGTGTTTATTCTTGTAATTATACGTGTATATATATAAATATAAAAAAATATACATATATTATATAATACATATATATCATATATATGTAACTTTATTCTAAGTGTATTTTAATACTAATATATGTGCTTATATTAATATTAAAATACACTATGTATGACGTTACATATATATAAGATGTATTTATTATATATATATATATACACACACATTTAATTAATTTTAAACATGTTATTTTTTCTTTTACTTTCCCACCAGCAGGGGGACTGTCTGACAGCCCAGACAGTCCCCCTGCTTGCAGATCCACAGCCAGCTATAGGGGGCCACGTGATCGCTCTTTGAGAGCGATCACATGGCCCCCGGGGGCCTAAGGTGCCGTGGGAGGGCTGCCTGGGCTGTCAGACAGTCCTCCCGAAGAGGAGGTAAGTAGCTGGAGGCTCCTGGGGCTGCAAACTGTTACAGCGTTCTATGCCGCCGCAACGGCTTTAAAGCCCATTTAAATGGGGACGGCATAGAATGTCGTAACGGCGTTAAGGGGTTAATCATTTGTCTAATTTCTGAACCAAAACAAACACTAGAATCTGTGCAATGTGTTTATTCCACTGTAATTTAACACTTTCGTTTTAAGTGCAACCATACATATTATAAATTGTTTTGTTTTTTTAAAGGACAGAATGAACTCTCTTTTGATACATGACATGTATACCTAACCCAACAATAAGTATGAATTAAAAAAAAAATAATTATATGTATTCTGAAACATTGTTTTCATTATCTGCAGGTTGGATATGGTCAAAGGAATCTGAAAAAGAAATAATGAAAGCAAAAACAGAATATATTCAGAAAGTGACACACTTGGAGAAGAATCTTGAAACAAAATATCGTGAGATTATTTCAGAAAACCGCCGTACAGTAGCTCACTTGGAAATTGAACTTGAGAAGGAGCAGAGCAGAATTATCAGCTATCGTAGGGCTCTCATTTCCCAGAGTCAAAAGCTTGTGGAGGAAAGGAAGCTCTTGGAGCAGGAGAAAGAAAACCTAAAGCAGGAACTAAGAGCAGCGCAGCAATCAGGAGCCGCAGGTGCCTTGTATTCAAACTACCTGAGAGAAGAAGAAGAATGGCAGAAGAAGGCTAAAAGCTTGCTAAAGGAGTTTGAAGATGATCTCAAGGAGAGACAAAACATTTACTGTAGCTTTATAACACCTAAAGTCAAAAGGCTAGAAATAGAAAAGAAAATGCTTATCAAATCTGTAACTAATCCAGTTGCAGTTGAATTAGAAGTTGAGGAGGGCTTGAGTGACATTTTTAAACATGATAACCACTGTGCTGTCTTGATAAACACCAATAAACATCAGAATGGCAGACTAATGTGGGTTTATCTGAAGTATTGGGAACTGACGGTAGAACTGAAAAAATTCAAAAAAGCAGAGGAAGCTATGCTAGGTAAAAAGGAAATGTAGTTGTTGTTTTTTTCACACCACATGTACACTTTTTACCAAACAGTAGTACAGCGTGATCTTGATTAATTCTAGATTAAAGGTCTAGTTGTGGCCATCTGCAACACTACTATAATGTTTTGCTTCTGTATATGTATGCTTCTTTTAAAGGTATATTTCCCGCACTGTATAGCGTTGCAGTATATGTTGGTGCTTTTTAAATAAATTGTAATCATTGTTTACATGTGATTTTATTCTTTTTTCCTCTTTCTATATATAAATAAATTGAGCGTGATGCGTGCCCTGCAATTACATTTATAAATAAATACATTCCTTTAACCCCTTAATGACCAAACTTCTGGAATAAAAGGGAATCATGACATGTCACACATGTCATGTGTCCTTAAGGGGTTAAACATGGGCTATGCCAAAATACATTCTTATAGCTAAGTTTTTAGAAACCACATTTGTTCATTGTTTTTTCAAATTTGATTAATTAAAGTTATTCTCTTTGAGAAAATAAACTAATTTAAAAAATAATGGTTTTATAAAGTGCTAAATCTAATTTATGAATCATATTCATGTAATGGTTTATTGATTTTCTCTCTGCATTTTGAGAGATACGACAATCCTTCCATTTGTCAGTCAGAATGCCTCTAGTGGCTGTCAATACATCCCTTATGCCTCCACCCACCATGCCACAGATGAGGATGTGTCGCTACAATGGCCCATCTCTTTGGACACCTGGTGGGTGCTTAAATTCACTAATGGGAGGTCGATAGATCCCTGTAGCCAGCTGGTAAGGGCTCACTAATAAAACATGGAGATATGCCACTGTTCCCCCAACACTACCCCTTTGTGGCTTTTGGCAGGGGGCTCCAAAATATAAACCAGTGGGGACATGCTAAAGGTGGTGGTAGGAGATATTAAATAGATAGGGGGACAGACTACTTTTACCTCAGCTACCACCCATAGGCAGTGGGTTTGGGCTATTATATAATCAAAGGGGGTGGATAGGCACACCAATGGGCAGTTAGTATTTATCAAATGTGGGGGTTTGAAAATATAGCAGTCCATTCTGCCAAGGTTATGGCAATTGGGGGTCCCTAAGCCCCTATACCCCATTAAATAAACCCAACCTTCTACCATCATACTTACCTTGTGAATTGTTCTTTATTGAGCCCCCAAAAAAGACCAAATAAAAATCCATTATAACTATTAAAAACAATTAAAACATGAATTGCAAAAACTGCGATGAAAAAATAAACCTGATGCAAGTAAAAAATTTATCCTATTTAAATGTTTGAGGTATTTCCCACACTGAAATATTCACATACTATTTGTTTAGAACACATGCTACACACGAGTAGCATGACAGTTTAGGGTATAATAAAGGTGTTAAGCCTCCCTTATAGTAATAAGAGGTCATATTGCATGTTGTTTTAGATCAGGGGTTCTCAACCTTGCCCTCAAGGACCCCCTACCAGTCCAGGGTTTAGGGATTACCTGGGTGTGTCTAAGATGTTTAGAAAAAAAAACACCTTAGAGTCTAAGGTTTGATTTTCTTCCCTTTTTCTAAACACCTTAGACACACCCAGGTAATCCCCAAATCCTGGACTGGTAGGGGGTCCTGAGGACTGGGTTGAGAACCCCTGTTTTAGATGATTTAATAAACTGGCAAGTGTACAGTGGTCACCTGACGCTAGATGTCCTCACGGTATGCATAAGGACATCCAGCATCACTCAAAACCCTATTGTATAATGCTTTCCTATGGGTAAAGTAATCATGCAAGCATGTTTGCATTAAGCATCTTGACACTGGCTAATGTCCGTGGGGGAGGAGCGAAGCACGAGCCAGCGCTTAGGGGCTATATAAATAAAATAATAATAATGTTATCTATTTTATGATGATCTATTTAATGTTGATAAACAC